ACACACACACACACACACACACACACACACACGACACAGGCGCGCGCGTTCTCAACCGGAGATTACCTCACCGTAAGGCGTGTGTTCGCGCCACGAAGCACCCTTAAGAAGCATTACCTCGGTGCAGCGCGTGCGTGTGCATGTGTGTGTGTGCGTGTGTTGTGTTGCGCACCGCAGCCGGCGGCAGCGACGTCGCCGCTCAAGTCCGAGTGTCGGGTCATCAATACGAGGGACCGGGATGACCCTGGAGGGGCCGGGCCGATGCTGGCCGAGGCTGGTGCACTGATATTGCTGGAGCAATAGAACAGGCTGGCATGGCGGGGCGAGGCGGGGCGTGGGGGGGCGTGGTGGGGCGTGGCGGGGCGTGGCGGGGCGTGGCGGGGCGTGGCGGGGCGTGGCGGGGCGTGGCGGGGCGTGGCGGGGCGTGGCGCAGCGAGACTGCTCCCCAGCGGGCCGTAAAAGACAGAGGAGAACTGCCCTAACGGGGATAGAGTTGCACGCGAGATCATAACACGACGGCGGGGCGGGGCGGGCCGGGCTGGAGGCGTGATGCGTGATGGCAGAGGGTGGGAGGACACTTCAGGTAAGCCGCCGCCGTCGCCATCAAGAGGCAAATGAGGACGCCGACGACGAGGACGCCGACGACGAGGACGCCGACGACGAGGACGCCGACGACGAGGACGCCGACGACGAGGACGCCGACGATGAGGACGCCGACGACGAGGACGCCGACGACGAGGACGCCGACGACGAGGACGCCGACGTCGCCAACCAAGCAGATGAAGGAGAGGCAGGGCGTCCCCTTCCCTCCCCCGCGGCCGGCCAACGCGCTGCCTCGGCGCTGCCCAACGCTGCCCTCGTCCTTGCCCAGCCTTGCCCCGTTTTCCTTGCCTGCCACAAAAGCCTCCCCTTTCAGTTTCAATTTTTCCCCGCAGTAAATCCCCCCTTCAGCGAGATGCCTTTGTACTCCTAAGAACACCCCGGCCGGCTGGCTGGCCGGCTGGCCGGGACCGGGGCGCGGCGTGGCGCTGCGTGCGCCCGCAAAGGCCTGTCGATATCTTATTTTGTGGCTTCTAAGACGCAGTTACAATCCGCAGAGCCACGCAGAGCCGCCAGAGCCGCCAGAGCCCGGGCCTTTGCACGCCGAGTCGTTGACGGCTCCGCTAGGCCGGCGAGGCCGCCGAGGCTTGCACCGGGGACTCGGACGGCAATCATACCGAGCCGTCATCGCCCCAGAGGGGGCCCCAGAGGGGGCGCCGGGCCAGGGCCAACCGGCCATTCCCGGAGTCCTTTCCTTCGCTCTGTCTCTCTCGCAACCATACGAAACGCCGCGTGAGTGCGAGCGAGACGGAGCGACGAAAACGGCTCTCGGAATCAGTCTGCAGGGCCAGCCGAGCGGTTGCTGCAAACTGATTGGCAAGCCTCCCGAGTGACCACCACACTGTTTGCGCCAGCGCGCCCGGCGGGTAAGCAGGCCCGCAACGCCGACGTGTCTTGCGGGCTGGCCGCGACGCTTCAGTCTGCGGCGGCCAAGTGCCAAGAGGAGCCGCGCAGCCCTCAAATCCGCGTCGTTCCGCCAAGTGGAGGCTGTATCGGCGGGGCGGGGCGGGGCGGGGCGGGGCGGGGCGGGCGGGGCGGGGCGCCCGCTCCCCTCTCATTCCGAGCCTTGGCAGGGCAGCCCCTCGGCCCTGGGGCCGGTCCGGCCGGGGCACAGCGATGCCGAACACAGGCCGTGCCGGGCGATGCCTTCATATGGGGGATTGTGGACATCATTAAGACGTAATAGTCGATGGCCCTTCATCCTCATCGCCTCATCCCGCTTTGATGGCCCAGCGGCCCATCGCCACGAGACCGGACAGCGCCACAATCCGACGGGGTGGAACACCAAAAACACTTTTCCATTTTAGTTTGTTTTTTTAAATGTAGGGCTAGGTTGTCGTGCAAGCGAGTCAGACACTGCACCCATCAGTGGGCCAAAGTTCTAGACGCGTTTTGAGCTCCAGAGTCGCTAGATGGGACTCGAAACGAACGTGTGACCCCACCAATGGATTGCTCTCCGAACGAGGAATCCATTGGTGGGGTCACACGATCGGTTCGAGTCCCGTTTAGCGACTCTGGAGCTCAAAACGCGTCGAGAGTTTTGTCCGCCTGCGCCGGTCTTCTGGCCCACTGTGCGGTGCCCTCCCTGATTTCCCTGGGCCGGACTGCCGGACAACGACAACACGGCGCTGAAGTACTTACACTGTACTCCCAGTGGCGGCGGCGCGGCGGCCAGTGCCCCCCCCCCCCTTTCCCCCTCGCGCTGCTCTTTGCGTGCTGCAGCGAGATCTGCTCCAGTTACAGTATGCAAACGACGGCTTTGGCGAGGCGGCGCGGCGAGGCGGCGCGAGGCGGCCTAAAGCCTAGGCTCGGGGCGCTATCTACGTTTCAATTACTGGAACTAATCGAGCCAGTGCTGGCGCTGATCTGCGCCGCCGCGTCCGCCTAGAAAAAGTTGAATGCTGTCCTCGGCCGCGGTGGCGCAGTGCGTAGAGTGTCGAATCAGCGCTACCGAGGACGCCGGTTCGATTCCCACTGCCGCCGTCTTATTTTACGTCTTCTTCTTCTTCTTGTTTGATGTTGGATGGCTCGGCACTGCAGGCGCCGCTGCGACTCGCGCTGCGACGCCGAGCCAGACTGACAATATTATTTTATAATTCGGTGCTGGCGGCGTCGCGCGTTCGGCTCTCGACGCCACGTCGTTCGGGATTAGCTCGGCCCGCTCGGCTCAGCGCGCGCCGCCTAATCAACCTAATCCCGCTAAGGAGCACTAAGGAGGGTGGCATTCCCGAATCTCCGAGCCGAAGAGAGCGTCACACAGTGGGCCAGAAGACCTGTGAAAGCGGTCAAAATCCCGGACGCGTTTTGAGCTCCAGAGTCGCTTAATGGGACTCGAACCGAACGTGTGACCCCACCAATGGATTGCTCTCCGAACGAGGAATCCATTGGTGGGGTCACACGTTCGGTTCGAGTCCTGCTTAGCGACTCTGGAGCTCCAAACGCGTCTAGAGTTTCGGCCGCCTCCGCTGGTCCACTGGCCCACTGTGCGTCGCCGTGGCAGTGTCGCCCAGCAACTCGTCCGCGTAGCACGCGACTCTGTCTCTCTCGCACTCACTGGGCATTCCCTGCGGTGCGAGAGAGAGCGCGACGTCCCGGCCACGCGCCGTTTTAATATCGGAAGTCGCCGTCGTCGGGGCGTGCAGCCGTGGCAGCCGTGCAGCGCGCCGAGTCGAACATGTCAAGCAAGTTGGAAGTGGTGCCGGGATGGGCAGGCCAGGCCCAGGCACCCCAGGCCTCTTGCCTGATTGTGGAAAGTTGATGAAAAACTCGGCTGAGACCAGTCACCAGCCAGCGGAGGCGCTCCAGGCTTCGGCCACCGCGGCGGGGCCAGAGTGGGGGACCAGGGGCGGTGAATTTCGCGACAGAATGGGTGGGAGGGAGAGAGAAAATCATCGCGGGGGCATCTTCAACGCGCAGTGCATGACAGTGCGCTGAAAAAAGGGCATTCAGTTTAAGCAAATGCCGGAGTTTTTTTTTGCCGACGGCAAACAGCAGTCTTTCCCAGTATGATTCCTTCACCCCTCACCGCCGCCGCCACCCCTGCCGTTCCGATAACACGTAGCGTGGCGTGACGACGGCGCGGCGGTTAACCGCGGATTGCGGTTCGTATCGGAATTGCTATTCTCACGAACCAGCAGCGCGCAGTGGGCCAGAAGACCGGTGGAGGCGGTCAAATTCCGGGACGCGTTTCGAGCTCCGGGTCGCTAAACAGGACTCGAACCGAACGTGTGACCCCACCAATGGATTCCTCGTTCGAAGAGCAGTCCATTGGTGGGGTCACACGTTCGGTTCGAGTCCCGTTTAGCAACTCTGGAGCTCTAAACGCGTCTAGAGTTTCGGCCGCCTCCACCGGTCTTCTGGCCCACTGTGCAGCGCTGCTCCCGAGGTGACGTCCGCGCGTCGCGTCGCCCCGCCCCGCCCCGGGGTGCGACGGCAATCACATTCAGCCGCGCCTGGCTGCGCCACTGCGAGTGAAGCGACAGGTGTCGGCCACTCCGCCAGGACACTCCGCCAGGACGGCGCTGCTCGGCGGGGAGTCGCGTGGCGACGGAATTAGAAAGGAGGCCGACCGTCTTGTCCTCCAGGAAGCAGCCTGCCGAGCCGTGCTCTCTCTCTCTCTCTCTCTCTCGCAGTCTTGCTACGGAGAGGCTCTTGAGTGCGACAGAGACGGAGCGACGAGCCGCCACGGACGGAGCCGTACTTGGCGGCGACTGCCAGCCCCGGCAGGGCGTTGTTCATAAATGTCTCCCCTGTCAGCCGGCCGCCTCCGAGGAGTCTCTCTCTCTCTCTCTCGCACCCCAGCAGCCGGCGGGACGCCCCACGAGTGCGAGGGAGACAGAGCTACGAAAAGGCGCAAGGCTTGTCGGCCGCTGCGCTGCACTGCCGGACTAATTTGAAAAGGATCGGCGGAGAGGGCATTCGCCTCGCTCGCCTCGGCAGCCCTCTACTCGCTTAACTTCAGCGCAGCTAGCGCCTGCGAAGTCCAGGGTAGGCCCGCCCGCTGCACACGCTGGTTTGACGGGACTGCCTACCCGGCGGGCTGCTACCGGCCGCCTCCTGCCCTTCCCTCTACTAATTTATTCAACCTGTTACAGGTTTCTGGGCAAAATGCAATAAAGCAGCTGACAATGTATGTGTGTTCCAGCCTCCCGGGGAAAAATAAAAATCCAAAGCTGAAATGTTTAGAAAAAAAATCTTGTTCATTTGCGTGGCTTATTCTTGGAGATTGGATGTATGTTCATGAAGTAGTTCGAGGAAAGGAAAAAAAGAACTCACTTTCACTTACTTTGTGATTTACTGATTAATAGATTTTATTGATTGGTTCATTGCAATATATCAGAAACAAAAACAAAGCCTCATCAGCAGGATTATACAGGTAAAATAAATAAACACTGAAAGTGTACAAAAATGAAATAAAACACACTTTTAAACAGAATGCAGACAATTGGAATTACAAGGACATATTAACTAGTTGTCAAGCATTTTCTTTTTCAAATCAACAAGATACATGTTCCATTCAGGGTCTGATACATTGAGATCATGAGCTTTGTTTTTTCCTTGAACATCTTCCACAAGGTTAGATTTAGACCTCTTTGACTCCTTCTTTTTGTTAGTTGTACCAGATCTCTCTCCAACATTACCACCCCTCAAGGTGTTGCTAGAAACAGAAACTTTGGTGGGTTCCATCTTGCCTTTCTTTCCCCTCTTTGACTTCGCTTTTTCAGCATTTTGATCATCGTCATTATTTGACTTGAGACTCACTTCTTCTTGCTCAGTCATTGATTTGAGCTCTTCCCTCAAGAGTTTTTCCTTCATTTCCTTCACCTTTCGCCGAGTTTCTTTCCTGTTCGTTTGATGAGATCTCTGTTCAGAGACACTGTCAGAGTCTAATTTTTGCACCTGTTTTGGCTGAACACGCAGGTGAATATCCTGAAATTCTTCATCGTTCTTTTTTCCCAACTCGATCTTGTCTAACTCATCTTTATGACTCTGTGATGGGTTCATATTAGATGAGACACCTGATTCTGTCTGAGTCTTGATTGTCTTTTTCAGACAGCTTTTAATGGTCATTGGAGTACTAAGAGTCACTTTATTCTGCGACACAGAATCATCTGATTTCTTTGGCTTTAAGGTTCGAAGTTTCTTTGCATTCTTACTCTTCATATTGTCTTCTGTAAGTTCGTCATCATCATCTTCCACTACATCCTTCATGGTTCTCTTAGGTCTTGGTTGAGGCTTGCTTTGCACCAAACTACACTCAGTACCTTCATTCTTCTCAGGGTCAAAAGTTTTCCTATACATTTCATCTAGCAGACTGTTTTGCTTCAGTTTATCCGAGACTTCATTGGTGAAAGACTCTGTAGCTCGCTTTTCATCATTTTCCTTGACAGCATTAACTTTAGAATGCTGAAGACTTAGTTTCCGCTTTCGAGTTTTCACTGAGTCTTTTTCCACAACGGCAGGTAAAACATCAGCCCCATCATCTTTATTTTTCTCCTCATTTCTAGATTTTGCTGAAGGACCTTCATCATCTGAGTTTCCTGAGCTTGACGGAAACATTTCAGTCAAAAGAGATTCAATTTTCTCTTGAACATCAGTGAAGTTTACAGGCATCCGTTTACAACGCCCATATCCTAATAATGGTGAATCCGTGAACTCTTTAAACTGAAGAATGTCATTAAATGTCACTTTCTTGTCTTTTCTTTTCATTATTGATCCATTGGAATGAATATTATTTGCATCTTTCGGCTCTCCCTGTTGGTCCCCTACAACCTTTTCTGGTAAGACACTTGAGTGAGGAATAGTCGGATTAGCATCTGATGTTTCCTTCCTGGTCTTTCTCTCTTCACCTCTTTTGCTGGAGGATTGTTGGCTTCTGGTGCGAATGTTTCTTTGGCTCAAGTCATTTGCTTCTGGTTGGGGACTGACCCCCATATCTTGCATTGACCGCAGACCTCGAAGGACCCTTCTTTTGCACTCTTCTTTCATCCTTTGAATCTGGTTAGCTTCTTTGGTTTGGGTTGAGTTGGCACTACCTTTGTTGCCAATCTGGAATTAAAAATGATTGGTATTAACATCACAAACATTTCTGATTTTAAATTGAGATATTCCTGAATTTAGAAAAACTTGTTGGATTACACACTGGACTCACCAATGTTTTAACTTCCACATCCTTCCCTTGGGTTGAGGACACACTGCTTTGAACCACCCGGCCAAAGGCAGGCACTAAAAAGAAAAAGTAAATTTTAAAAAAGTATTAGGAAATGCCTGTCGACAAGTTAAAAATAGAAGCTGTTTAAAGGCAAGAATGCTCACTTTCTACAGAGGAATCAGTGTCTTCTAGTGTTGTTTCAACTTGGAAGGGGGGTGGACTTTTCAATCTCTGGGTGCGTTTGTCTGAAAAAATTAAACAAAGGATTTAGAAATTTGATGCAACTTTCAACAAATTCAACAAAAGAAAAAATGTAATCGAGATTTTACCTTCAATTCCTTGTGAGGAATGGGCATCATCTATTGATGAAGAATCCAAACTCCTTTGTGGGGAAACGCTTGAACTTTCTTTCATGTTACAAGAGATGGATTCAAAGACATCGTCATCTCCAAAGCTGACATCTCTCATGAGCTCTTCTTCTGCAGTGGATGAAGTTTTCATGCTTGAGCCTTGGGAATCCACAACTGACAAGATACTGTCACTATCATTACCCAAAATCGTTGTTTTGATATTGGATTCAGCAACTTGGAATTTGGGATGGGTATAATCAATATAAGAATTGCTGGACAAACTCAAGCTAGTATCAATATCACTGTCCTTCTGACTACTGACTTTCGAATTAGCCAGAGGAACCCGACAATGAAGAGGACTTTCAGGGGGGTTTGTAAGCATACTACAACTTGGTCCCTCAATATTGTCTGTTGTGGCAGTGTCATCCTCACTTCCATTATGGTCAAGTTGAGCGGCACTAGTGCTCTTAGGGTCCAAGCTACTGGATTCCTGCAAGTGGAGTGAAAAGTCTTCAGATGGACTTTCAGACGAACCTTCGTGTAACAATACCACTTCATCATCATTGCATTCTACAATAACTGTGTCATCAGAACAAATGCTACTCTGACAGTTTTCTGGAGTCACTTCAACGACCTTTGAGCCTCTAGAACTTGATAGGGAAGCTGTATTCAGCCCGGCTCCCAAAGACAAGTTCTCTTTCGAACATTGAGCATTAGGAGTTTCCTCTTCTATGCCTTTCTCACACAATGGAACAATCTGTTGGTCAGATGATTCATTCAGTGCTTTGCGCACATCACTCAAACCACCATTAATGGCTTCACCTTCACCTACAGTTCTCTCCTCAGGCTGCTCACTGAGAGATTCAAAATCTGTACTTACAGCAAAACAGTTGCATGCAATGCCTGACAAGTGTGCATCGCAGGGATACAGGGCACTTTGAGGATTACATGAAAATTTGACTACTGCATGTTTCTGGAAGGCAGTCATGAATTCTTCTTGAGAAAGACCTTCTATCTCACTCAAAAACCAACAAAATCTAGGGAAGAGTTGTTCAACAGCAGTCTTGGCCGCGCATGCTGCAGAGCTTTTTGCATTCACGCTCTTCGGATCCGATGGCTCAGTCTGGCACACTTCTTTAAAAAAGCATTGAAGATCACACACTCGACAAGATCTGCCTTTCCGCAAAGATTCAAAGTGCTGATAACACAAACAAGCATTGGACAGAAGCCTAGCTTCCCACAGCTTTGTGCTTATTCCACTAATCATAGTCATCAAAGACAACCACCTGGTGAGAGAGATGCTCCCACTGGGCAACATTGTTTTAGAACAAGTCATCAACAAAGATAATAACTTCTGGCTTAAATAGCCAGTGGCTGATGAACTTTGAATGTATCTATAAGCTTGCAACATGCACCTCAATGCATCATGGAGTAGCCAAAACCGATGCACTTCAGCTTCATCAACATTCAGGATTTGACGCAAGTCCAATTCATGTAGGCACTCAATTAAAATACTGACTTTGTCATGGCAGTGGCATAAGAAACCTTCGAACTCATCCTCAAAGGAATCGGAATCAAGATCAGCTCTAATAGTTCCAGCACACCACCCTAAAAGTCGAATGGAGACATCAGTTAGTACTTTCAGCTCTGATGTAAAGCTGAGGAGAGCTTTTGATATGATAACTTTTGTGGTTGCATTCAGCATTCTATCCTTTCTTTCCATGTCAGACTGCAATCCGCTGTCATCTGAATTTTCTTCTTCACTTGAGTTAGGCACGTCTTCAGCAGCAGGAGGAACTTGGACTTGGAAGCCTGCCCTAATGGGCTCTGCACGAAGTGCAATGGGGGATGTGCTCTGATCAATCCTGGAAGGTTGCTTCAAGCATTCATCATCATCTGTTGCATAAACTTTTTTTGATATCATCAGGTCTTCATCTGCAGAAATTGAATCTATTACACTAGCAATTTGCTGCAGGACCTTTGATGTTTTGACATGAGGAGAGCATTTGAACAAAGTCTCTTCTTTTTCTCTGTCAAGAAGGGCAAATATGTAACAAACCTCCCGGCTTGAGGCCTGACACCCCTCACTTTCATGAGTAGAGGGAAGTGAGGTTCCATCATGACAGCCTTCTTTCTCAGAGGAAGAAGCTTCAAATGGGGATTCAAAAGGCGCTTGGCATGATACTACACTGTGAGTAGTGGATTTGTGGATAGGCAAATTTAACCCACTGAGCATCTTCAATGGAGTTGGAGTGATCACTTGAGGCTTGACTGTTGAAGGGCAAAGTGACCGGGCAACACCAGATGAGGACAATCTTTCTTTCACAACAATTTTCAAGGGAGCCCTTTTCTGAATGCTGCCATTCATGTTGACAGCATCCTGATGTTTAGATTGAACTCCACTAGTACCGATGTGTTTGAGACTCTGAGCCAACTTCTTATTATGAAATTTCTTCAAGGCTTGAAGAAAGCCGCTGTTAGAGTTGCGAAAATAGAACTTCAAAAATTCCTTCCTACGGAATACTCTTCTCTGCTTGATTTTTTTGGCAGCAGTCATTGGAGTTTTGAAGACACCCTTCAGCTCTTGATCCTGTGGAGATATATTGCTCTTTGAACCTAGCTTCTTCGGTGTGGCGTCTGAAGCTGTTGGCTTGTTTTCAGGTGACTGCAGGGCATTTCCAGGATCAGACAATCCAGTTTGGTTTTCATGAAGCGGCACTCGGGTAGCTGCTGTGTCAATGGGTTTATGACAACTCTCTTGGCGAGTTGATGTCATATCAGAATCTTCACTTGAGCTCTTTTCTGGCTCGACAGGAAGCTGGTCAGTGAAACTGGCTTCCAGAGTGGAGGGCATGTCAGAATCCCCACTAGAACTTGCTGGTTCTGGCTCCACTTCTGCAGGGTGAATGGTCTTTGTACAGGCGTCTTCTGATGAGGATATACAGGTCTGGTTGTCTTTAGGCTGAGAAACTGCACAATTCAAATTATTCAGCCATTCATTCGTCTGTTTTTCTGGATTTGCCGAAAGAGATTTCAGCTGTGAGAGAGAGCGCTTGCCAACAACACCTGGAAACAGGAAAACAAATATGAGGTTCTGAAGGAAAACATTACCACAGATAAAAAAGATCTTCAAAAGCAATTAACCGCTTACACTTCTTCTTCAAGTGAAGCACTTTCTTCCGTTGACCCTTGGGTCGAAGTAATGTGACAGCGAGATCTCGTGAGCTGCCTTTTAAGTTCCCCTTCCTGTGGTGCATTGACGGTCTCTTTTTACGCTGCTGAGTACCATCTTGCTGGAGAGAACTCCTATCGCGGTGAATGCGGGGCTCTGGAGACAGACAGAGCAAAACGGTAAAGTGGTGCTAACGGCACCGAAGACCACAACGACACACTATGTTCGAACTCGAGGCTAGAGTCAAAGGCAGGTGGACATCCGATTCAATGCCGCACCTCACACTCGGCTCGGATAGGTTCTCGATGTCAAAAAATTAAGGCTAACATGAGCAGATCCAGATCCAAGGAAAACTTGAACAAATCTAAGCAAAGAACAGTCACACTCGGACTTGGCGGCGCCACAAACCGGTCGACAGGTGCTGGCAGAATCTCAGGCAGTCGCAGACCGCACACTGTCACGGCAAACTTACTTATGGCAGCCATGGGACGACACGAAGGCCGTAGCAGTGAAGCGGGGGAGAGCTGGAGGACGGACAGGACTGTCCAGGATGAGCCAAAAGGAATCGCCAAAGCTCGTCACAACGTGCAAATTGCTTCAATGCCACATTCAACGACGATGTGCTGCCTTGGGTGGCGCCGCGCTGCCTGCGTCGTCCGTGACTGTTGACAAAAGCCGGGCGGCGCGGGCTGCCAACCCCCGCACGCCCACGCGAGTGGCAAGCGGCACCTTGCACCGCGAAGGGTTGAGATTCCCTCTCCCCCTCGTAAGGAAATCAAACCGCGAAGCGCAAGCAAGTTCACGACACTTTTGGCGCCCACATCTACGATGGCCTGAAAGGGTTTCGGTGCGAAGCGATGGGTCCTCCAGGGTTGCAAGCCGTGGCGGGGAATCAGATTTCCTGGTCACTCGGGTCGGGGTCACTCGGAGTTCGTAGATTTTAATTTTGCACCTACTAGCCGAATCCCTACGTGATTCTCGGCGTTAAGCGTTAAAATCATGAGCGGAATCGGGCTTAAAATAATTTCCACATTCCACTTAGATGACACTTTAGGATCAATTTATTAAAATGCGTAAAAATACAGTTCAAATTATTTGATTCAAATACACTGTCAACTTTGTAAACCAAAAAAAAATAGAAAACTGGCATCAAATAACACATCATAGAATATCACACCTAAAAATGTAAAATGGAGGAATGTCAACAGAATTACTCCTACACCCTGTAAATGGGAACCTATTAACAAATTATAAATCATGCTGCATACAAATGCACACAACCTTTGTACTTCAAAATGACATTACTCTAAACCCTATAAGTACATTACAAATACCAGCTTTTCCTAATTTTCTTTTTGTACATAAGATATCACTGTTTTGGTTTAAGTAAAATAAGACACATGATGTAAAACGGTCTACCAAGAGAGGTATGTAGAAGGACAAAGGAATGCTTCTAAGCTTGAAGACTCAAATTTGAGTTGTGTAGAATTACTTAGCAATGAGATCAGAAATTGTCTTCTCAAGCTTTCTGCAATCTTCAGCAAATTTACGGATGCCATCACTGAGCTTGTCAGTGGCCATCTGGTCTTCATTGAGTTCCCAGCGGAAAGTTGCCTCATCCATGCTGACTTTCTGGAGAGCAGACTTCTGAGCTGTAATTAGATGAGCTATTAGTGAGGTTCTTGAAGTTTGGACTGTTTTAAGTTCATTGAAGCAAAAGCTTACCAGAGGTAGGAGAGAGCATGGGGACAATTTCTTCATGGCTGTTCTCCAGATCCTCAAGAAGTTTGGGGGAGATGGTAAGAAGGTCACATCCAGCCAGGGCCTGAATCTCACCTGAAAGTTACATTTGTTTAAAATAAATGAACTGTGGTTGAAGAGAAAAACTACTTCAGCTGACAGAAATACCTAAAATATTTACCTGTGTTTCTGAAAGATGCACCCATTACAACAGTCTTGTACCCAAACTTTTTGTAGTAGTTGTAGATCTTTGTGACTGACTTGACTCCTGGGTCCTCAGTAGGAGCAAACTGCTTTTGGCTGGTGTTTGAAACAAACCTGGTGGAAACAAAAATTCAGCTTCAAATGAAAGGAATCAAGCAGTTGACATATAGCAATAATTTGAACCAATAAATGACAAACCAGTCAAGAATGCGGCCCACAAATGGCGAGATCAGAGTCACTCCAGCTTCAGCGCATGCAACAGCTTGGGCAAAGGAGAAAAGGAGAGTTAAGTTGCAGTGGATTCCATACTTGGACTCCAGTTCCCTGAAAAGCAAAAAGTGAAAAATGAGTTAACAGTCACAGAAAACTTACAGTGCATCTGAAAAATATTGCCTACATACCTAGCTGCTTGGATGCCTTCCCATGTTGAAGCCAGCTTGATCAAGATACGGTCCTTCTTAATTCCATGCTCTTCATACAGCTCGATGATGCGGCGAGCCTTGGCAATGCTGGCCTCCTTGTCAAATGAAAGCCTGTCGAAAAGGCAAGTCACACATGATAAGAAATTTATCATCTGACTTCCGCTGTTGCACTCAGAGCTCTGCCAACAACATACCTTGCGTCAACTTCAGTTGACACGCGACCAGGAATGATGTTCAAGATTTCAACACCAAAAAGGACACATAATTTGTCCATAGCAGCATCAACAGCCTCAGGCACGGTCCTATTGACAAACATAAAACAAATTACTACTAACAGGAACAACATAAGAGCCAACAAACTGACAATACCCATTGACTATTAACACAACAAATATTGACGACAAAATTTCAGCGGTAAACTTACGTGCCAACTTTCTTTCCATACTCCACAGCTTTAGCAATGAGGTGCTTGTACTGCGGCATGTTGGCAGCAGAAAGCATGAGGGAAGGGTTTGTGGTCGCATCCGTGGGTTTGTACTTCTTCATGGCTGAAACAGACAAGACAATGTACCGGACTGCAATTATATAATATGACTCGACAAAATTGACTTGAAGACAACCAAGCCGACTGTTCCGGACCACCCAAAGACATACTTGGATGAAAATGAAGCACGCTAACTTAACAATCCTTCAGGAATACTAGCATAAAACTCTAAACGACAAGTTAAATCAAAAAGATTGATAATTCAAAATCAAACAGGTGTCGGGGCCGGCCAGCAGGTTAACAGCGCGGACGAGGCGCCGACAGAGGGGCGTAGCTTGTCAACGCATCCAACAAACGCGTTCAAAGATCCCGGACACAACAAAAGGTGCCGCTTGACATACCCTCGAAGTCGCCGGTGTCGGCCACGACGGTGGTGAGGGCCTTCAGCTGGGCGAGGGAGTTGGCCATCTTTGCTTTCTTTGGGCTCGGTGCGCTGTCTGACATGGAGACGGAGATGCAGCAGCTCTGCAGGGCCTCAAGCGACTAGAACGTGATACGCCGTTTTGCACCCAAGGAGCGATCACGGGCGACCAAAAGTCACCTTGAACCAGCTAAGCAGCTCAGCTGAGCAACAGCAAGGAAAGGACAGCGTCGCCGAATCGCTGACCTGCTGAACCTCAACAGCCGGGAGTGGAGTGAGGGTGAGGGTGAAGGCTTCTGCTGCGGTCGAAAGCGCTGTCTGTCTCCGTTGCACTGCCGCGATGCGTGCAAGAGCGAGAGAGAAGACAAGTGTGTTCCGGAAGCCGCTCGAAGGACGTCGGAGCTGCCAACCCTGGCGAACGGAAGTGCGTTGCAGGTGAACGCATTTTAGAAGTAATTAGGTTTAAAAATAATTAAGTTGCCACCATTAAGACGTTTTACCAAATTTATTTTCACGTTTTTTACAAATATTTGTCTTGCTTTTTCTAGTTCTCTTATCTGTTTGGACTTTCCAGTTGTGCCTACTTTGGCCTACAAGCCCGCGAAGTTTAACCAGATCAGAGCTGGATATTCTGTCAAAAATGTGTGACAGCAGCAAAACGACGAAACCGCGAGAAGTTGTGCTGTTAATTTCTTATTTCAGTCTGTTTCGGAAAACTTTGAAGTGCTCTGACAGCCGTTCGGGTCTTTCCGAAATTCTGCGACAGCGAAAATTGGTAGACTATGATCCGTCATTGAGGCAGACGACGGATGTACCTATTTAGAGTCGAGTTCTTCCTGCAAATAGGAAATCCTGTTTGTTCACTATTTTTTTTGTTTTTGTTTTTTCGGCGTGTCGCAACAAGATGAGGCATTTGTCAGGTTGCGTTTGGGTCGAGAGCAGTCGAGAGTTGTTACTAGTGGGTGGCAAAGAACGTGGTGTCGTCATGCCTCTTTGAAAGGGACACGTGTTTTCCGGCCTGATTTCGTATTTTTCCTAAGGTATGTCAAGGAGTATCGAAGGAAATGTCCCATTATCTTGGCAATGTCTTACCGGTACTGTGGATCCTCGTGCTCGTGTTCCAGACAACATGGGTGCCAGCAGGTGCTGTGTACCTGGGTGCAAGACAAGATATGGCAGCGGCCTTGCCATGAGACAGTTTCCAATTTCTAATCATCAAATGATGAAGAAATGGATGGAGATGCTACCGGCAGATGTCACCATGAGCAAACATAGTGCTGTTTGTGAAGTATGCTTCAGTGGAATTTATGTCTTGAGATTGCACAAGTGACAATAGTGTGCCATGTATTTATTTATTGATTTAAATTTCAGCTGCATTTTGAGGCGCATCACTTTGAGGAGGCTCGTATTGCTGGAAAAAGGAAACTCAAGTGGAACGCTGTTCCTACAATTGAGGTAATCTTCAACTCCTGCTGTTGCGTCACACTCAACAAGGTGACATGTGACGCCGCCCAGTGCCCTGGCCCTTGTTGTGGGACAAAAGAACCAGTGCACTGGGGAAAGAAGCGTTACTTATAGATGCATGCTACAAGTGGTGTGGTGTTAGGGTGACATTCTGGGCCGCACGTGACATTCTGTCCCAAAGTTCATCGTAAAATTTAGGTACTGACGGACTGTGGGAGTCTTGAATCGGTGACAGTGTTCTCATGGTGGAGTCCATGACGATGCCATGGCATTAAATTGGTTTCTGCCCAGAAATATCAGATGTTGCCCCCTTATCATTATCGCGCTGGTCTGGTACCCCATGTGGGGTGCCCAGTGCCCGTCCCGTCCTCGGTCAGCGGGTCTGTGAATGTGTGTGTGAGACGGGGGCGGTGTGGAGGGGGGTTGCGGTGGCGGCGACGCGGCGTGGCGTGGCGTGCACACCGCGACGCCGGCGCGCGGAGCGACGGAACGGACCCAAAAAGGAACACCGGACATCTACTTGTATAAGGCTACGCCATATTGGAGCCCTAATTTTTGTTTTTGCATAGTCGACGTTTGGCACCTTGGCGGCCCGTCCGCGGTGTCAAATTTCCCTGTGATTTGGTCGTCTGCTGCAGGTTAGCATCTTTCCTTCCCGGAAATCGGCGAGGACTCGTTCTCTGGGCTTTCGGCCGAATCCTGCGAGTGACAACCTGAAGCGCTGAAGCGGAGGGCGCTTTCCCCATCCTTGAACAGTCACTCGGGTTCGACTGTCATGTTATCCTGCTAATCTCCAGTGATTGTCAGACGTGAAGTGCAATTGTGTTTGAGTGTGCGTGTGTGACGTGCTTTTTTACGCGACGGTGCTCTGTGTGAGTTTGCGGCGCTTCGACGGGAAATCAGTGAATGCCCCGACCTCGATGAACGGCGAAGGCCCAAAGGGGCTCAAGCCTATCAACACCGCTTTGGTGGAAAGCTTGTTCAATTAGCACCTCTAGAGGCGTCGGGCCGCAAATTTGGCCTTTTCGCCGGCGCAGCACGGGGATTCGAACCCGGGCATCGCCTCTCGGGTCGGCACAGCGGCTCGACGCCCTCCCGGGGCGAATTTCAAGTCTTCTATCTTGGCATTAATTGTCGTGTAACCTACTCGTACGAGTGCCGCCTGCTCTTGCTGCTACTGCCGCGCCGCCACCGCCGCGACGCCGCTCTGTGCTGGGCGCCTTCCCAAAGGCCCCGCTGCCTGCCTGCCTGGCCCCAGGCGACTGGCGAGACGAGGCGCAGGCCACCGCTGCAACCGCAGCAACAGTGCGGGTGTCATTGCCGGTGAAGCTAAATCCGAGGGAGTTAGGCCCTTTGCTGGTAGGTGCTTTACGCGCTGTGATCCGGCCGACTTGGCCGCGCCTATCGCGAGTCTGCTTTTCGAGTGGCCCGGCCCGCGGGCCGCTATCTCGCAGCAGCAGCGCGAGTTCAAAGACCGCAGTGCCTCGCTAAACTGGACCGCCGTCTGCCCGTCCGTGTCCGTGCCGTCGCCGCGGCTGCCAGCCTAGACCCCTTTCCCATCGCGAGGTGAATTTAGATTTGCCGTCGATTTGCCCGACCCCCGGCGGGGCGCGGTTCTGGCCGCCAATTTGGAATTTGCGGTGCGAGTTGGTTTTGTGTGGGTTTGCGGCCGCGGGGTGGTTGCGGTCGTCAAGTCGCGAGCTGCCCGCGACCCACCAGCCTAGCAGCCACCCAGGCACTTGCTAATGACTATCCGCCATGGCTGCCCAAATGTTTTCCCAACGTCGCGTTTTCACGAAACCTCGTCAAACTTAAGCCCGCTCGGCCAAGCGCGCTCGAACCGGCTGGCCAGCGTTTGCGTTTCGCCTCAAATTTGTCCGCCTGCGCCCAGCGAGGGGGTGTTGTGTGTGTATGTGTGTTGTTGTGGGAACCTGTGTGTAAACTGTGGCATGAAAACATAACCCAATTTTCGAAGTTTGACGCGTACTGCATTGATTGCGATCAATACCAAATGCACAATAAACTGAGGCTCCAAATTTTTATTATTGTTATTTTTGGCCTACTGGTGTTTTTTGGTAGTTAGAGTGTAATTATTTTATTGTTTCTCATGACTTTTATCAGCTTCCATGGAGATTCTTATCAATGATTCAGGCTCTTTTTCCAGAGTGATTTTTACTTATATTTTATTTTATTTTCTCTGTTAGTGTTTTAGTTTTGACGTCCTTTGGTTCCATTGTTTTGTATGAATCGGCTTTTCCAACTTATCATTCTTTTTCAGTATATTATTTGCCGTATTCTTAAGTTTTCATGTGACTTTTTTTTTCTTTTGCTCTTTTCTTTGTTTTGAAATCATATCACAAATCAATTTACTGTGTGAAGGCTGCTCATTTGATGTGGAAGGAAATTTATAATAATGACTCAAGCGATAGATGCAAAGTCAGGGCAGCCATTCAATCTTGTCTCTTAATTTGCAAATCTGTCTTCCTCTTTCATTACACCTTTTTTTTTTTTTTTTTTTTTTTTTTTTTTTTTGTTGTAGGGGCCCATAGACTTCCTCAGCTTCTCCACCACTTCTGTGATGGAGAAGATGGATGTGGATGATGATGCTGTCATAGACCTTAGTGCAAGGTTTGTATTGCGGCTATTATTTGCTCTAAAATTCGTGTCCAACTGAATTAATCATGCTTGCCCCTTCCTTTCCAGTAGCCGTCCAGCACGACGAGACAACTTCAGTGATGGCACCCTCGACTTGTCAAAGCCTTCTGGGGAATCTCGAAGCAATGCTCCAGTGGTTGTTCCATTGCCACTATCACTCCCTTTGCAACTCAGTGGCTTGCCACTCACTGTGCAGGCCGTCACAAGCTCACCAAGATCAGCAACATCATCACCTAGCTTAAATACCGCCTCAGTTACCCCAACTGCCGCCCCAGCTATTGCACCTCCATCTGAGCCTGGAACCATGGAGCCGCCTCCAAGCCGTAGTTTGTTAAGGAGGGATGTGGACGGTCAATATCAATCATCAAGACGAAGCTTACGCCCAAGGCTTGAGCCACGTAATTATGTAGAAAGCCCTGATGTCATAGTTCTCTCAGATGAGGAGCCCAAGTTAAATGGGTTCTCAAATGGCTATGAGAGTGACTCAAGTGATTTAGGTGAAATGCCGCCCCTTTTGCCCATTAAGGTAACTTTTCCCTGCAATCAAATTTCTTTTATATCTTCTAACTTCTAACCTTGCTTAATTTATGAACATATTAATCATTACCAACAGGAACTTTCACCTGCCGAGGTTGAGGAACGAGAAAGAATGCTTCGCAAACTTCGAGAGGAGCTGCGAAACGAAGAGATGAAGCTGGTTCTTCTTAAAAAACTGCGACAGTCACAGCAAATGAAAGAAAACATTGCTGTTGCCCCCTCCTCTGGATCATCACAACCGTCTGGCCCTTCTGCCGTACCACCTCCAGCAGGCACCAAAGTTTTACCGGGGATGGTTAAGCCAACTACTTCAACTCTCATCCCTGGAACTACGATTGATCGTGTTCCCTCTGCTGCGCATTCTCATTCGCACTTAAATACAACTCAAGCTCATTCATTAGCAAGAAACCACCACAAACAACCTACACCGAATGTTCCTTTGCCTGTTAGCAGAGGAGTGGTAAGTTCTATCCATTTAATTTATTTTTTATCAATATTGAAATGGAGTCTTAACTTTTTTTTGCTCTTGTTAGCCACCCCCACGCAGTAGCCTGCCTCCTCCTTTGCTGAGCAATAGATCAACGGCAACTCCTATTCTACCTCCAAATACCACCCTGACTCCAACCAACATGTCAAGAGGTGAGCTTTTGTTTGCAATTCTTAACAAACAGATTACAATTTGTATGACAAGGTTTTCTTACTGAGTACATTTCATTGCAGGAAGCAGTAATTTAGGAAGATCAAGCAGTCATGGAGTTAATTATGCAGTCAATGATCGTCTCAGCAAGGACCACCACTCACCTGCTGCAACCCCACAACCACAGGTAATTATTTTGACCTAGTCCATCCGCCTAACCAAAGCCAGACTGAAATGTTAGTTTATCAATCTATTATGTGCAAGCTGCTTGGAAATGAAAAGGGTGTCAGTGCTCATTCGCAAGAGCAGGTATGTTTTTTTTTTTTTAAGTGCGACCTCCTTTTTAATTTACTATCAAGCCCACAGAAGAAGACACAATTTATCATTATGCCATGCTTGTGTGACTGAAAATCTCTTTCATGTTGGTAGTAGACTCCAAACCAATTATGCTTTAAAATTTCCCAGTGAGTTTTAATTAAGTGTTTTTTTGGACAGGATCGTGGTCGAGGAGAGGACAACCAAACTCCAGCTCAGCGACAAGCTGCAGCTAAACTTGCTCTACGCAAACAGTTGGAGAAGACTTTACTTCAGGTAGGTGTTTGCTAAATTTTCTGCATGATTTTTCTTGTTAGCTCAAGATTAATTGTCTAATGGATGCTTTCCTTCCAGATCCCTCCTCCTAAACCACCACCTCCAGAAATGCACTTCATCCCCAACCCATCAAATACAGACTTTGTGTATCTGTTGGGATTGGAGCATGTTGTTGACTTCATTACCAAGGACAACAAGACACCTGTGCCTCCAGAACCTTTCCGCTGCACTCAGTGTGGCACCAACTTCACTCCTGTTTGGAAATGGGAGAAAAACTCCTCCAAAGGTGAGACTATTGTTCCACTAAACTGTTGTTTAATTCACTTCATCTGAGGAATTACCAAACTTAATTTTAATTTTGATAAAATTTCAGGAAAAGATCCGAAGGTTATTTGCGAGTCGTGCGTGACTACTAATGTGAAAAAGGCTTTGAAAGCAGAACACACAAACCGCCTAAAAACAGCATTTGTCAAAGCTCTCCAACAGGAACAGGAAATTGAGCAGAGATTGGCTCAGTCCAGCAGTGCTTCTCCACAACCAGACAGCCATCATACACCGTCCCACACCCCCTCCCATACTCCTTCCCATACACCATCACCTGCTCCCAAATCTTCTACGCCAACCATCCCTCCATCCCGTCATGTCCCTACACCTCCTTCCAACAATAGTTCTTCTCGCACTCCTCCGTTGTCAAAGCTTGCTCAGGAGAACAGCAAGTACAGCAGTCATCAGCAGGCTGCAGCTGCAGCAGCCTTACAGCAACAGCTGCTGCGTGGAATTGGTGGTGTTGGGGGCCTGAACCAACACCAGCTCTCGGCACAGATGCTGCAGTTTACTCTGTACCAATACCAGCTTGCCATGGCCCAGGCCCAGGCTCAGGCCGCAGGGGCGGCTAGTGGTAAAGGAGCTGCAGCAGCAGCCGCCAACCTGGCAGAGTTTCAACGTCAGGCAGAGACATTACAGAGGCAATACCTCATGGACATGACTGCTTCCTCGCCTTCATCTCGTCACAGCAGCCACCACAGTGCCCACAGTATGAACAACTGGAAAACATGAGGGTCGCTCGGCCACTCGGCCTCCTCTATGATACCTGCTGACCTTCTTTCGGAGGTAATTAAGACCAATTCTTCATTTCAAGTATAGTGCTCATTTATTTTTGTTAGTCATTCTGAGGGTTTGGCTTTATTTATTTTTTATTTTGCCAGGTTATGTCAGCAGGCACCAAGGGGCCGGTGGCCGCAGATCTGCAACGTCAGTACCTGCTTGATATGTTGAATCCCCAAGCACAAGTCTCTCAACAGTCTTCAAGCTCATGGAAGTCTTCATCTTCCTCAAACCATGCTGCTGGTGTACCATTGCCATTACCACTACCCAAAGAACTTGCAGGAATGCTGGCAAACAAGGACTCCTTGCCACCCGAGCTAAGACAGCAGTATCTACTAGAAATGTTAAAGCCTGCTAATTTAGCTGCATTACGTTCTCAGCAACCCCCTTGACATGTGTGATTGTTTACAGTATTAACATGAAACCTTTATACATGTTCCACTTCAAAAACATAAAAATAAAAAAAGAATTAATTTTGAACTTCTGACCAATGTAGACATTGGTTTTAGCACAGATATCTGCTTGCTGCTATACTTACTTTACAAAGCTTTTCACTTGACAAGATACACCAGAAATGAAAGTTATTTCAACTTTAATACAGTTCCGAAGTAGAATTTTCTCCTTATGCAACAAAGCTCAGATCTGCAGCCGTCATACTTTTTGGCAGATCTGCGGAAAGCAACTGGTGTCTAAATTTGGGTTAATTCAAGGCTACTTCAATTAATTGGCCAATATTAGAACCTTACTTATTTCATCTGTTACTGATAAAAGCCAATAGACTGTGATCTTATCTGGCTGAAAGTGTTTGGTAGACTGTCATTTGAAACCAGTGACTTTGTTTTAACAAAATGTTGTATTTAAATAAAAATGTTCTGTTAAAACTGTATTATGGTATGCGGCTCGCAAGTCCATCCATTATCCTGTAAGGTTGCTTTGTTTTAATTTTCTGCTTTGTCTGAAACCTAGAACATTTTGGAAGTAGTCTTGATTTAAATGAGAACTTTGTCTGATTAATAAAATATGAATGGAAAGAACATAGAATGATAGAATTGTCTGCTGTATAAGTTAAGGCTAGATTGAGGTTTTAAATCTTAATTTGCCAGAAAATTTACAGACCAGTCTATTGGGTGATCGGAAATTGCTGCCTGAGGATGTCACTGATCTCCCAACCACCTTGCTGGATATGGTTCTGGGGTGTTGTTAGATCGGCCTGCAAAATTTTGGACTACTTATACATACTCTTGACAAACCCTCTTTAAAACTGGTTTGTTGAATAAACTGCATTACTTCAATGTTTTGTACCTCACGTTGTGCACCACTTAACCTGTTTGCTCCACCTTGCAATGGCTCAATCTTTATTTGTTTTTGTGGTAAACTTAAACTAAGTAGTTAATCTCCCTTTAGGAAAATTGGATGAAGCTCGTGTAGAACTATCAGCATTCTCTCTAGCTGTTTTGGGAATCGTTTACATTTATATTATAACTGGAACTTTGTGTTGAAACCGCCTTTTTTTTAACTTTTATTTCAAGAAGAAATAGTGGAGTAATTGTATTGAATGTATTTTATTCACATCAATAGTGTCCATTGAAACCTCACAAATGTGTTCTGCACGTATTCAAATGGTTGACTTCTGTAGGAAATCCAGTTAGATGGGCTACAATACTAATTAAGGATGTGTGTGATTAATTTTTTTGTCAAAATCTTAGACCATTGAGTTGTTTAAGTATTTGTTAGATGCTTGTTATGAATTTTGTTTTAAAGAACTTGATAGCCTTTTTTATAGAACAAATTTACATTTTCGGGAAGGGAGTGGCAAGGTTTCTGCTTTTGTTTGTTCTATGTAATGGGTTGTGATCTTCACAGTCGACCAACTTATTACCGCTACTATTGGTTTGTGCTTGATCCAAATGTAGCTTTTCTCTTGCCTTCGGTTCCTTTTTAACTATTTTCTTCTTTCTCTCTTAGGAAGAAGGTTTTTTTTTTTTTTTAAGCTGGTTAAAGATGGTTCAATATTTATTTGTTTTATGTGTTGTTTTGTCAATGTTATTTATATGTCCGGGGTTATTGAGGCATATGTAGGGTGAGCATAGCCCACTTAAGATCTGTTTGTGTACTTCATTTTAGAAGGTTTATTTCCATGTGGAAAACTTGTTTCTCGGTGTAACAAAATTGGCCCTTTTGTGTGCTCAATGTTTGTGTTGATTTCTGTTTTAAAAATTATTGTTTCAAATAGACCTGCAATTACCATTTACTAAAACGCTTTGTTTGGTTGGTCACATCTATGAGATTAATTCTGTTGGTCTAACTGCTCTTCAACGATTATTCTGTTTATGGTGCTTATTTAAGTGACGATTCTTCCATATGTCAGCAGAAAATGTTGATATATTTTAACATAGCCTGATCAGGAATAGAAGAATTAAACCAAAGTTTAACAATGTTATGTTGAAATGTTTTAGTTTGAGATTTTTTTTTTTAATGTTTCATGCTATTATACTTGTGTATTCCTGTTTTAAATGATTCATTTCTTGTACGTGATATTGGGGTTTATGTGACGGTAATAGGATGTGTTTCCCATTACTTCGAATTTCTTTTATTATATGCCTAATTGTATGAAATACTAGAATTCAATATATGGGTGTTGTCTTAGGCCTTTTGTGGGTTCGGATTTGAGGATCTTTTTCCCAGCCTCTCTTGATTGTACATATTTGGTGGAAGTAGCATCATGTGTCTCGGTGCCGCTATATGTGTTTTAGTGGTCGTTCTTGGCTTTGATGTTAACTCTCATACTATGTATGGGTAATTTGAACACAGCATACGGCTGCAATCAGCAGGCCCGCATCTCAAATTTGTTCTCTTTGTGGAAAGGTCTATGTTTAATTTGAACCGTAAATTGTATAGAGCAGGCTTCAGTGTTTCCTAGATAGTATCCTTTTTGCTTGAAGTATTTGGCCAATTTAACGACATGTGTGCAACAACCTCTATGAACGATTCGGAGTTCTTAGACGGAAGCACACTAAATAGTGTCAAGCTTGATACCACAACAAACTACCATCACTTTTGGGTAAACTAAATTATTTTGTTTACATGTATTCAGCATTGTTCATGTGTTTGTCACTGGTTCTGTTATTTTTCCTTTCGACTGTTAATTATAGATACTGTTTGGTTAAATTTGGCAGGCGGCCTGTTATCTCTTTATATTAAGCAACATGGATCTCTTCACAAATCCTTAATTTTTTTGTTTGGAACATTTTACTTATGATATTGATATTTCGTAGCATTTATCATGTGAAATGTGATAGTTGACTGTTAAACATGAAGCTTCAAGATCTGTTCTTTATATTTCACCTCCAAATCAACTTGAGTTTTGAAGGCCGACTTTTGCCTAGTGTATATAAAATCTACTTTATAAAAATTATACAACACCACTCGGACCTGCATTATTTTATTTCTAATTTTTGACCAAAGACGATTCCCGGGTGATGCAATGCAATGTATAGATCCAAATGAAGGAAGGAGAAAGAAAAAGAGTACTACATGGCTGGCATTTGTCTTTAGTATACAATATATGATCTTTTTTTATTTACAATAAATCTGTATGTACAGTCAGAATACTAAAGCTAAAACAAACATGCCGAAGTAGCAAATCATACACAGAATTATTGCTAATTTGTATCTAAAGTACACTCTCAACCTTGTTACCTAAATTACATAATGCCTTACGTCTGTTACATCACAGTTATGCACAGTGTAACACTGATAAATGCCAGTACTATTCAATCAACAAATATAACTGCAGTACTATTACATAACAATGGTAACCAACTTCGTTTGTAAAATTTTTACTTGTTCCTAAGGAAAAGTTGAACGCTTCAGATCAGGGCTACTGTTTGGAAATCTCGTTCCCTGTGCAACACTTTAGGATATGTCAACAGTAACAATGTAGATTTAAACTACACTAAGTTAATTTTTGTTCTGGGGTGAAAATTTTACATGAAGATTTAATAACCATCTGAGCAATCAAAAAAATCAATCCTGACCGAATAAAGCAACACATTGGTCCCCAGTAACAGTTAAATTATAAGAGGCGAGACAAGCAGCAAACATTGAACTTTTGTGTACTATGAAGCAAAGACTTAATGCACTAAGCACTTACTACAACAGTACCATTTCGAGAATGAGCATTTATTTCCTTAACTTTGGAGTATTCTTATGGCACAATTGTAAATTAAATCAATGCAAATGCTTGCCTTCTACACACTTCACAGCCTCTTCTTTCCTGAACATGACAAAAGGAGGTTTCCAATCCATCATCAGAGTTGAAAATGCAACATTAAATTAGAAATTAATCTAGTTAAGTGAGAAATTTTGAAAGTCACAACTACATTCATTGAAAGTACAATTCAGTCTTTAAATATTCAACATCATACCTTTCAACTCCCCAGGACAAAACTGACTTAAAAGTGGGCACTTGAAATAAAGTGTTCTATTAAAACGGCTGCAATTCAAAAAACAAAGGACAAAAAAATTATAAGCAAATTTTTGTCTCCAAAAACGGGGTATAGAATATTAATAATAAATACATTCATTCCTATGCAGTTACATATCAGGTACCCTTCAGTATGACGTACAAAAGAATAGTCATGTAGATTTCAATTCAAGGGCTTAACTTCACAGGATCCTTAGATTCCGAAGTTTGAGCCAAACCTAGTGTTAAGGATGATGATGATGATGATTTTAAGCATGAGTTCGATTTGTTTCTCGGGAAAAAACAAAGCTAGGCTACGGTAGATACAGTAAATGACAAATGAGAGATGTAGTGATACAGTAGTTCTTCTGAATTTAACATAGGTATATATTTTTAACTGGAGGCCCTGACTCCTATCAAATTAACACATGGAAATTTCTTTGTCACAAACTCTAAAATATATAAAAACACAGCTAATTAAGTACAAGCTACCGTTTATAATGAGAACTGTGCTATGTATGAACAAAAGCTTGCAAAACAAGTCACAACATAAAAAGAATGAAAATCAATGCTGCTCCATGTGAAGTTTATAAAGTCATTAAAAGTCTAGCAAAGTACAGGACAAGCTACAAAAAGGGACAAGCCAAAAGAAGAAATTGTCCCAAACATTAAAAAAGAAGAAAAAATACAACTCAAAAGAGGCAAAAGGCCTTCACGTTTATCACCAAAAAGTTCTTTAAAAATTGCAGAAAAGAAAACACCAAAAATGGAGAGAAAAAGTTGGGGAAGGGGAAGAGCAACATGGCAAAGCAGTAAAAAGAATCTGTAATCATGACAGAAGTGTGAAGAAGTGAGAATGTTTATAAATTAATTGTTGTACCATATTTATACCCTTTTAAAAAAAACACCCCCTTCATCATGAAATAACATTTCATTTTTAACAGTTGATCAATGAGCACAGTTATGAACCAATTGTCACGACATGGCATAAAGTCACTTAGATCTATGTATTAAAGCTGTGACCAGCACAGTGCTCCATGGTTTGACTTGTTTCCGCACTACATGAGTCCTGTTGATGTTGAAGTTGATGGTGTAGAATTAAATACCTCTGGGAAAGGACCATCGGTCCATTGAATTAAATTATGTTCACTCATTCTTGATGATGCAAAGTGGTCCTTCAGGAGGGTTGAAGAGAAGTTGCAGTGCATGGTGTAGGCACCATTTTCACTACTCACCTCACCAGATATTCTATACAGATCTAGAAAAGAATAGAAAGTTAATAAAGAATTTTAAATCAAACTCAAAGAAAAAAATTCAAGATGATTCCTCCTAACCTTTAAGAATTGCTGATGCCCATAGCTGAACATGAACATCGGGTATTTTACTTGCTAACTGCATGGCTGGAGTTACCATGTTCATACTTTCTCTAGAGTTGTTCAATGATAAAAATATATGGCCCAAAAGAACAAGGGAACAAGAAGTCAAACGATTCAGATCTTCAGCATTAGCCATTTTTAAAGTTTCCCTTAAGTATCTCTTGGCTTCATTGTAGCGAGCTTGAAAGAATGACTGCAGTCCTTGAACATAATAGGCAGCTGCTCTTAGACTGTGAGAATGAGTTGGAAGATTTTCAGGGTTAATACTTTCGAGGAGTCCAGCAAATTCTTGCTCCCGCTTAGCTCGAAGATATACTATTGCAAGATTTAAATTTGCAAAAGTCCTCAAGTCCCTTTCTTTAGATGATTGAAGAGCAGATTGAAACTGGACCTCTGCTGCATCCATGCAGTTCATACTCATAGCATAAAGACCCAGCATGGTATGTAGTTGAGGTCGGTGTGATTTAAGGAGGTGAGGATGCTGCTGACACAAATTGCAAGCCTGCGCTATTTCTTGCAGAGCCAGGGTCTTGTTTCCCATAACTAATCGGCACATGACTATGTGCTCCAACAGCATTAATTGAAATACTGAAAGAATAGGCTTGTTGTCGAGAACTGAAAAAGAATAATTGTGGTCAATGTAAATGATTCGGTATTTTAATACGCAAGTGGGCAAACACTTGTTCTGAAAACAGCTTACCTTTCAATTTTTCTATTTGTGCTAATGCTTTATCTGTGTATTCTTGAGCTTTGTTCATGTAACCTGCTTGCATAGAGTGCATTACTGTGACCAAGTATACTAAGACATAAAGGTGTTGTTTGGGCATCCAAATGAACATCTCCCCTGAGTTTCCATTTGACACCACTGAAAAAGAAGATAGTTAACAGTTAACTTCCATAATGCCCACATCTTTTCCCCCCATCTAATATTGGCAATTAAGTTTCCTCATAAGGAAAACAAACTGATATCAGTACCTTCGTCTGTAGGCCAAGTCGGCATCATGATTGTCTGGATACTCTGTTGCAGCTGCTTTAGACAAGGCTTCACGCTCTTCACCTGACCAGCCATGAGATAGTGACAAACCTGAGAACAGAACGAGCAACAGCAGTGTAAAGCACGAAGTAAACATTGAAGAGGTAGTGCTACACAATGGCTAGGATTTCAAAAGACTCAACCTACTTGTAAAACAAGGAAAAATACTCTTAAGTACTCTTTCTGATACTGGTTACCCTGCCAGTTGTCTACTAGGTGGCCTGCTTGATTGAGCAAGGGTAGAACTTCATTAAACTTCTTGTCTATTAGCAATAGCTGAAAAAAATGTAAATTTGGATTGAGAGGTTGCTGAATTAAGTAAAGTATAAGTTGACACACAGGAAAATATATTTGAAACATACCATTCCTTTGCTAAGAAGAAATAATACGCGAGTGTATGCAGCAGATGAAATATGTGCATAATCGACACCAACTCCAAGAAGACTACTTGCAAGTTCGTAGTCACACTCACTTGCATGAATTTGCTAAATAGAAAAAATGAAAACATAAAAATGAGTTATAGCAGACATGAAAGATGGATGAAACCACCACAAGACACGAACAAAGTACACTTACTGCTAACTGAAATATCAGTCGACAGTGCCAATAAATACTGTGCTGAGATAGTTCTATTGCTTTTCTTAAAATAGGCTTAGAAAGATTAGATTGATGTTGTTGGTCATGAAGCCCGGCCAATACACTTGCAGCTTCAAATTTGACATCGTCGAATTGATTTATGGTCTGCGACAAAATCCACTGGCAAAGAAAGAATAACAAAATTAGAAAGAAGGCAATAAACTATCGTCATTTGAATTGCATCATACATGTAAACCAATTGGAGACTAAAACATAGAAGATCATATGTAGCCTGTCTCGTGTGAGACCAACCGGCAGTTCAGAGCACGGCAATCTCAGACAACTGTCAAAGTACACAAACACACACAGCCAGGCAGCTTTTGATCCACAAAGTCTCCATTCACGTGAAATGCATCAATGGATAAAGCAAAATTTGGGAAATCTGAAAAGCTGAAGATTGGACATGCAAAGCATGCACTTTTTGTCGACTGAGTTTGATAGAGGCTCTGTGGTCATTCATGTCTATCGGATGGAAACAAGGACAAGAGCGCTTGGCTCCAAGATACTCGACCACAAACACTCAATTTGCAGGTTATGTCCAACACAAGTCACTCATCAACATCGTCAGCACACAACAACTGATACCAGCAACTGAAGCGCCCATCAATGAATCAAATTTTGATGGTAATATAACGTAAAATGACAGTAGTTATTTTTACCGCTCGTTCTAGGTGAGTAATGGCCAGGTCAATGTTTTTCGTGTGCTGTAGTAGGATGTTCCCAAGCTGGAGGTGGGTTCTGGCTTCGACTCTATGAGGTGGCTTGAAGTGGAAAACCGCTTGCAGACATTGAATGCACAACTTAATATCGGGAGGACTCGAAGTACGAAAGTTTTCAGCCAAACCAAGCAACGAGAGATACCAGGCATCTTGAGACGACGCCATTTTTGTTATTTACGTGTGGCGGCACCAAAAACCAAGCGCGGTTCGAAAACACAACTCGACAATTGACGATCGCCGTTGGCCTGGAGTTGTGTGGTGGTGTTGTGTGCAAAGGTTGTGTCATTTATTGTTTGTTGCTCTCATATTTGAACATTTGTCAATTGTGTCACGTTGAGGGAACTCCCTTTTCGCAAACGGTTGTCTCGTTCAAATGTCAAGTATCTTTCTTCGTTTCAATTTAAACGGAAAACTACCCTCCATAGAAGTTAGAGTCTGCTGTGTTCTGACCGTCCATGGCATGAATTTATCCCAAGACTTCTGATAACAACCTCTAAGGACCGTAAAATAGTACATGCTATCCTCTATCGATGTGAATTCTCGCCTTCCAAAAGGCTAGTTCGTTCGCTTCCGTTGCCTTCGGTTGCCGCTGCGAACCTGCCAACCTGTAGTGTGCCTGCGCCTAGCCCCTTGGATGGGGCTTAACCTGGATCAAAAATGGAAACTTTGAGGCAGTCGAGCCAGCTGATGCATTTGGAGGAAAGCAGCGCGCCCTTTGAGCTGGATGAGCTGGGCAGGAAGACAGAGACCGAAAGTAGGAGAGTGACTACCCGGTTTCATCCCCACCATGGCGACAACATCATTCTGCTGGAAGACAACACCGTGGCCTTCAGGAAAGCTAGCTTCGCAAATGCTGTGACGTTTAGTGAGAAGCCACTTATGCCAGGTGAAATATTTTTGCTTGAAATTGAGAAAAATGAAAGAGGCTGGAGTGGGTATATGAGGCTTGGGCTCACGCAGCGAGACCCTAAATGTGCAGTGACCCCAGATGGTAACTTCCCTTCATACGCCCTGCCTGAGTTAGCAAACATGGGGCAGTCTTGGATCTATGGTATATCAAAAACTCAGAATAATGTCTATCGGTTTGATTGCCAAATGAACAATATTTCTGAAGAAGACGATACTCCTTTAAAATCAGACTGTGTACAGATGTTTTTAGGTTCTAGTCACAGTGTTAAAACCTCTAGAGGAACAATTCCACGGAGTTGGCTGAGGCCATCATCCTCCAATAAAGGCGAAGAAATGCTGCCAACTGATGTCGGCAGCAGGATCGGAGTTGTCTATGTACCTTTAAAAAATGGCAATGCCGAAATGCATTTTGTCATAAATGGTGAAGATCAAGGCCCTTGCACCAGAGACATTCCATACAAAGAAGGACCCATACACGCAGTTGTTGATGTCTATGGGACCACCAAACAAGTTAGAATTGTTCAACTATATGGAGGTTTGTTATCTTATTCCTCATGGCTTATTTGTGCAATTTCATTGTTTGTGTCTGGCATAATATTAATGAAATTTTTTTCTGTTTCGCAGTTGTTAGTCTTCAGAGTGCCTGTCGGGATGCTATCCTGTTTCATCTAAGAAATCATTCAGTTTCTGCCTTGCCTCTTCCGAAGAGTCTTAAAGAATTTCTGCTCTTCAATTCATGAAATTAGGTTGTTACTCAGCTTGTCAGCATGTCTCAATTTAACCTTATGAAAAATATTGGCCTGTGGTATGCAAACCCTAGTTCTCATGAAAAGCTACATTAGTTTAGCCATCCTGATCTGATTGAGTGAATATTGATTTGAAATCAAAGATCTGATGATATGGTAATACCAATATGTGAAATTATATGTTGTACCCTAACTGCATTTTTTAATAGTACTGTTACATTTCTTCTTGTAAGTTGTGTGTAATGGGCGGACCGGCGGATCGAATGGTTTGCCCACTGACTTACTGGTGATTCATTTATCAACCTGTTTTATATTTTTCTTATTTTTCTTTCCCTCTTTCAAACATTCCTGTCTTCTTATCATCTTTTGCCTGTTCTTTGTCATAGTTGGTTGACTGTGAGTTTCCATTTCACTAGTCTCTTTGTCGTGAATAAATTGTCTTTACAAACTGTTTCCTCAAGAGGTCAAACAATTTAAAAAATTGAGCTGAGTTGAGTTGTATGTGGTATGTATCATGTGCTGGGGGCTGTTCATTAATTATATTTGGATGTCGAAAGTGTATGTATGCATGGCTTTCATGCCTCCTCCATCTTGCAACCATCCCATGATGAATCGATGGCATCCCAGTGGGTCAAATGTGCGTGTACAGTGTATGTCAATGCTTCCATTTGTAAAATGCAGTGCTAGTAAAAGCTAGTAAAAGTGTGATACATAGTTATGTATGGATTTGCAAGAATGTGATTTACTTTAATGTCTGTTGTGAGCAAGGGAGAGTCAGTTTCAAAACATGAAGATTTCATATGAGCAGGGATCCCCTTTTACTCAATGAAAAGTTGTTTTCCTTTTTCTGTTTTTATGGTCAGTTTCCTGCTTTTGTAGAAATTGCAGGTGCGTACTTTATGTTATGTTCTATTCGATTGAAAGATCTCAATGATTTATGACAGAAAGTTGGACTGAAATTGTGCTTTGTTGCTTAAAGTGGTGATGAAATCGATAAGCTCCGTCTCCAACCCTTTCTGTATAGTTTGACTTGTGCAGGTGCAAGCTACGTAATGTGTTTCACTAATAAAACTGTTACTCTATTTCGGCGATGCTGATTTTAAGTTTCCTCTCCCCTCCCGCCCTTTTCCTGAAAGCTCCCCAATGGGAAAAGGCAGTCGGCTGCCCTTGGTGTGATCTGATTTGCTGCCTCGCTTCGGCTTTCCATGTCGATTGTATTTCTTACAAATGTACACAACTAAATGAAGTCCCCCAAGGGCCGTCAGTGCCGCGCTGAGAGGACGGCGAGCAGCGCTGCCGCGAGCAGGGCCCCGCTGGAGACGATTCCGGCGGCCGCGCCCGAGGGCCTCTCGGTGGGCTTTGGTCCCACAGTGGGTGAGGCGGTGCTGGGCCTTGGCGCCGGCGTGCTGGTGCGCGGCGAAGTGCTCGCCGGGCTAGTCCTGTCCGTGGCAGTGCTGCTGCTGGTGGGCGGCGGCGCGGTGGTCGAGGTGGGCAGGTCCGGGTCCGGCGTGTGCGTCAGCGTGTACAAGACGTCCGCCGCGTCGTCCAGCTGGTCGGCGTGCCACCGCACGTTGTCCTCCGCCAGGCGAACGTGGCTCTGCAGCCGCTCCGCGGAGCCCAGGGCGGCGGCCACGACGTTGAGCTGGACAAGGACAGGCCGTCAAGCGAGTCACTGCTTCGAGGGACGAGAAGGCGTCTGACCACTCACCATGTCGACCTGCTCGTTGGTGGTCGCGCGGTTGGCAAGGATGGCGAAGATGTCGAAGGCAGCTCGCTGTCCGAACCTGATAACGCGGGGAAAACAGAGTCAAGTATTTTGTTGTTTTCGGGCGAGCGGTCTGGCGGGCAGCGCGCCCGGCCCGAAATGGCATACGATCATGTGTGGTCTAGCCCTTAATGGTAATGGTAATGGCAGGTAGGCAGTCCCGCGGCACTGGCGTGTCTTGCGGGACGGCCCGCCCTCAGCTCTGCAGGCGCTTTTAAACTGAAGGGGCTCGACCGCAGCTCGAACGGCATACTCACGCCTGGGCCACCTTCTGCGCGTTGCTCCTGAAGTGGCCGAGCGCGCTGGTGACCGAGGACGGCCCGGAGCGGCTCACGGCCTTGTAGAGCAGGGCGGCCTCGCCGCTGCGCAGCCCGGACGCGGCGGAGGTGGCGAGCCCCAGCAGGCTGGCGGTGGCGACGTCCTTGGGCGCGCAGCCCAGCCCCTGGATGATGGCGGCGCGGTTCGAGTCCACGGCCTCGGCCAGCAGCCGGCTCACCACGGCGTCCACGACGGCGGCGGCGGAGTCCCGCACGCCCTCGCACACCGCGGCCGCCAGGGTGTCGTGGCCGACGCTGCACCGACGACAGAGAGGGTGAGTGAGCGCCGCTGCACAGTGGATTTGCCAGAAGACCGGTGGAGGCGGCCAAAACTCTAGACGCGTTTTGAGCTCCAGAGTCGCTGAATGGGACTCGAACCGAACGTGTGACCCCACCAATGGATTCCTCGTTCGGAGAGCAATCCATCGGTGGGGTCACACGTTCTGTTCGAGTCCCATTTAGCGACTCTGTAGCTCAAAACGCGTCAAGAATTTTGGCCGCCTCCGCCGGTCTTCTGGCCCACTGTGCGCTGGAAGTGCGAGGGAGACGCAGCCTACCTGCCGGGGTCCTGCTGCCACTTGGCGAAGTCGGCGCGACCGTACTGGCGGCAGTACTTGTTGCCCGCGTCGCAGGCCCAGGCCGAGACCACGCCGCGCACCAGGCGCTGCACGTGCGTGTCGCGGGGGTCGGGGTAGAAGCCGGTGTCCTGGTAGGCGTGCTCCAGCAGTTGCAGCAGCCAGGTCTGGAACAAGGTGCCGTGTTAGCTCTGTCGCTCTGTCTCTGTCGCACTCATGGGGCGCGGCGAGGCGGCACCTTGTACACGGCCTCGTGGCGGGACTCGAGGAACTGCGCGTCGAGGTGGTCGAAACCGCTGCGGGCGGCCTCCCACGGCGCCAGGTCTTCGTCCGCGCGCAGGTAGTCCACCAGGTTGAGGGCGTAGGTGTACTCCAGGCGGCCGGAGCGCGCCAGGGCCAGCGCGTCGTCCACCAGCATGGCGCGCGCCACGGGGGACACCAGCGTGTGGAACTCGTTGAGGAAGCGCTGGAGCAGCACCCAGTTGTGGCTGTCGTAGTTGACGCGGTAGAAGTCTGCAAAGAGTCGTGCCCTGTTAGTGTGCCGCCGTTTGGCAGTGGAGTGGCGCAAGGAGCAGGCCCGGCCCTACCTCTGCGGTCCACGTTGACGAGCAGCCACTGGGCGACGTCATCGTCGGCCAGGTCGACGGCAAATGTGCCGCGGGGTGCCAGCCAGGCCTTGACGGGCGCCTTGAGCGTGTTGTTCATGGCCAGGTACTCAGTCTTGAGGGCGAAGGACACCGGCACCCACCAGTCGCCGGCCGCGTCGGTCCCGGCCGACGTCGTGTGCAGCAGGAAGCGTTCCTGCGGAACGCGGAGGCCGTCGTAAGACACGCCCTGCACGGTGTGCGCAGCCACGCACAAGGGCCAGAAGACCGGTGGAGGCGGCCAAAACTCTAGACGCGTTTTGAGCTCCAGAGTCGCTGAACAGGACTCGAACCGAGCGTGCGACCCTACCAATGGATTCCTCGTTCGGAGAGCAATCCATTGGTGGGGTCACACGTTCGGTTCGAGTCTCATTTAGCCACTCTGGAGCTCAAAACGCGTCTAGAGTTTTGGGCGCCTACCGATCGTCTGGCCCACTGTGCCACGTCTAGGGGCAGGAGGCACGCACCTGGGCGATGCTGACTTTCTTGTTCTCGTAGTCGCGGATGACGTTGAGCACGGGGTAGCCGCCGTCGTCCACCCAGGGGCGGAAGGCGGCCGCCACCGAAGTCGGCAGCGGGTTTTTGGTGGTATGCTGCGCGGCGGCCTCCATGGCCGCGAACAGGGCGTTCTTGTCGGCCGCGCCAAACTCGCTGCAGCGGCAAGGCCATTTTAAATCAGTACCTCGATTTTCTTTGTTTTCGAGTGACTGCGGGTGCAAGTGCTTACTTGGAGGCGAAGTAGTTGGCGAGGCCGGCGTCGAAGGCGTCCTCCTGCTCCAGAGCGTGCTGCAGCATCTGCACGACGGCGGCACCTGCACGCAAGCGGAGTTGGTGGAGGCCGTAAAGGAGCTGAGGTCGCGGGGCGGGGCGTCCCCAACTCACCCTTCGCGGACGAGGCGGCGTCCAGGGCCTCGGCGATGGAGCCCAGCGAGCCGTCGACGTCGCCGCCGAGCGCGCGCGCCCCCTCGAACGAGTGGGCGTGCAGGGCGGGAGCCACGGCGCGCGTGTAGAACTGCCCCTCCACCTCCCAGTGGTCCTGGAAGTCCAGCACGGCGGCGTACTGGTAGTAGCCGGCGAAGCCCTGCTGCAGCCACGCGCTGTCCCACCACGCCACGCCGACCACGTTGCCGAACCAGAGCTGCGAGACGTAGCGGCTCAGCTGGGTCAGCCACGCCTGCTCGCTCTCACCCGACGACAAGGAGGTGTCCAGGTTGGCCAGCCCGCTCGACCTGCGGACATGGAAACGAGCTTGGCGTTGAACCGGGCCCTCCAGTCGGCGCCGAGGCTGCCCCAGGCCTGCCCCAGGCCTGCCGCTCACCGCAGTGTGACGAGCCCCCACCCGGCGTCGCCGTCGTGGCGGCTGTTGTCCAGGCCGACGACGCTGACGTGCTGCAGACTGCCGCTGGAGTGGGTCACGTCGCCGAACAGGTTGAGGAGGTCGAGCACCGTGTTGACGGTGTCGCCGGCTTTGTCCACGACGGCCTGCAGGCCGTGCACCGTCACGAAGCTGTCGTCGAACTGGCCGGGCGTCTGCACCAGCAGCGCGGCGTCGGCCACCACGAGGGACAGCTCGGACGCCGCGATCACCGGCGTCGGCTCGAAGGCCTCCAGGACCTTGGAGTCATCGTCGGGGTCCCTGCAGACAGACGCCGAGGGTGAACGTCCACCGCCAGGGCCCAGAGCATCGAGCCAGCTCCAACCAGACTTACACCTGCCCCGAGCCCAACGAGGGCGTGTTGGAGATGGCCACTTGGTCGGCGCCGTGCACCACCGACAGGAACATGCTGGCGCGGTACGCGGGCTCGTCCAGGCACGGGAAAACGCGTCGGGCGTACGCGGGGTACAGCTGGGCACCCAGCATCTTCCTGAAGCACAAAGCGTACGTTAGCGCGTGTTAGCGGGTCCCGGAGGCCGAGCCGAAGGCCCAGGCCAACCGCAGCCGCTCCCTCACTGACCCGGTGCCGAAGTCGGCCAAGTACAGGCCGGTCAGGTCGTCGCGCAGCACCCCGGTGTACGACTTGATGGCGAGGGTGTAAGTGACGGTCTCCGGCGTCAGTCCTTCCGCCAGGGTGATGGTCACCTGCTCCAGATCCGGGTTCGACACCAAATCCGTCACCTTGATCTGGCGGTCGGAGTCGGCCTCGCTCACGGTCACGTCATCCACCTGTGCAGCGCGTGTCGTTAGTAACCGCGAGGGCGTTGACGGCCACCTGGAGACGGCGCTGACTCACCGTGAAGACGAGCCCGGACGCGTGCACGACGATCTTGGTCAGATCGGGCGCCTGCTTGGCGGTGAAGCTGAGTGCGAGGGTGCCGCTGAAGGTCTTGGCCGCCACGTCGGGGTTGAGGATCACTTCGTACAGGCTGGGGACCAGGTTGGTGGGGAGGCGGTACACCGAGGGGGTTGGGGTGGGGCCTGGCGTCGGCGGCTCTGTTGGTGCTCCGGTTGGCGGCTCGGTTGGTGCCCCGGTTGGCGGCTCGGTTGGTGCCCCGGTTGGCGGCTCGGTTGGTGCCCCGGTTGGCGGCTCGGTTGGTGCCCCGGTTGGCGGCTCGGTTGGTGCCCCGGTTGGCGGCTCGGTTGGTGCCCCGGTTGGCGGCTCGGTTGGTGCCCCGGTTGGCGGCTCGGTTGGTGCCCCGGTTGGTGACTGCGTTGTCGACCCGGTTGGTGGCTCGGTTGGTGGCTCGGTCGGTGGCTCGGTTGGTGACTGGGTTGGCGATTCGGTTGGCGGTTCGGTTGGTGGCTGGGTTGGCGCCGGTTCGGGCTTGAAGTACGCCACGACCTTGTCGTAGTTCGCAGTGCGCCAGTCCATGTTGGCCTTGGCAGTGTCTAGCGCCGCCTGCAGCCCCTGGATCTCCGTGCAGCCGCGCTCCAGTTTGCAGAAGTCGTCGAGCTGCGCAGGAAGGCAGGAGGCACAACACAGCGCGTTAGCGTCGAGGACGCTTTACGTACTGCGTACAGGGCAAAGTCTCTCTCACCTTCCTGTAGTTGGAGTCTGTGACGATGCGTGCCGCGAGCGTGGAGAACACGGTGAGGACCTCATCCACTCCGAACCTGCGCAGAGCTCCAGTTACTATCGCAGCCCCCTCTGCGACGGCCCAAAGACTCGTTTCGCGTCGCCACAGCCCTGGGGGACGCCCTGGCAGCGACAGAGACGGAGCCGCAGCCTTTGTGATCGTCCTTACTTGTCCTCGATGGTCTTGTAGTTGATGCTGACGGCGTTGAGGGCCAGGCTGAGGCCCTCGTTCGTGGAGCTCACCGACGTCCAGAGCGCGTTCAAGTCCCTCAGCTTGAGGCCGTTGTCCGGGTCGAGGATCACGTCCAGCAGCCTGGGCAACAAGAGCGGCTTTACACGCGCCAACAAAAGCACGCGCAATGTCTTCGAGTGTGCTTGAAACCCGGGCTTACCTTTGCTTCAGGGGGTATGCGTCGGTCTGCGGCGCACAGCCCAGCGCGTAGGTGTAGTCTTGCCGCTCGGCCTCGTCGTCCGAGGCCTTGAGACGCTGCAGCAGGTCGTTGAACGTGGTGTCGGGGGTGTTGACCTGGCTGGTGGTGGTGGTGTCGGCGAGCTGCTGGCAGAGCACCAGGCGCACCGTGTCCGGCTCGTTCCTGCAGGGCAAGCCGTCAAGGACTTGACTTCCGGCACAGTGGATTTGCCAGAAGACCGGTGGAGGCGGCCAAAGTCCCGGGCGCGTTTTGAGCTCCAGAGTCGCTAAATGGGACTCGAACCGAACGTGTGACCCACCAATGGATTGCTGTTCGAACGAGGAATCCATTGGTGGGGTCACACGTTCGGTTCGAGTCCTGTTAAGCGACTCTGAGCTCATACTGCGCCTAGAATTTTGGCCGCCTCCACCGGTCTTCTGGCCCAGTTGGCAAACTTGCAGTTCACCAGATTCACCCTCACCAGATTCCCGACTGCCAGTCCAAGTACTTCATGCGCGCTTCGCTGACGGCCGTCTGGGACTCGGCCTCGCTGGCCAGGCGCGCCACCACCGTCCGGGTCAGCTTGTCCTCGAAAGTGTCGCTGGGCAAGGAGGTGAGGTCCAGGGCGTCGAACCGGTCGCGCACCAAGCCCTGGACCCATTTCTGGAGCGGGGCGAGACCGGATCAGAAGACAGACCAGGACGGCCCTTACTGGTCCTTGACTTGATAACGCTTGGACCACACTGGGGGGTTGCAAGGACCACCCCATTGACGCCAAGATAACGGGGTCTGCACTCACGTTGAAGGCGGCCTTGTGCTCGCTGGGCCCGGCCCTGAAGTGCGCCGCCAGGTAGTCGACGTCCTTCTCGAAGGCGGCCCAGGGCGCGTAGCGCCGCTCCTGGGGGAGGTACTCGGCGAGGCGGAGCGCCACGTCGTAGTCCAGCAGGCCGGCGCGCGCCAGGGCGAACGCGTCGTCCACCAGCATGGCCCTCTCGGCCACGGAGAGAGTGTCCACGGAGTCCTGCAGCGCGCCGGTCAACGCCGCCCAGTTGGCGTCGTCGTAGTTGACGCGGAAGTAGCCTGCGGAAGCGGAAGCGACCTCGCCGCGTTGTTTGCTTTGTTCTTGTTGGTCTAGAGTGGCTTAACAGGATTCGAACCGAACGTGTGACCCCACCAATGGACTCCTCGTTCGGAGAGCAATCCATCGGTGGGGTCACACGTTCGGTTCGAGTTCCATTTAGCGACTCTGGAGGTCAAAACGAGTCCGGGATTTTGAGCGCCGCCACCGGTCTTCTGGCCCACCGTGTACCTATTTGGTCCACGTTGGCGAGGATCCACTTGGTGTCCGCCGACACGGCGGTCGGGTCCGAGTCGCTGGCCGTCCCCAGGAGGAAGCTGTTGCTGGCGGCACTGCCCGCCGCCCTCCACACGACGGGCACCTGCCACAACGCGCTGCTGGACTCGGCCGTCCTCGAGAAAAATCGAGTCTGCGGGAAAAATCACAACAAAAAAAGCTACTTTGGAACTGTAAAACTGTCACCAGCTGCTAATCTTATCCGCCGATTGTTTTTTGCGTCCGGCCTACGTCCTGTGTTTACGTCAAGTGACGTTAGAGATTTTTAATCTGATAACCATAATCCAAAGTGGCTTTCGCACTGGCATACTGAGTGCAATCTCTAAAGAGTTCGATTTTCCACGTTTTAGAAGAAGAGCGCTCGCGTGGCAAAAATCCTTTGTTATTTTTGTGTCCTTGTTTACCTGCTTGAACGACACCTTGCCGTCGGCCAGGCTCACGGCCACGACGGGGTAGCCCGCGACGTCCGTCCAGGACTTGGCCACCGACGTGAGGTCCACGGAGGGCTGCACGCCGGACTCCTGCACTGCCTGGGACAGGGCCTCCCAGAGGTCCTCTGGCTGCACGCTGCCGGTCTGCATCCTGCACAGGCAGCACCAACCAAGCGTCAGGAAAAATTAGGCTTTGAAAAATTGTGTACTAATCCCGACACTTACATCTTGTTCAGGTACAGCTGGATTCCTGTTCGGAACGTGTCCTCCCCAATGTACTGCCGCAGCATGCGCAAGACCGACGAGCCTGGAACCAATCCCAGTTTAAATTTCCTCCCACCTGTGTTTACTGACCCGGGAGATGGCAGTCTCACCCTTGGCGTAGGTGACGGAGCCGAAGTTGTCCAGGATCTCGTCCGGGGTGTACACCTCGTGGTTCATGGGGTTGGACGAGCTGAGGGCGTCGTCCACAAACGCGTCCTGCATCTCCAGCAGGGCCATCTTGTCCATGACGCTCCACTGGGGGCGCAGCTGGTCCACCATGAGGTAGCAGAAGAGCTCGGCGAAGGCCTCGCTCAGCCAGACGTGGCGCCACCAGCTGGGCGTCACCAGGTTGCCGAACCACTGGTGGGCCAGCTCGTGCGCGATGGTGGTGGCCACCGTCATGTGCGTGAGCGTCCTCGACTTGTCGCCGTCCAGCAGCATGGCCTCCCTGTCCACCCCCGGCACTCAGTACTCAGTTTCCCAGTGTCTCAGAGGGAAGTGGGCCAGAAGACCGGTAGAGGCGGCCTAAGCTCTAGACGTGTTTTGAGCTCTAGAGTCTCTAAATGGGACTAGAAACGAACGTGTGACCCCACCAATGGATTGCTCTCCCAAAGAGGAATCCATTGGTGGGGTCACACGTTCGATTCGAGTCCTGTTTAGCGACTCTGGAGCTCAAACTGCGTCTGGAATTTCGGCCGCCTCCACCGGTCTTCTGGCTGGCCCACAGTGCGCAGGCTCCGCAGGCCCAGGGTGTCGGCTGACCGACCTGTACGTGACCATGCCCCAGTTCTCCATGGCGCCGAAGTTGAAGTCGGGCACGGCGACCTGGTCCATCTTGTCGAGCGCGTAGGCGATGCCGGTGTACTGCGCCATGCCGGCCAGCACCTTGGGGCCGAGGTCCTGCGACGTGGCCGTCTCGTCCAGCACGGCGGGCGGCGCGAAGGTGCGGAAGTCGGCGTCGGGGTCGTCCTTGTGGGGCATCTCGGAGAGCAGCCAGGCCAGCGTGTAGCACGCCATGCGCGGCGTCGTCTCGAAGGTGGTCGTCACCTTGCCGCCGACCAGGCTGTGGAGGCGAGGCCGTCCGTCAGAGAGACGCTCCAAAGCGAAGGCCGTACGTACACTGTAGGCGCGGACTCACTCGGTGACGGAGATGACCGAGGGCCGGGTGTTGGACACGGCGCGCAGGTTCTTGAGGTGCTTGAGGGACAGGGTGAAGGTGGAGCGGAAGCTCGGCTCGTCGAAGGCGGGGAAGGCGCGGCGCGCGAACGTCATCTCGAACTGGGTGACGCCGAGTCGCCTGCAGCGTGCAGCACACCGTGCAGCCACGTGTTAGGATCATCGGAAAGCAGACGCTAGCAGCCCTCTTCGCGATGCACAGTGGGCCAAAAGACCGGTGGAAGCGGTCAAAACTCTAGACGCGTGTTCAGCTACAGAGTCGCTAAGTGCGACTCTGGCGCTCAAAACGCGTTTAGAGCTTTGACGGCCGCCAACGGTCTTCTGGCCCACTGTGAAGCGTCCTGGCGGCGATGCATTACTTAGTCTGGCCGTTCTCCGTGTAGGAGGAGCCGTAGAAGCCCTTGTCGTCGTCCCAGATGGTGCCGCGGTAGTCGCACGACAGCACGTACTGCTCGCCGGCGCGCAGGGGCGTGTTGATGGCCTCCAGGTCCCACTTGATGAACTGGCGGACCGTGTCCAGCTCGGGCTTGCCGAGCTCCGCGCCGTTGAAGGTGCAGCTCGTCATTTCCAGCCCGTCGGCGTGCAGCACCAGCTGCCCGGCGGTCTCTTGCCCCTGTGGACGGGCAGCCTGGTGTTCAGCAGGCCTGCGTCTCGCCGGAACACAGTGGGCCGGAAGACCGGTGGAGGCGGCCAAAACCCTAGACGCGTTTTGAGCTCTAGAGTCTCTAAATGGGACTCGAACCGAACGTGTGACCCCACCAATGTACTCCTCGTTCGGAGAGCAATCCATTGGTGGGGTCACACGTTCGGTTCGAGTCCCGGTTAGCGACTCTGGAGCTCAAAACGCGTCTAGAATCTGGGCCACCTCCATCAGTCTTCTGGCCCACTGTGCGGAACTGATTCGCCATGTACTCGGTCCTGACCGTCATGTAGATGTCGACGTGCGCGTCGAAGGACTTGGCGGGCAGGCTGGGCGTGATGATGATGTCGTAGTGCGTGGGGTAGGCCGCTCGGGGCAGGCGGTAGGTCTCGTCGCCGGGCGCGGCAGGGCCGACGCCGACGGCGTGGTGCGGGGGTCGGGGGCGGGCCGGGCGAGCCCCTGCCACCCCCGCGACCACCACGGCGACGGCAAGCGCCGACAGCAGCAATTGCCCGCTCCACCTGCACCACCAGCGCACGCAGCTTCAAACGTCGGCATCTTACTTAAAACGGGCCTTGACCGTTGGAGGAAATCCAGAGAGGACGCTATCCCCGAGTGGTCTGTGTTTCCGGTTTTGCACCCGACCCGACATAGACAGCTGCACTGTGAACTCAAGTCCGCGGGCTGAACTGAATGCACACACTTGGGTTTGCAGTGCGGTGCCTAAACGGGTCGTTACCTCGAAGCGCGGGCCATGTTGCGGAGCGGATGCACCTCCGGGTGTGCAGGCCGTCAGGACGCGAAGACCCCGCAGTGACAGTCCAAGTGGCGTGGCATCAATCCATCGACCGAAAAGATTGGTGCTTCGCGGTAATCTCCTCCGTTATCAACAATATCTGGCAGGCAAAGTTTGAGGCCAGCCCTAGCCCGGCTACCGGGCATTGCGCGCTGGTCTATCTCCCTGTCACTCAAAGCTCACAAGGGACGCGCCAAGGCACGCGCAACGCGCCCCGCACCGCCCTGCCCGCAATGAGGTGCACGGACCGCGGCACGGAGGCGGTCAAAATCTCGGTCGCGTTATGAGCTCCCCAGGGTCGCTAAATGAATGGGACTCGTACCGAGCGTGTGACCCCACCAATGGATTGCTCTCCCAACGAGGAATCCATTGGTGGGGTCACACGGTCGGTTCGAGTCCTGTTTAGCGACGCGTCCAGAGTTTTGGCCGCCGCGGTCCTCTGGCCCACTGCGCGCGGACCGCGGCACGGACGGGGAGTGGGGAGGGGAAGTACCAACACGACGGTGCCGAGTCCGCGCCACTGCAGCACGCCTAACAAGGCCGAGCAGTGTTAGTGTCTGGGTGGTACTTCCCTTGCGCGGTGCACAGCGGCTCTCCGGGCAGCTGCAGGATGCATGCACGCTTACACCAGGCTGAAGGTCTCGATGCGGAAAAGTCGGCGCGCTGTTCCTTGGCCTTGCCTGGCCTTGCCGCCCCGCGTAAGCCACTGTCAATCAGTGTCCTGACAGCTTAAAAATTTTTCCTTGTGTCAGTCCCCACGCCGTGGTGAAATATGTCCCGAGGCGCGGCTGCGCAGCGTGGGCTTTAGATAGAGCCCTGCTCAAGCTCTGGATCTATCAGCCACTGGGGCGACTGTATCACTGATGCGGCGCTGTGCGGCGCCAAGAGACCTAGACCTGGAGGAGAGGGCGCACGGCTAGAAATGAATCTAGAAACACCAGTCGATTTAGGGTTTACATTTATATTTATTGATTAACAAATGTCTTATTCTATATGGTAACTGTTAAAGGGGAGAAGCAGGTACGGCTACTGTCAAAAAAATTACAATAAAATAAATAGCTAAGGTACACAGCTTACAAATACAGGTTTCCAGTCCTAACTTTCAGGCACATCTTTCGCGTAGCAGTTGGAGTAAAGAAAAGACAACTCAAAGACGCGGTCAACTTCATGAGCAGAAGAAGGTACCTTATCTGATTCAGTGTTAAGGAAATTTCAACAAATTAATAATGCTATGCAATTTCTGCAGCCCTCAAATAAAGGATACGTAATCTATATGCTGTCACCTCACGTTTATCGTGAAAATTTTTTACAAAGCCTTGCAAATGTACACAATCTCCTTGCTCCAGTGGCCTGAATGAAATTTGATTGGCATTAAAGGCCTCTTCAAGGAGGAACTCCATTGCCTGAAAATAGGATGAATTTAGACAGTGAAAAGAAAGGGCCTTTCTTTAAAGCCATAAAAATTTGAAACCTTTAAGAAGGTGGTACTTACTGCCCCTTCAGCAGACGCATTTCCAAAGTTCATCTCAGCAATTGATTCTTGCAGCTGCTCAATTTCATGTAGTTCATTCAAATGCCTTGTATTACTATGATTGAAGCTACAGATAACTGTGCCTGTGCCATCATCAACTAAAGGGGAATACAGGAAAGATATTAAGGTGTTAGTTGCTGAAAAGAAACACGAAGATTTGAGTGGCTTACCTCTGTATATGTGATGGTCACCGTTCTTTCTTACTTCTGTTACAATGCCCATAATATCGACTTTACGAATGTATTTATCGTAAAAGCGAAAGTAATTAGGATCCACGTCATACTGTTGGAGCTTCCAGATGTCTCGGATAAAAATTTTAACTGGCACCTCTTCTTTTTCTAGTTCCATTTTCAAAACTCCTGTGCATTTACTATGAAGGGACAGATGTTAGTAAAGTTTATATGGAGAAAATTTCCGATAATTTGGTACCAGAACAAAAAATATTTCATTACAATACAATTTTGTGTTAGATGTGTTGTACACTAGAGGTTAGCAAATTCTGGCTCGAACCAAACAAGTCACTGAATGCATATATTTTTTCGAATTGAGATTAATAAAGACATTTTCACTGATTAGATTAAGAAACAACTTAAAGTGACTCCTCTGTCAAGGGTTACAAACAAAAACAAACATAAATTTGGACGAGGGACGATATCAAAACATCAAAACAAAGCGCGCCAGTCAGCCAGCAGACGACAGTAGGATACAGTGTCACTAACTGTGGAAAGAGAATTACGTAGACAAGTCTTAATAGTTGTCATGGAAAGGAATCCCTCATTAAAAATACAAGGAAATTCCAAAATAAAACAAAGTGCGAGTTTTGATTGCCTGATACATGTCTCACTACAGTACCGTATTGAACACCGCCATCGAAATTTAGAGATGCAGTTTGTTATGTTGGCGGAACAACAAAAAAAAAGTGGATTTCGTCTCCAAATCCACGTACTTCTATTGACATCATCAAAAACTTCTGTATTTTTAAGGAAAAATGAGGGTTTTAGGGTTTATATTGGTCTTAATTTACGGTATAGTTCTTATACAGACCTCAGATGGACAACGAAGTCGGAAAGAGGTGAGTCAACTGTTGTAAGATGATTCTCTACCGCTGTTTTACCGGTTTCTAGGGTTATAGACGACACCCACTATATGTCATCACTTAAAATTTGCTCTCCATAAAGGAATGTATAGATCGCCTAGCCTCATATGATCCTTTAAGGGTTTCCAATTCGTTCATTTAATTTGTTTAAACCTTCATCTCTATTTTCTCTTTTACTTTCAGCCTGGACAGACATCTCTCAATGAGAAGGTGCAGCAATTGTTGGACATGTCAGGCAAGCGGGCATTAATGCGCTTCAATGGGAACAAATTTAGAGACTTTATTAAAGCGACCCCTAGGAATTATTCTATGGTGGTCATGTTCACTGCGTTAGCCCCTCAACGCCAGTGCTCAATTTGCAGGTATGCCTCCCTACTGCAGGACGAAATGTCACTTGTTTATGCTTCTTGAAGCAAAATTGTAAATCATTGTACTTTTGTTTCAGACATGCTCATGATGAGTTTCAAATCCTGGCAACATCATTCCGGTATGCGCACATGTCCTCAAGCCGTTTGTTCTTTGCTATGATTGACTTTGACGAAGGCTCTGACATATTTCAGATGGTAAAGTATTTTAGATTTAGCTGCTTCTGACACATGTTTCTAACAGTGCCTATGTATACCTATATACCTATTTTGTTTTCCTCCTCTCAGATGCGATTGAACACTGCTCCTGTGTTCATTCACTTCCCTGCCAAAGGGAAGCCCAAGGCAGCAGACACCCTTGATATACAGCGTGTGGGATTCAGTGCAGATGCCATAGGCAAATGGATTTCAGAGAGAACCGATGTTGCTGTAAGATGAATTATGCTGTTGGAAGGGAGAAATTTCTCAGATTGTTACCGTTAACTAAAACTTGCAATTACTCAATTCACATCTCTTCTTTTAGATTCGCATTTTCCGGCCTCCCAATTATTCTGGCACAATGGCTTGCATACTATTGCTGGTGCTTGTCGCTACCTTCCTGTATGTCCGCCGGAACAACCTCGACTTCTTGTACAATAAGACTGGATGGGCCCTGATGGCTTCGGTATGTAGTTCATTTTTCTTTTATTGTCCCATTGATTTGGAAATTGTCTCTACCTTATTTCATTTTTTAATTATTTTTTTTCAGGTGTTTTGCTTTGCTATGGTCTCAGGTCAGATGTGGAATCACATCCGAACTCCTCCATTCGTCCACAAGACGCCATCAGGCGGTGTTGCCTACATTCATGGTTCTTCTCAGGGACAATTTGTTCTAGAAACTTACATTATCTTTTTCCTGAACGCAGCTGTCTCTCTTGGAATGATCCTTATTACTGAAGGTGCTGCTCGAAGAGGAGATGTCAAGAAAAGGCGCATTGTAGTTATTGTGGGTCTTGCTCTTTTTGTTGTTTTCTTCAGCAGTATTTTGTCCATATTCCGTGGCAAGGCACATGGATATCCGTATAGGTAAGTGACAGTAAATTTTTAAAATTAAACTGTCAAAGACACTTTATTTTAATTTTTTCATTATTTTTTTTCAGCTTCCTGTTTAAGTAGTCAATGAAATGAAATCCCCATGCATCTGCAGCAGTTCCAAAAATAATGAAGAAAATCTGAAAATTTTGCTGATGCATGCCCCTACCAAGGAAATGTGCAATCTGTGTATGAGCTTAGTTTTAAATTTTGTAATGTTGTTGGTTGTTTAATTAAGTATGTTTTCCTTTCTCAATATTTTTGGAGGAGTGTTAATATTATCTTTGCACTTTGTGTGATTGTGATAAACCACTTCCCTTGTTGTTAATGTTTTACTTCCTGCGCACTGATGCAAGGTGCAACATTTGATAAACTTTTTAAAAGTGCTTTGACCCTTTTTTACTTTCACATTAGCTAATTTATAAAAGTAAAAAAGCAGAAAAAAAATAGAGTACAAAATAAGCATAATAAAAATATGACAGTTTCAACTAAGGAACAACTACCGAATTGCCACTATATTATATAGATCATAATATAAATGGAATTATTGCTTTTCTCATCTTTGGATATTCTTTAAATTTCTCTTGATACCACCAATGTGTAAGAAATGCATTCTCAACCTGCAATCAATAGAATTGTTATCCTATGATTCAGAATGAAATTTCACTCAAGGACAAAATAAAGGACAAAATAATGGACTCATAACTTGTACCTGGTTGCTCACAACCCACAGTGTCACAACGGGGAACACAGTGCTACCCCACAAGATGACCATGAGGCATAAGTAAATAATGACTTCACATAGCATATGAGGAGATGAAACAAATTGGAATAAATCTCCCTCAGGTAATCTGTACTTCTGACTGACTACCTGACCTGCAAGTTTGAATTTTACAACATGAACAGGAAATCAAAATTCAATTCTAGATTGGTGTTAAAGCTCACACAGGAAGTTCATATGTTTTGTATTTACCCGATTTATCTCTACGCAAATCAGCTAAAATAGAAGCGGCCCGAAATTGGTGAATGAATGCCCACATGAAGATTATTACAGCAATCAAATGGTAAAGATGGAGCTCAGAAAAATTAAGCCGCAGCACAAGACTACTCACACCTGTAAATGAGCACATGTGGATGCAGGCACTGATCGGTGATTTTAAGTGCGGTTTTGAGGGACGGACTGTACCTGTGTGAGGTGTGAACCCAGGGGCCTCAACTAATATAGCAGAGATGGCTCCAAAGTAGTGAGAAAACCCCACAATGTAGTGAGAAAGATTCATTTTGGCGTCCGAAAAGACACTGACAAACCATGTCTCATAGAATCGCCGTACGCACTGAGCGGTCATCAATACTAGGGCTATTAATGTAGCAATGGATGATACTGCAGAAAAAATAGTGTCAAACCTCACTGTAAATATACATTGCAACAGCAAAAGATGGTGCAAAAATTTACCTGTGAAAGAACGTTGTGTGGTAGCCAGTATATTGAGCAATTGTATTGCTTGTGATGGAGCTTTCCCATCAAAAAAGTAGACCTTAATAGCAGTGAGGAGACAGAGAGTTGAATATGCAGCAGCAAAGACGTAAAAATGGGAAAACCATCTGTAAAAAAAAATGGAATAGTAAAAAGTTTGAACAATCTGGCGATTAATGCTACCAAATGAAGTGGTTCCTTACCGTTTTGGAACCTCAATGGTTTTTAGCTTTGATTTCTTTCCCTCATATGAAAACTTGCCAAATCGATACGACTGGCTAATAAATGTTGGTAATCTTTTCTCAATAGTATTCAACAAGCCACCAAACACAACTATCGTTGCTGTCATTGCATAAAATTGAAATTTCAGCACGTGAAAACGCATCTTGATTAGTTTGGAAGACAAGAATATGAGTAAAGTGTGCAAACTGGCAAGCCTCCCCAGTGCCTCGCACTTTCTAAATGCAACGCCACATGAACTTTCTCTCTGTGAACTCCTTCCGTGCAGCCGACACTAGGGCAACCTAACCTCTCGCAATGTTTACCAACCAACCCGCCATGATGAATGGGGCACTACCAACATCTCCGCGTCGGTGTCGCAGAGATCGGAATAGCGACGCCACGCGTCACAGTGGCGTTGTCTGTTTCCTTTATTTTTAGGATATGGTTGGAACTAGCAGACGACGCAAGCGAAGAGCAGACGACGAGCAGACGGCAGCGGAAGACGCAGACAGACAACTAGGGAGCACCCCCTCCCCTCCCCTCCTCCCCAGCCCCCAGCACGGTTCGCCCGCCAGGATCTTCCCTTGACCGCGTGGACGGGACGGCGTGGACTTCCCCGAGTCGCGGCTTTTTGGACGTCGCTGACTCCAAGACTCGTGGGACGCTTCGCAGCGCTTGGAATCCACTCTCCGGCATCGCTCGGCCATGGCTCGGCCAGCAGGCGCCTCAAAACTGGAGCCCGCCTGCCCGCCGCGAGTTTTGACCCTCGACTCAAGGAATATGCGCCTGGGAGTTCGTTACGAGTAATCGGATCATTTGGCCGCCCCTGAATGGGCAGGAGTGCGGCGCACAGTGGGCCAGAAGACCGGTGGAGGCGGCCAAAACTCTAGGCGCGTTTTGAGCTCCAGAGTCGCTAAATGGGACTCGAACCGAACGTGTGACCCCACCAATGGATTCCTCGTTCGGAGAGCAATCCATTGGTGGGGTCACACGTAAGGTTCGAGTCCCATTTTGCGACTCTGGAGCTCAAAACGCGTCTAGAGTTTTGGCCGCCTCCGCCGGTCTTCTGGCTAGTCCACTGTGAGGCGTGCGGCGTGGCGTGCGGCGTGGCGCGGCGTGCGAGGCGTGCTCGGTGCGGTGGGATACACCCACCACCCTGGACCCTGGATGATCCTTGTCTGCTGCCCACCCAGTTCCAGCAGTTCCAGCGTTCCAGCCGTTCCAGCAGGCCAGTCCACCTCCAAGTCTCCAAGTCTGGCTGGCAGACTCCGCCAGTGCCCACAGCCCACCAGCCCACCAGGTGTCCAGGACGCAGCGCGCGCAGCGCCTCGCCCCAATGTGTGCCCACCCAGCCGCCCCGCCCCGCCCCGCCCCGCCCCGCCTGGCGCGCCGCTGCGCCGCGGCACCGCCTCCGCCGTGGCGCGACAGCTGCGGCAGCTGCCCTAGCACCTAGCAGTCCAGCACACTGATTCCGATAATTCATCGCTCTGTCTCTCTCGCACTCAACGCACCTCACGCAAAGGTGCGAGAGAGACAGGGCGACGAAAACGACTCTCGGAATGAGTCTGCAGTGGACGCATTCACGTTTGACTCGTGACGACAACAGCAAAACCGACAAAAACAAAAACATGAGAAAAACAAGCGAGTAATTGATGATGTGTGCATGTCATGATGATTGTCAGGGCGTAGGAGCTGTTCTTTTTTACCCGAGGAGACGAAGGGCATCATCCCTGACTGCCTCCGTGCCTCAATTATTTATTTTTTCGGCATTTTGGCATTTGTCATCCTGTTTCTCTCGCACTCGTGGGGCGTGTGGGAGAGAGAGAGAGGCGAAGAACTGTACGGAATCGCTCTGCAGGCGAAGCGCGAACGGTCTGTCTCTCTCGCACTCATGCGGCGTCCCGGAACAGGTGCGAGAGAGACAGCGACGAAAACGACTCTCGGAATGAGTCTGCGGCGGGTGGCACATGGTCTCGACGCACAGTGGACCAGAAGAACGGTGGAGGCGGCCAAAACTCTAGACGCGTTTTGAGCTCCAGAGTCGCTGAATGGGACTCGAACCGAACGTGTGAACCCACCAATGGATTGCTCTCCGAACGAGGAGTTCATTGGTGGGGTCACACGTTCGGTTTGAATCCCATTCAGCGACTGTGGGGCTCAAAACGCGTCTAGAGTATTGGCCGCCTCCACCGGTCTTCTGGCCCACTGTGCGACGTCTCGACCGGTCTCCGCTGGGCAGGGCAGGCCGGCCACGCTGGGCTGCTTCGAGTCTTCGAGTGTAGGCGCGCCTCGCCGCCTGGCCGCCTTGCCGCCTTGGCGTTGGCCGGAAGTGGGGTGTCGCTTCTCGCTTCTCGGCGCCTCTCACTTGCATCCGCCGGAGCCAAGCTTCAAATTTAGGAACCAAACAAGTGCGCGCTTCAAGCGACTTACGGAAATAGACGCAGGGGGCCGTGGGGGCCGTGGGGGCCGTGGGGGCCGTGGGGGCCTCCCCCTCAGCAGGGCTGGCGGGGCGCGCCGCCACCACCGCCACTTCCGCTGGGAAGGGGGAAGGGGAGGGGAGACGGGGGGCTACAGGTAAAGTTTGAGACGGCGTGGTCGCCTTGCGCGCATCGCGATCGCGGTGCGACTTCAACGACCGGACAGGTGAGCGACCCCTCCCTCTCTCTCCCTCCTTTGCGCCGCATTGCCCAGCGTTGCCCATTCATGGGCGGTTCACGGGGGTGCGAGAGAGACAGAGAGACCCTTCTCCCTTCTCTGCAGTCCTCTGTCCGGAGGAGTGCCAGACGCGAAGCGCGAAGAGCCCAGGACGTCCAGGTGGGCTGCAGGTGGGATCCAGCAGGCCGATTCCGGACCGTTCGTCGCTCTGTCTCTCTCGCACGCAGGGGCACGCCGCAGGGGTGCGAGAGAGACAGCGAGAGGCGCGGAGGTGGGCGACGCGACGGGGCGGCGCTGGCCTGCCGGCCTGGCGGTGCGAGGGGCGTGGCGGTGGCGGCACGGCGTGTGCACGGCGTGGGTCTTCCAGCAGTTTGATTCCGTCTCTGTCGCACTCAGGGGGCGTCCCGCAGGCATGGCGTAGCACAGTGGGCCAGAAGACCGGTGGAGGCGGCCAAAACTCTTGACGCGTTTTGAGCTCCAGAGTCGCTAAATAGGACTCGAACCGAGCGTGTGACCCCACCAATGGATTCCTCGTTCGGAGAGCAATCCATTGGTGGGGTCACACGTTCGGTTCGAGGGCTTTATGGAGGGTATGATTAACATTTGTCGAGATTGGGGCCGCCGCGCTGCGAGGCTGGCAGAGGCCGGGCGGCGCACTGCACCCACTCCACCCCACACTGTCTGCGACACCGGCCGGCCGGCGCGGAGTCGCAACCACGCCGGCAGACCGATTCCGAGAGTCGGCCTCACCGCTCTGTCTCCCTCGCACCCCAGCGGGACGCCCCGTGGGTGCGAGAGAGACAGAACGACGAGAACGGCTCTCGGAATGAGTCTGCCGGCCGCCACCGCGCCGCCGGTGAGAACTTGCGTCACAGTGGACTGTCGAAATGCGAAACGCCCCCGGAACAGTAATAATAGACGAGCTGCACACTTGACACCGGCGTGTGCGTGGCACCGTGGTGGCACACCGTGGAGGCACGCCGGCAGTATGGCACATGCAGCCGACGCTGTCTCTCTCGCACTCACGGCGCGGCCCGAGCGGCGCGAGTAGGTGCGAGAGAGACAGAGCGACGAGGCAGTGTGAATGGCCGGCCGCGTCCCACTTGAGCGTGCTTCACCTTTTCAACGAGTGTGGCATGAGATTCCAGCCGTGAACACCCTTGGGTGGTCACCCGGAGTATGGCACTCGAGGGGGTAAACACTTCAAGAAATCGTGTACAGACTACTCGGTATTACGCTGTATTACGGGTGTATTACACGTGTATTACGGCCCTAAAATGCCCAAATTTGGCACATTTGACCCAAAAATGGTATTACGATCACGTGTATTACGCGTATTACACGGTTTTTGTGTACAGGGTATTACGCGAGTGGTCACCCCCTCGATGGCACTCTGGGGGTGTTCAGCAGGGGTGCGAGAGAGAGAGAGAGAGAGAGAGAGAGAGAGAGAGAGAGAGAGAGAGAGAGAGAGAGAGAGAGAGAGACGAGGCAGTGTGCGGAATCAGCCTGCTGTCTGAGACATCCTGCCGGCCGGGGCCGGGGCCCGGGGGGACTGGCGCGACCACGTCCAAGTCCACGACGTCCACGTCGTCCACCACGCGCCGCGGTGGGGCCGACCGCGCCTTCCGGTCTCGTTCAACTAGCCAGCCGCCAAGCCGCCAAGCCTCGCTGCTGAAATGCATTCCAAGCAGTTCACTTGACTTTGCAAGGGCCTCGCCCCGCTGACAAGCTAGACGCAGCGGATGCGTGAGCTCGAAACGCGTCAGGCATTTTGGCCGGCTACGCCGGTCTTCCGGCAAATCCACTGTGAAGCCGACGATCCTCCAGCAGCCTGCCACCAGCCATCCGGGAAACGCGCGTCACTTTCCCGGTTTCACTTGACAAATTGAACCGAGTTTTCGCCGCTAACCGCGGCCCATGTGTGTCCTTGCCTATGAATGTGTGTGTGCGCGCCTGCCTGTCCGTCTGCTTGTCTGTCTGTCTGCGTCTGGCTACATTAATGAATGACAGGCGGCAAGGCACGGCGAGGCACGGCAAGGCGGCGCGGCCAAACGCATGCCGCGTGGCGAGATGGAGAGCGGGAGAGGGACAGAGACGGAGAGAGGGACGAGAGGGACGGGGAGTGGGGGGCGGGAGAGAGAGCAAGAGGCGAGGCGAGCGTTTCACACAGGAACGTCTTGACGTCATATCCTGCCCTCCCCGCCGCCCCCCGCCTTGCATCCGCCAACAGAACTGGCTGGCGCGGCGCGGCGCGGCGTGCGGTGAGCGTCCGTGGAGACCTGCCGGCTCACACGTGTCTCTCTCGCACTCGTGGGGCGCCCCGCGCGGCCCTTCGGTGTGCGAGAGAGACAATCAACCTCAGCACGGACTGCCGAACCTGGGCGGCAAAGGGCGAGGAACGCCTGGAGCTGCGGCGCTGCGGCCTGCCCGTCGAACACGCGGCAGGAGCGGGTGGCCGAGCTCAAGCCTGGCGGGGGCTCCACTGGAAGCCTTGCCTGGCTTGGCCGGCCTGGCCGGCTCGGCCTCACTGCTGCTTTCCTGACCAGCCGTTGGGGTTAGCTTCCACACCCAGAGTGACCACTACACTGCCCCACCACCACCCCTCTCTGCATCTGAAGCTCATTCGATTGGGCCAAACGTGCGAAACCTGTGAAACTGGTGCGCACTCAACTAGCCTTGCAAAAAAAGGAAGGAAAACTTTTTCTTCCGAGTGCTATCTGGTGCAAGGTACCCGACTCGGGCGCCGGCCTGTCTGGGTCAACCCCCTCACCCTCCACACCGTCTGGACCGCCTGGGTCTACCGTCTGGGTCTACCGCAACCGCCACCACCGGCACTGCAGTTCGGCGAAATCGCAGCCAATCCGCTTCCTCGCGCCTCACTTATCGCCCCTTTGGCTGGCACACACACACCGCACTTGCTCCCCACCGGAGTCGCACTGTAAATGTTTGCCCGAGTCGTTGTCTGATAATGCAACGAAATGTGCCCCCGCGCCTTGCCGCTCGACACGGCCTGGCCGCGGTATCGGTAGGCCATTCGATGTATCGAATCGACCTACCTCGCAGCCTTTCGTCTGCGGGCGTGCCGTGCTCTGTTTTCGCGCGACAGTGCACCTTTTTCCGCGAGTTTCCGGCCCATCTGCGGCTGTGCACTGCCATGGCACTGCAGACGCTGGGCAGTGTGCTGGTGCAGCCCGTGCAGCCTTCGTGGTGCAGTGTGCCGGCCGGCCGGGACAGTGTAGCAGAGCCAGCAGAGCCGGCCGGACCGGAAGTGGCCACGGCGATAGCGGACTATGTATAGCCGCATGCAAAAGTGTCGGCCTCGCCGGCCTCCGCGCCGGCCGGGCTGGGAGCGCTCGCTCGGCGCGTCGCGTCGGCTGCTTCTGTCGCGGACTGTACCTTTCACCTCTGTCCATTCACCGGCGAGTCTCCGCGGTTATCAAGCGCGCCGGACATACTTTTGGATCGGAGTAACTGTCGCCCCTCCCGTGCGACCGACCAGCGGCGACCAGCGGCCGGCTCAGCAGTTAGCTTTTCGGCTTCCGAGCGCCCCGCCCATTCATAGGCTTCACCATTATCAGACCTAAGGCCCGTCTGTGTTTGTTCTTAAACGAATAAAACTAAATCGGAATAAATTCTGACCTCTTCTGACCCCGCCCCTCCCCCGACGGACTCGAGTAAACAGCGACTGGGCCAACGGGCCGAGGGCCGAGAGGCAGCTGCCGACCATATTTTACAACTCTCTTTGAACCAAAACCAGGGCTTCTCATGTTTACCAACTAATCAGAAGTGGAAACGGCGAATGCACGAGGTCTGCCTCTGCGCACCAGGCGCACTCAATTTCGGTTTAAGTATTTGACCGAAACACGAGTTAGTCAGAAGGTTTTCCGTCTCTCAGGTCGTCAGCTGCACGCGTCGAAAATTCCCAACTTCAAAACTCCCTTGCTTTTGACTGATCGACGGTTACCGGGTTATATGCGCCCCTGAGTTGCGCTAAGGGCTGCGCGGTTTGGCCGCGGTTTCGGCTTTGGCCGCGGTTTCGGCTTCGGCCCCTTCGGCCGCGCGCGGCGAGACTTGGAGTGAAACCCGAGAGGACTCTGACCCGACGCGGGGGCATCTTCATCTTTTTCCCAGGCGCTATCACGACACGACGAGCTGTGATGCTTGATAGTTTTGTGATGATGGGAGTCGAGCCGGCGATAGCTTGGCGTGCTTGGCGCTTCGCAGCGTTCGCAGCAAGTTGGCGGCAGTGTCAACACGCTGCGAGTCCTGGTCCTGAATGGCGGCTACGCCGGCCACGTGCAGCCTCAGGCGTGGGTGTTCACACACTGTGAAAAAATATTCAGACAAATCGGCCGCACTTTGGTTCAGTTTCTTAATTATGTCGTTTTGACGAAGAGATTGCCCTAAAATAGAGTCAAAAGAACTAATACAATTGGCTCTGGTCGATTTGATTCGACTTATTTTTCTACAGGTGTCAGGTGGGACACTCTTAGTGGCCGGCTCGTTTGCGAATCCTTCTTGCTCGAATCGTTCAAAGATCGTGGGAAAGGAGAAATCAAGGAAGCCGTCAAATCTGTTGGTCTGTGTTATAATTACAACTTTCGTCTTATATATGTACAATACATTTATACAAAGCTTGAATGATCTTTATACATTTTTAAAATGCAATTAACATGTGTTGCAGTAAGAGAACAAGCACATCGGACGAGGAGCGAAGAAAAAAAACAGCCGCTCCCCGCGATTGCAGTTCGCTTAATATATCTATATCTATATATAATCTATATATATATTTATATATATTATTAAAAACAAGTGATAAGATGCTCCATCTGCGACTAGATAATACTGAAAACGCAAGTTTACGAACATTCACTTGGCGCCCTATATATATATATCTTTCCAACTTCAGCTTTCCAAGACTTCCAAGGCAAAATATAAAACACGGACTGTTCTTCCCATGTACACATTCAATGTACAACGAAAAAGGACTGAAAAAGACTGCACATTCAGTTAATATTGAGCCTCAACAGTTCATTCCATGTTGTGTTTACAGGCGCTTATTTTAAATGGCAAGATTCCCAGGAGGATAGCAAAGGCCCCTGTTTACTGTTCAACTATGATTCAAGTAAATTAATTTCATGAATCATGGTCAAGTTCAAAGTAATTTAATGATTGCACCCCAGAAGAGTTCCAAATCAAATGGATGCTGATTGTTTTCTTTGATTCTCTTAGACAACTGCTACATTTTTCTCATTCATTCCTATAACACGTTTCACAAGTTAGAAATAGAAGCCAAAAGATTTGAGTCACGCTAGCGCAATAAAAAAGAACTTTTAAGTCGAAACAAACAAACACTCACTTGAATGTTAGTTTGAGCTTCTGTTAATGACAAAGATTTGAGCGTAACTCATGAAGAATGCATTGCGCATTGTTTTTACACATATCCAAAAAGAGGCATAGGCTTTACAATTAAAGATTTATCACAATTGCTAGCACAAGCAAAATTTACTAATATCAATTATTATGATATCCCAGAGTTCTTGACAAGAATAGATAGTTTTAAACATCAACATTAATTCTGACAGTACCTTTTTTAATTACAGTGATACAACAGGAAGTCTATGGTGAAAACTAGTGAATACTATGATGAAGTTTGTACCACGAAAAACAACATCAAGCTTAAAATTACATATAGCTTGTGTCCACCGCATGCAGGATCTACAAAACACTTTTGCAAGCGGCAAATTGAGCAAAAGGTAAACAAACAAGGAGTGCCACAGAAATAAAAGGAGAAAGTAACATGAAAATAATCAACAACAACAATTTTCTAAAAAAAAAAATCATTTTAAAATTCCTTGTCTTGAACGGCCGAGAGAATGGCAAATAATTATTTATCCTACCTGCAAGGAGTTTGCATGCCAGATCTGACAATTCTTACTTCAAGCGACATGACACTGCGAATTGTCAATCCTCCCTTTGAACCCTTTGAGCTCCGGCGATACTTTGCGTTGCTGGCCCGCCAGCCCCAAAGACACAAGAGCTCAGGAAAACTAAGAGGTCCTCAGATAGACTGTGGCAAAACACAACAGCAGATACAATGTCACCCAAGTTGGCCCAACAACACATTTCTTTACAAAAGCTCCAATCACAGCAAAGTATTCTCCTCAGCGTGCATACATAAGTGCCTTACAAAGCAACCCAGACTGACCTACTCTCTCTTTACTAAATTTGTACTGCGAGCAAGTGCAACAGTCATACTTGACAAAAGCGCTAAAGGCTCTTTTTTTCCTCAAAAATGTCATTCAGTGCGTTTTAAATAAATAAATAAATAAATCATGTAAATATTCTATGGTACAAAAATAATTTTACAGCGTTTTTCTTTCTTGTTTTGCTACTAGTGACCTAGTGGCCTCCAGATCCAGTGACAAGCTGGCAGGCTGGCAAGCTGGAGGCGTGGAAGCGGAGGAAAAGGAGAGACGCATCGCGCGCGAAGCGGCTAGCGAAGACGAAAACTATTTAGCAGATCTAATGAGATTAGGTTAGGCCAGCTTCGCGACTTGGCTTGTCAACGAGGAATGTCCGAAATAAAATTAAACCAACGCCGTGCCTAGGTGCCGTGGTTCAAGGCCGTGTCCGAAATGGAATGACGCGTGGCCGAGGTTCAAAGGTTCCCCTCATGTTCCCCGCCTTAAGAGCCGCGCCGAGCATTGAGCAAACATCGAAACGTTTTTCAACAGACTTGGTTTTACAGGTTGGCAGGGTTAATCAAGGTTACATGTTAAAAAGGCAGCAAGCGCTGACGAGGGTGACGAGGGAGACGAGGGTCCGACGGCCAGGGGTCGTTGGTGGGAGCGGCACCGCGGCGCCGCGGCACCGGCCTCGCTCGCTTGCTGTCTTTTTGGTCGTTAACTTATGCACGGTCAGTCTGTATCCAGCAGCCTCTTCTCCGGCGTGGTGAGGAGGGCCGTGGCGTTGGCGGGGTGCGTCCTGGCGGGGTGCGTCCTGGCCGCGCCACTGCTCGGCCTGCGCTCGCAGCGGCAGCCGTCGTCGCAGTAGCGGGCGTAGCAGAGTTCCGTGGCGCGCACCACGCCGCGCAGCGGCCAGTAGCACAGCAAGCAGGGCAGCACGACGGAGGCGAGCGCCAGGCACGACCACCGCGCGCACCGCCGCGACCCCGCGCCCGACGACGCCGCGGCGCCCGCGCACGAGCAGGGGTCGTCGGCGCACCACACGCCCGCCTCGTCGCCGCAGTGGTAGAAGAGGCCCTTGACGCAGCACAGGCACGTGGCGTAGTCCAGCGTCGTCTCGGCCGAGCAGAAGCACGTGTCCTCACACAGCCACCGCGACGGCAGCGGCCGCGGCTCCTGGCACGCGGCGCAGCGGCAGCGCCCGCACTCGGCGCACAGGATGGAGGAGCCCAGCGCCGCGGACTCCTTGGCCTCCTTGGAGGAGCGCGACGCCGTGGACGGCGCGGCGCGGTGCGGCGCGGGGCCGCCGGGCAGCGCCTTCTTGAAGGTGGTGGGCTGCTGCCGCACGGGCAGCGCGGGCAGCGCCGCCTGCCTAGTCCGGTGCCTGGCGGCCAGCGGCGTGGCCAGCGGCGTGGCGGCCGCCGGCGTCGTCACACTACACACAGTCTTGCCGCGACACGACGTCCACGACGGCGCTCGCACCGCGGGGCTGCGCACCTGGCTGCGGCCCTGCTGGTGCTGCAGCGGGGTCTCGACGTACTCGTTGGCCCGCCGCTCGCCGTCCGGCCGGGGCGCCGCCAGGCTCACCTCCGTCACCTCGGCGTGCACGGCGTGCTGCACGGCGTGCTGCACCGCGTCCGCCGCGGCCGGCGAGGGCGGCGTGGGCAGCAGGGGGAGCTGCCGCGCCAGGGGCGGGCTGGGGGTGCCGTGGTGCAGCCCGGGCCGGGGCGGCGTGGGCGGCGCGGGGCGCGGCGGTGCTGGCGGCGTGCCGTGGGGGCCGTGGGGGCGGTGCACCCGCGGCAGGGCGGGCACGGCGGGCACGCCGGGCAGCGGCAGGGGCTGGCTGCCCGGCAGGCTGCCTCGAAGGGGCACCAGGGGGGACGGGGGGCCCAAGGGGGGGCCCAAGGGGGGGCCCAGCGAGGGTGCTGGCATGAGGCGGCCGCCATGGTGAGCCATGGGCTCAGCTGGCAGCAGGAGCTGCTCGCGGCCGAGCTCACATCACGCCCGCAAGTCTGCCCGCCTCCTGGAACAGAAGAACAACAAGAGCGTCAGCAACAACAACAACATTGGCAAGGTCGACGACTCACAGCCTCGCCCGACTAAACCCGCGCCACTTTTCCGACCGCCACCAGAAAAGGCGGGAAAGCTTGAAAAAGGCGGGAAAGCGGCGCCGCGGCAAGGCTGCAGCCTCACGGCGGAGGAAAACAAAAACGAAAAGAGGCGGCGATAAAAGCCTTTTCTGTTTCTGAACATGAAACGGCGCCGCGGTGCCGCGGTGCCGCGATGCCGCGATGCTCCCGCGCGCGCCGAGGAGGGAGTGGGGGACGACACCCACAGCAGAATACATAAAAAGACCACTTCCGGTGTGAGCGCCTTGCCGCGCCTTGCCGCCCGGCGCAGCAGCAAGACAGGGGCCCAAGTCGCTTCCCTTCCCACGCACTCCACCCCAACCAATCACAGGCCGACATTTTATGCGCTTCCTGTCGCTCAGCGAAGGAACGCTGCAGCGCCGCAGCGACACTAATGCGCCGCCTGCCTGCCATTGGCCTGCCATCCACGCGCTCTCGAAAAAGCGGACCCGGCTGAAGCGCCGTGCCAAAAACAGAGATCAATGTGCGAGCGAGACAGCGAGACTTGGCCCGGTCAGATGACGCCGGAGAGTGCAGTGCGAGTCGCGCAGGGCAATCCATTGGTGGGGTCACACGTTCGCTTCGAGTCCCATTCAGCGACTCTGGAGCTCAAAACGCGTCTTTGGCCCACTGTGCACTGGGCCGCCGTGAATGGAACGGCAGTGCCTGGCAGTGCCAGTCGGTGACCCCGGCCGCCCCGGCCAACGAATGAATGGGGAGCAACTGGAGCGGGACTTCCTTGCGTCCGGCCGGAAATAGTTAAGGTAGGCAGCGCTGCAGCGGAAGCACACTGGAGGGGGGAGGCACCGCACCGCTGCGCACCAGGTATGCAGCGGCGGCGTCTCGAGACGACTCCATTCATAAATTCACTCATTCATAAAGTCATCCACTTATTCATTCAATGATTCATTCATCGGTTCATTATTCGGCCAGTCGCCCGGCCGCCGTCGTCGGTCGATGCATTTCGCTCCATTCATTCATTGGCTGGCTCAGGCGGTGCCCTAGGCCAGCCCTAGGCCCCTCCACACGCGGCCGCGGGACGCTGCGGGTATCGTATCGATGAATGAGGGCGGGATTATTTCGGTCGTCCCCCCCCCCCCTCCCTCCCCCCTCCCCGTGGCGACGCCCACGCCGCCGGCAGGCCTGCAGGTGCGAACCTCAACCCCTCACCCTTGACACGCCGGGACGTCGGCCGGGACGTCGGCCGGGACGACCGGGACGTCGACGAGCCCCCTGAATCAACATGATCCCCTGCCAGGCCACGCCGCCGGGCTGCGCCGGGCAAGGCTGCCACGCCCGCACCGGGGGAGGAAGGGAGTGGGGGAGGGCGCGGGGCCGTGAGAACGCATGGCACGGCCCGGCACGGCCCGGCACGGCAAGGAGCGGAAGCTTGAAGAGGGGTAGGCATATCCTGTGGGAACGTACTTGCCAGGCTTGCCAGCTGGCAATTAGTTTTGCATCTTTCTTCACGTCCGGGCGCGTCCGGGCCTCCCTTCCGCCCACCTGTGGCTGTGGCCCCAGCCGGCCCGAGCCGGCCCGAGCCCCACACGTGACGGATTACCTACTTTGGCGAGGAGGAGAGGGTGGGGGGCGGTTGCCTACCCTGCTGCGCCCGGGCTGACTCCGCGCAAACAGAGCTACAAGTCGAAGGGCTCAAAGGGTTACTAGCAGTGCATCAGTCGACGGGCCCAAAGGGTTAGTGCTGCAGAGTGTCCTGAGGAGAGGCGCGAAAAGGGGGCGGACTGGCCTGGGCTGGGCCGGCAGTCCCGTTGCTCGAGATAGGGCCGGAAGTTGCATCACGACTTCCATCAGTGGGCCGAGCTTCTGCACTACGCGTCCGCCGCGTCCCGTCTCGTCGTGGGCCTGCCGTGGCGGGCCGTGGCAGCCGCCGGATGCAGCCCGTTACTGGCCCGGAGCGGACGGCCGGCCTGTCGCTAAAGTCGAACAGCCTGCCACGCACTACACTGCCAACCGTCTCACAGTGGGCCGGAAGACCGGTGGATACGGCCAAAACTCTAGACGCGTTTTGAGCTCCAGAGTCGCTCAACAGGACTCGAACCGAACGTGTGACCCCACCAATGGATTGCTCTCCGAACGAGGAATCCATCGGTGGGGTCACACGTTCGGTTCGAGAACCATTTAGCGACTCTGGAGCTCAAAACGCGTGCGGGATTTTGACCGCCTCCCTTCGGACCAAAGCAGCACGAATCAAGGAGGCCGAGCAAGCGCTCGTGTTCGGGCACGTGTGTGTGGATGTGTGTGTGTGTCCGTGTGTAGGCGCGCAGCCCGTGTCGGAAATCATACATCCCGGGCCCGTGTGAGTGGACTCTAGCGGGCCCCACCCGGCCCCACCTTCTCCGGGCACGAAGCTGTGCGCCACTAGAGCCCCTCCCATCCGCGAATACGCCAGCACGGCCAGCACGGCCAGCGCCCCGCTCGGAGTGCCTTTCCCAGTGCACCTGCAGTCGCCTCAGCAGTGTACTGCATGTGTGCAACGGGGATTGCAATCTTTCGATTTCAGTTTTAGTCGAAACACGCGGAAGTCTATTTCTGGCTGTCGGTACCGTCCGCCGCTTCGTGTTCATGGCAGTGTGCTGCAGCCGCTGCAGCCACTGCCCTCCGCTCCGCGGCTCCGCGGCCGCCAGGCAGAGCTGGCAGCCTCCACTGCCGCCGCGGCCGCCGCCCAGACCAAGCTGGCAGCTGCGGCCGGCTCGACTCGGCCCCGGGCGCTAGCGCAGCGCTGCACCGACTGGGCACTCTACTCGGCTCGGCCGGCCGGCCGGCTCGGGCCGTGGCTGCCTGTCTGCCTGGCTTACGTAACCCAGCTGCGGCGCTGCGGCCGGCCCGAGCTGGCAGACAGCCGGACGAACAGACGGGGCAGGCAGCCAGTCAGACCGGCTGGGCTTCCATTCCATTCATGTCTGGGCGGAGCAGGGCGGAGACCCGCCGAGCCGAGCGCAGCAGCGGAGCCGAACCGAGCCGAGCGCCAAGCCGGGCCACGCGGAGAGCCGAGCCGAGCCGGCGGCAGCTGCCCAGCTGCGGTGCTTGTTGGCGCCGGGCTCCGCGTAGCAGCGCGGCTCCACGGCAGCGGCAGGGCCAGGCAGGGCTGCGCAGGGCCGCCAAGACCAGGACACGCCGCGCCGTGGGGGAGACGCCAGACGCCACGCATCAGCACGGCCAGGGTGCGGCCCTGCGGTGCCGTGCGGCCGGACCGGACCGCTACGTGGAGGCTGGCCGAGGCACGTCGCACAGTGGGCCAGAAGACCGATGGAGGCGGCCAAAACTCGAGACGCGTTTTGAGCTCCAGAGTCGCTAAATGGGACTCGAACCGAACGTGTGACCCCACCAATGGATTGCTCTCCGGACGAGGAATCCATTGGTGGGGTCACACGTTCGATTCGAGTCCCATTTAGCGACTCTGGAGCTCTAAACGCGTCTCGAGTTTTGGCCGCCTTCACCGGTCTTCTGGCCCACTGTGCGTCGCCCTGTCTCTCTCGCACCCACGCGGGACGCCCCATGAGAGCGAGAGAGACGGAGGGCCCGGCGGACTGGCGCGGGTTTTCGGGTTTCCCCCCAAGCCCGCTGTTGCTGTCGATACACTGGGCGAGACTCGAACCCGCGCACCGCGGCGTCGGACACGGCGCCGCACCCGCCGCGCTACCGTGCACGTCACGGAGTCACGGCGAGTCACGGCGCCCCAGACAGGTCAAGCAACTCGAGGTTCAGGTCAGCGGTGCTGCCTTCTCATTAGTACAGTCTGGCCGGGCCGGACGGTGGCCAGGCCGTGGCCAGGCCCCCCGGCGGGGCTGGGGGCTGGGGGCCCGGCACGGTGGCGCGACGGCGCGACGCAGGTCTGGAATCTGCCGCCAAGTCTGCGACCAGGTCGGCCTGCACTCGGCGGGGCGACGACCACGGCGCAGTCAGTCTGCGAGTGCACACAGTGGGCCAGAAGACCGGCGAAGGCGGCCAAAACTCTAGACGCGTTTTGAGCTCCAGAGTCGCTAAACAGGACTCGAACCGAACGTGTGACCCCACCAATGGATTTCTCGTTCGGAGAGCAACCCATTGGTGGGGTCACACGTTCGGTTCGAGTCCCATTTAGCGACTCTGGAGCTCAAAACGCGCCTAGAGTTTCGGCCGCCCTCACCGGAGCAGTGCAGCGCCACGCAGCGCCCATCGGAAAGGGCGCTGTGCCGGGCTGTGCAGGGCCGCCCCGCGACGGAGCCAGCATTTTCCACTGCGGCACTTTGACACCTCCCAACCCGAAACCGGTATTCGCGCCGCGCCGAGGGCCGGGCAGGGCCGGGCAGGGCAGGCAGGGCCGATGGCCGGGTAGGGGAAGCCGTTTCCGGTACGACCCCACCCACCGATGCCAGCATCGATGCCCACTGGCGGCATGGCATTCCAAGAGCAGCCTGCACTTGGCGTGCACGGTGGCACGGTGGTGCGGCACCCACGCAGGGTCAGCGCTTTTGCGTCCACTTTCCATCCGCGCTTCTGCCAACAACCAACTACCCCCCCGCCACACACACACAAAATGAGGAAGGAAACGGACGCCCTGGACGGTCTAATGGACAGCCAGGGGCCCGTGTGGCCGGGGGCATGGGGGCACAGCGGTCCGGCGGCCTTGCCTCGCCCGCCTCGCCCCTCCCCTCCCAGGCCAAGCCGGCCGCCATCGTCTCCGACGGCGCACAGCGGCAACGCCGCTCCCCCCCCCCCCCCCCTTTTCAGGTCCTGGGCCCCACCGAGCCCAGCGAGTCCCCCGGCAGGACGGCGGTGCAGGCTGCAGGCGGTGCAGGCTGCTGCAGCACCCCGTGGACGTCCTGCCACGCGACCTGGCTTGACCTGTCTGTCTGTCCGTCCGTCTCACCTTCCGCTTGTCTGCCTGCCCGTCGGTCTGTCCGTCTCACCTCCCGCTCGTCTGTCCGTCTGCCTGTCATTTTGTCCGCGGCCGTCTGTCTTTCTGTCTGTCCGTCCTCTTCGTCTTCCTTCCAGACGTCCGTCCCGTGCCACCTGCAGCATCCGCAGGTTCCGCGAGGCCCTGCCAGCCCTGCCAGCCCTGACTGTCCGGTACAGTGTACAGTACGCCAAACAGAAGAAACTCGAGGCAGCGTTCAATACTCAATCACCGCGCAATAACTGTCACGCTAATTGGGTACGCATTGCTGCTGTAATGAGCAAGGCGAAATAAAGAAAGAAAGAAAGAAAGAAAGAAAGAAAGAAAGAAGAAGAAGAAGAAGAAGAAGAAGAAGAGAAGAAGAAGAAGAAGAAGAAGAAGAAGAAGAAGAAGAAGCGGGCACCGGCAGCAGGCAAGATAATGTTTGTGCTACTGGAGTTGCCCCGCCTTTCCCTGCGGGCAACACTCCAGCCCTCCTGGAGACTCCGCTGGAGAGACTTCCAGGCCAGTGCCCCGCCTCGTCCCGCCCCTCGATGAGGTGATGGCCGGCCCGCCTCTCTTCTACGAACGAAGCAGGCTCCAGAGACAAGCCAGCCTCCAGCCAGCCTCCAGCATGCCGTGCCCTTCGCTCCAGCGCGCTCCAGCGACTTGAACGCGCGGCGTGCTGGAGTCGCACTGCTCAGCACCTTGCGCCGCAAAACGCTTCAGTGTCCAATGCGGCTGCAGCACTGCGAATGTCAAATGGGGCCGATAACAACGTCTTCCTCCGCAGGACAAACACTGCCAGAGTCAAATGGGGTCCACCACTTGCAGCACACACACTGCCAAATGCAGCGGGAACTGTCAAATGGGGTCCACCACCTGCAGCACACACACTGACAAATACAGCGGGAACTGTAAAATAGGGTCCACCACCTGCAGCACAACACTGCCAAATGCAGCGGGAACTGTCAAATGGGGTCCACCACCTGCAGGACACACACTGACAAATACAGCGGGAACTGTCGAATGGGCCAGCAACGTCTTCCACAGCAGAACGATTTGTTGTCGCTTCGCCCTTTCCCCTCAACGTGTAGGGCCTCATTGACTAGGCTAATGCGGTCCTATGAGATCATCTGGGCGACCATATCTGGCACCAGCACCGTCCAGCCATAAAGATGGGAGATAAAGTGACTTTCCGAGTAGCTTCTCCCGGGAGCACTACCCGAATGGGTTCAACTGCACCTTCGAATACCTTCGCACGGACTCGAACTTTGTCCAAAATCGCCTCCAACCGGTTGCGCGACAGTGAAAAGGCGGCCCAAAACTTGACCAAACACAGTTTTCTTTCCATTCCTTCCCACCTGTGGACTGCAAAACAGGACTTTTGGCCAGGGACTCGTGGAGACTCGGATCTTGGTCGAGGGGCTGGACTCCATATGCATTGGCAGTCCGTACCTTTGGGCTGCTTCCAAGCGAATCCAGGCCTCCAGAGACATAACTCACGGCGGTCATAACATATTTGGCTTTCGGCTACCGTCTGTCCGCCAGCGGGAAAACAAGTTTGGCGGAAAGGGAGAAGAGCGAATGGTTTTTCGACTTCGACAGGCCATAATGCAACTTTGGATCGAGAAGGAATGGCTTTTTGAAAAACAGACCGCGTGGAAGCGACAGTCGGCCGTGCGGCGTGGCGTGGCGCGGCGTGGCGCGGCGTGGCGCGTCTCGACGGCAGGAAAGCCTTCAGACTGCCAAACTCAGCCGACTCAGCACTGCACACTTCACTTCCGAGGGGGGCGATGCGATGCGCGGACACAGCCCAAGCTCCGCGAAGCACTTCTCAGTGTGGAGGCACAATGGCGGCCACTTCCGCGTAGCGACCAATACCAACCGAAAAAAAAAATATCGCAGCGAGATTTTTGACACCAGTGGAAAGTGCAGGCCAGGGTTTCACAACCCACAGAACAAATTTTGTTCAGGAAGGTCGAGTTTTAATTACCACTCATTTTCTTTTTCCGGTGTGTTCCCTGTCGGGCGGCGCGGCAGTGCAAACATTGCACACATTTTGTCTTGGAGCAAATAGCAGTCAAGGACAAGGGGGAGCAGCCCCGAAGGGGGTGGGGCAGAGAGAGAGAGAGAGAGAGAGAGAGAGAGAGAGAGAGAGAGAGAGAGAGAGAGAGAGAGAGAGAGAGAGAGAGAGAGAGAGAGAGAGGTGGCGGGGAGGACGAAGAAAAGAACTGGGAGAATCAACTAAAAATAACGCCGACAAACATCCGGCCGTTGGCCCCCGTCGGGGGGCGGGCCTAAAGCGCGTGGCTGCAAGGCGGCGTGGCGGTAAGGCGTCGGGGGGGAAGTCGGGAAAGGCGCAAACGGCTGCCTGGTGTGTACACCGTTCGCGGAGCCAAAAAGAGCAAGGCTAAAAAAAAAGCGAAGGGAAATGCAGTGTGCCGGCTGGCGTTGGCGCCAAAGGCTTGGCCAAAGGCGCGCCTGGTGCACACAGTGTGCACACAGTACGTAGGGACGCCGCTCTGGGACTCAAAAGACCCCAGCACTCCGCCAGGACATTTGCACTCGCCGAATTTCAGCATCGTGTCGGTTTGATGGACATACAATTTAAAAGCAAAGCCCCGTGTCCAGGGATTCTTGTTTAGAATGTATTAATTCAAGGCCGACCTAACATGAAATTTCTTACTTCAAGACTTCGCGTGAAATTTCTGGGTTCAAGACTTTACACTTTTATCTTTCAATCGACATTTAATCAATATTCATCGACATTTGTGCGCTTAAGAAGCTTAAGCTTAAAAGATTTGTCAAGACTAAATTGATAATAATGATTGTGAAACAAATGAAACTGTTAATAAGCTTGCGCACAAACGCCAATACGTTATTAGACAAAAACTCAGTACGAGTCTGGGAGTGTACTAGAAATTTATTGGTTCAAGAAGCATTTTAAGCCTTTTTCGGGCGGAGGCACACTGTTCAGGCAGGTGACATTCGGCTTTCCCGGCGCAACGAGCCTCCTCGAGTCTGCATTATTTTCGGTACACACTGAAAAGTACACAGTAATGTGTCTGCTGGCGATAAGGAGTGATACGGTGCATTCCGAATGCCCGAATGCCCCGCCTGGCCCGAATGCTTCACCCCTTCCTGATTAGGAGGCTCCGTCCGCTTGGACAGACCGGAGGGGCAGGCCCAACCAGCTGCCGTGAAAAAAATATTAACGGTGTACATACCTTGCAGAAACGACTCAGGCTGACCCCCACAGCCGGGCATATGACGGCCTGTGAACAGGAAAAAGAAGATTGTTAGGAAATGTCGGGGAGAAGGACGAAAACAGGGTACTAACACCCGAGAGACATGGCAATATACGTCTCGGCCGTAACTTCTAAAAGTGGACCGTTCACAGCAGTCTAATGCAAGTGAGAGACGAGCCCACAGCGACACACATCAAAACAAATCGAAAACGGAATAATGGAGCTTCATTACAGAGTTCCTCCACTAGAGAAAGTGGCTGGATCTGCGCAAGTCCACTTTCCAGGCCGCTTGTCCATGTCCAGGCAGTCCAGGCGGTCCAGGGCCCACGCTCCGCTCTGCTCCGCTAGGCCAGCACCAATTTGGTGAGCCACCGGCGGGGTTCGAACCCCCGCCCACCAGTCAGCCTTGCGTCGAGCCTTGCGTCGCACGGGGCCCACATTTTCAGCCATTTTCCAACAATTCGTTCCAGTTTTGCTCTGGAGAGACGTTTCTGTCTCTCTCTCGCACCCGACGTCCCATGAGACCGAGGCGGCGGGGAAGGGAAAGGATGGAGGGAAAGCGTGGGAGGGCAAGTTGGCAGTGTCACAGCACTGCCAGGCTGACAGCTTGACAGGGTGGTTGACACGGCGGGCAGGCAAGCTGGCAGGCAGTGCCGAACCCACCTGCAGCTCTTCTACAGTGCTCTGCAGCTGCCCACCTGTGCGACCGGACGGTACCCGCGCGGGGCTCGCTGCCTTGACCCCGTGAACAGCGTGCTCTCGTGCTCTCTCTCTCTCTCTCTCTCTCTCTCTCTCTGTTGGCCTTGCAGCACAGCGAATCCTTGCCCTTTGTACTAGTGCTGTACTGTGGGATCCTCCAAGGCGACGCCAAATCCGGCCTTGGTCGGCAACCCGTTGGTTTCCGGGTGGCAGTTCGTCTGTCGGTGACGCACACGAGCTCAGTCTCGTTGACTCACACTGGGCGAGCACTGGAAAAAAGGTTACATCAAATTGACTTGGTGTATTTTCCAACTTATATCCTGGACCCCACGTCCTGGATGTCCTGCACGTCCTGGATGTCCTGGATGTCCGCTGGACCCACGTCCTGGACCCACGTCCTGGATGTCCTGCACGTCCTGGACCCACGTTTTGGATGTCCTGCACGTCCTGGACCCACGTTTTGGATGTCCTGCACGTCCTGGACTCCACGTCCTGGATGTCCGCTGGACCCACGTCCTGGATGTCCTGCACGTCCTGGACTCCACGTCCTGGATGTCCGCTGGACCCACGTCCTGGATGTCCTGGACGGCAAGGACTCGCGCGCGCTGCCTCGCCTGCCAGCCAGGCAGCGCGAAAGACTGCGGTTTGGCAACGCTGCGGAGCAGAAGGGGGCCTCGCCGCCGGCAGAGGAAGCGAGAGAGAGGCGGAGACAGAGAGGGCATCAGAACGCTGCTGCGATGAGGAGGCTGCCTGGCTGGGTGTGCCATCCGCCTGGACTAGCCTACACCCCCGGGCCCCGCCCCGCGCCGCCCCGCCCCGCCCTGAGCGACGTGGCTTCCGCCACAAGCATCTGCATGCGTTCTCATCGGAATCAGACTTTTCGCGTTTCCGCCAAAAACACTGAGAGGGACTGGTGTGCTTCCCACGTCCGCTTGCCTACGGCCGAACCTTCGACCGAGCCTTCGGCTTGCCCCCCGCCCTCAACCTCCACGGCCTCCACGCTTGCGGGTGTGTCCACGTGTCCGACACCCTTCCTTTCTGCACACACACACGCACGCGCTCAGTCACACACACACACTCGCACACATACAGACACACACACGCGCGAGCGCGGTCAATACTGGTCCATCTTTAGAGGTTCGAAAATAGCTTCGGAAGGGGAGGGGGTAGGTAATCGTACACTCGCGCTCAAAACATGCACACACACACACGACGTATGTACTCAAGGAGAGCACATGCAGCTAGCGACGATTGCCGGTGTTCGGTATAGATGGAAAGGTAGATGGATAGATGGATGAATAGATGCTTGAGTCATTGCCCGGCACCTCTTATCGATGCGTCTGTACAAGGGGGTCAAACGGTATTCGCACGATAAAACATGCACGCGCGTGTGCGAGCGTGCGTGTGTGACTGCGTGAGAGAGAGAGAGAGAGAGAGAGAGAGAGAGAGAGAGAGAGAGAGAGAGAGAGAGAGCCAATATCGCTATTCGCAGATAAGGCGCCCCTTATCTTCCGCAGAGACAGGCAGTCTGAGGCGTCAGGCGTTATTCGCAGAGAGGCGTGTGGCCACCCTAACTCGGTGCGCCGGGCTGCGCCGGGCGGCCACTCTAGCGGGGCCCCATGAATGAGCTCGCTGTGGCACGCCCATCCCATCCCCCCTACCGTCCCTGGGCTGGCTCGCTTGGATCCGTTGGGGAATGCAACCCACACTGTGAAAAGCTCGCAGCCACACTGGACACGAAGGCCGGCACGGTGTCCGAGTCCCAGGGACTCTCCAGGGACTCTGCAGGGTCACCCTGGTGAGGCCACCTCGACAGAACCCTGCAGGGGCACAGGCGCCACGCCCAGCGGCCACGTGGTCAGCGGGCATCAGCGAGGCGGAGCGGGAGGCTCGGGTTCGATTCCGTGTGGCGGCAAAAAAGCGCTGCGCAGCAAGCTCACAGCATAGCCCGGCCTGTTGATGGCAGTGTCCTCTTCGTTGACTCCAGTTGACTTCTGTTCTCGATGACGGCCGCTTGGTGTCCCACTCGGTGTCGACGAGGCGGGGCCCGGGGCCGCTGCAGGGCCGGGCGACGCGCTAGATGAAGCACCACCTCGCAAGGAGCCCCAAATTAGCGAATTGGAGCAAGGCCGAACAGGCCACAGTATTGGGCAGCAACGCGCCTCTGCCTTATCTCTGACATTCAGATCAGTGTACAACACCGGCCAAAAAGCAAGTTTATCGACAACTACCCGCTTAGGCGCCACACGGCGCGGCGACCCAGATAACCAAGTCTGGAGGCCTGCAAGGCGGCCGAAATGAGTGGGGTTCACCAGTCTAGCTAAGTCTGATTGCGCCAAAGACCACGATTTGTCTTCGTCTCCTCCTCCTTCTCCTTCTGGCACCCCTGTTCCAGCCGGATTCAGGCTACATACTGAGAGTTCTGTCTCTCGCACCTATACGGGCCGCCCCGTGAGTGCGAAAGAGACAGAGCGACGAAAACGACTCTCAGTCGAGAAGGCAGAGATCAATAAAACAGGTTTCGAGGGGCAGGGCTGGCAGGGCCGGCAGGGCAGACAGTCCGGGATGGGGTTCCAGCCGAATCCCTCTCCTCTCTCTTTTCCTTTCCAAAACAAATGCCAAATTCATTGGCACGCTTTGCAGAAACGCTTTGATTGAGCGAGGCATTCCATTCCTTTCCAGTGGCTGGCAAAGTGGTGGCCTACTTCCCGGGAATGGGACCAACCAGGCCAGGCAGGCAGGCCAGGCCGGCGGGACGGGGGATGCTGCGTCGTCCCATTGATCGAAGGGGGGTGGGGTGGCTGCTGCTTGGCCTGCCATGGCATGGCCTGCAACAAGTGGGCCAGGCAGGGGGTGGGGCAGGCCCAGGGCAGGCCCAGGCGCCGCCCATTCACAGTGGATCGGCCACACTCTTGAATGAGCCTCGATCGCCGCAATCGCACAGTGAAGACCGGTGGAGGCGGCCAAAATTCTAGCCGTTTCGAGCTCCAGAGTCGCTAAATGGAACGTACGTGAGACCGCACCAATGGATTGCTCTCCTAACGAGGAATCCTTGGTGGGGTCACACGTCCGTAGCGACTCTGAAGCTCAAAACGTGTCTCGAGTTTTGGCCATTTCCACTGGTCTTCTGCCCTACTGTGAATCACCGCCAGATCTCTCCGAAAAATGACGCAGCTTGCGACGGGAAACGAGGTACGGTCCCGTACTGGTTATCCGTCGTCGCCATGAGGATCTCCTGCGAACTGGTGCGCAAAACATGAAGAGAACTCCTTGGTTCGCAAGGTGAAAAATGGACCAGACATGTTCCGTACTTTTTGCCTTTTTTCTTCCAGTGGACCTCATGCTGCGGATGCTCCGTGTACAGCTATCGCAGTGAAACTGCCGTCGGGCAGCGCCACTCGCGAAAGTAAGCGAAACTCTGTGGAAGATTGCGTGGCTGACGAGGTGGTAGCGAAGCGTTGTGAGGAGACAGGGGCCTTCGTGTCCAGGAGGTTCTTCTACTCGCAGACCAAAGCACGGGCCGACGTCTCTATCCGAGCACACGTAATGTTTCAGACCGCGCGGCTAGGGCTGCTAGGACCAACTCAAGTCTTGGCAAGATCGAGGCTTGATGGGACACCTTTCGACGAACCACTGTCTTGGGACACAATGGCCAACCCGGCTCTAGTCGCAGTATAAACGCCCTAATTGCGAACAGGAGTATGCAGCCATTTCTGCCAAGACCTTAGTTTTCTAGATGCCCAACAACGACGACGATGAACATGATGATCATGACAAATCATCAGCTTGACTGCACAGCAGCTTAACTGCTCTCCGACATCCATTGATTTCCTCGGGGGGGACATCTTGAATGAAACACCACCCACCCCCCCAGTGGTGGGCCAGCCCAGCCCAGGCCACCCCGGGCCACCCTCTGGCTCCACGTTGCACTGCAGGGGCTTCTACTGACCTACTTCCAGGGGGCGGCCTGCGCAGGCCTGCGCGACCCAACCCAACCTGTGGACGAGCCCAACTTAGAAATAGCTCGGACGGTACCAGTGACAAGCGTTCTTTGATTGACTAGATGACTTGGCGATCCTCAGAGGAATACTCGAAGGGTAAAAGGACATGCCAGGATTAATAGGATTCATCTACATTAGGAGAGTTTTCGGTTGAGACGGACTATCTACGTACTTCGACACATCGCACTTCGATACTCTCGATCATAACACAAATGGTCCACTCAAGGGATGTCGATCTTCATTCCCAACTATCGTGACGTCATCGTGGCGTCATCCAATTGGTTGGTGGAGCACGAAGCTTCGCGAAGCCCGGAAACAGGGACCGTTTGGATCCTCGAGGTACCGAAAGTGCGAGAAGCGAAAGTTCTGTTTTGTCAGAAAACTTGGAGCGGGCTTTGGCAGAGCCCTGTATTACCAGTGGGGAGTTAGAATGCATCAGAGCAATGACATTCTAAATCTGTCCCTACAACACTCGGCCGAGGCGAGCCAGCGCGCTGCAGCAGAGCCAGCACCCTTGGCACCGAGTCGCCAAGTGAATGGGTGCTTTGGGGAAGGCGGGGGGTTTTCCGTCCCGAGCCACCAATCGATGGAGGAAGCTAGACCACTTGGAGAACTTGGTCTGCCTAGTAGCAGGTTTGCAGAGCACCAGCGAGTCTTGCACCTGCCACTAATCTTGTGCCGTGTGAATTCCCTGTGTACATCCACACCTATCAGCATGACACCTGCAGGCGGTTGGCGATGCGAGGGATGGGTTCCTACACTGGCTGCAGCAGAGGCCGGATCGACTCTGATGTCACGTGTCGTTGGTTGGGGCCAAGCCGTCCAAGCTGGCCCCACCCGGCAACACCCCGGCACCATCCCGGCACCATCCCGGCACTGTGCAGCAGCGGGAGCGTTGACCACATGACCACCTTCATCCTGCCAGCCGGCCCGGCGGACGAGAGAGAGAGGGGGGGGGCAGTGGCGCGGCTTAGCCGCAGCGCAGCTACGCCCCTGCCGATCTCAATCTCAACGACGGTCTACAGCAAAGCTGAGAGACAGGCACGCGCGTCGTCGACCCGCAAGAGTCACCCACTATCGTTGACTTCCAACTTGGTTGACTAATCGGGCACGGCACGGCACGGCCAGGTTGACCGGCAGAGGCGTATCGACATCATGCCGCCGAAACTCTTCCTTATCACTCTGCCACGCTGCCCGCTCTGCCGGGCCTGCCAAGGTAAAGAGCCCGTGTGGAACGCGATCGCAGATTGGGGTCTGAACAGTGTCATAATGGCACTACCCCACGACGACGTCAGTACGACCTCAGTCCGACGCCTCTCGTACGCCAGTGTGGCGATCGGGGCTAGTCTCTGTGGTCAGAGTCGGCGTCCAACTGGCGTCGTAATGCCGTCGTGCTGCCGTCGTCTTTGGGTCGCAAAAAAGTTCGTTTTTCGGACGCTAGTCAGACACCAGTACGACGTCGCTTTTTCAGCGCGAAAAATGTCGCGCGACCGTCAAAACAACCGGCTGGGAGTGAGTCGAACACAGAACTCCCGCGTCGAATGTCGGTGCCCGAACCCGCTGGGCCAGAGCGACTTCGTTGAGGGCGGGGGGACCGCAGCTCTAGTCTTCTTGACTCGACCCACCATGGCACGGGCCACGAGTACAGCATCTTTTGCTATGTTTCTTTCGCAGCGAGCAACTACAGATAGCCTACGGCCAACAGATTTACAGAGCATGACAACTAAGTTAAATGTGTATTTGATATCGGTTCAACTCGTGCGTACCGCATCCGATGGCCGGAAAGAAATAGTACTCTGGCGTCAATACTCTGTGGCCCGTGCCATGGTGGGTCGAGTCAAGAAGACTAGAGCTGCGGTCCCCCTGCCCTCAACGAAGTCGCTCTGGCCCAGCGGGTTCGGGCACCGACATTCGACGCGGGAGTTCTGTGTTCGACTCACTCCCAGCCGGTTGTTTTGACGGTCGCGCGACATTTTTCGCGCTGAAAAAGCGACGTCGTACTGGTGTCTGACTAGCGTCCGAAAAACGAACTTTTTTGCGACCCAAAGACGACGGCAGCACGACGGCATTACGACGCCAGTTGGACGCCGACTCTGACCACAGAGACTAGCCCCGATCGCCACACTGGCGTACGAGAGGCGTCGGACTGAGGTCGTACTGACGTCGTCGTGGGGTAGTGCCATTATGACACTGTTCAGACCCCAATCTGCGATCGCGTTCCACACGGGAGACAGCCAGCTGCCGGCCGAAGGCGCTCCTGAGGCGTTCCTGAGGCGTTCCTGAGGCGTTCCTGAGGTGTTCCGGATTTCCGAGGCAGAACTGGCAGTGTAGGCTGCGACGACCCGCACTGCTGACTTCAGGGAAACGGGTCCGGACGGGGCTGTCCCTTGGCTCCCCCCCCCCTTGCCCCCACATCCGTCACCACCACCACACCAGCATGGCCTCCTCGCCACATGAGCAGGCGCGTTCCAGGAACTGCCTGAAACATCATCTCTCGGTCACGCGATAGCGAATCCTCCCGAAATGTATTCCATAAAAAATAGGAATTTGAAAAAAAACATACGATTTTAAAATGACGCACCGACAGGTGATAAATTATAAAGGCGAATCGGCGGGGATAGTTGTAAGTCTAGTCCGACCGGGGCGGCCGAGAATTTGGCCTCGTCTTCTGGGAATCGTCAGCCTTGGTGAGCAAGCTTGGCCTTCTTGCTCGTTTTATGGGGACGCTCCTGTTATGTATCCGCGAATCGGATGAATGAATGTCAACCTCACGCGCGAACAGACAGACAGACAGACAGACAGACAGACAGACGGACAGACAGACAGACGGACAGACAGACAGACAGACGGACAGACAGACAGACTCGAGCAGGCAGATAGATGGATGTAAGGTCTGGGTGTGGCATGAAGCTCATCAAACTCTCCACTCATTGAGGGCCCCGCCTGCCCCGCGGTGCCCCGATGGCGACTTTCGGGACGGGCAAGCAAGCAGGGCAAGCAGGCCAAGTGGCACCACGGCACCCGGACGCGCACCAGATTCAAACGGCGCGGCAAGGCCCGGCAAGGCCCGGCAAGGCCCGGCAAGGCCTCAGCGCATTCCTGGGCCTCGTCTTTCAGGCCCCGCTGCAGACTGAGAGTCGTTTTCGTCGCCCTGTCTCTCTCGCGCCGGCACCGGCCGGCACGGAATGCCCCACGAGCACGAGAGAGACCGCGGGCCCACGTGTGCTGCAGTGTGCTGACGGGACAGGTAACGTTCCCTCCCTCCCTGCCAGGCGGCCGGCCGGCCGGTCATCAGCGGGGTCCAAATTGTGCGCCAAACTTTCACTATTTTGGTGAACGGATTGAACTTGTTTTGCGTGACGCCGACTTGGCTGGCTCGGCGGTGGCCGAGGCGGTGGCGGTCGTGTCGGCCGCCGCGGCAGCACAGTGGAGTGGCAGCACACTGGAGTGGCCACGTCGGCCACGTCCCCGGGCACCTGTCCAAGACTGTCCAAGACTGTCCAAGCGCGTGCAAATGGCCAGCGTAGCCGGCCAGGCAAGGAGGCAAAGTTGCCTTACAGTGGATTTGCCAGAAGACCGGTGGAGGCGGTCAAAATCCCGGACGCGTTTTAAGCTCCAGAGTCGCTTAATGGGCCTCGAGCCGAACGTGTGACCCCACCAATGGATTGCTCTCGGAACGAGGAGTCCATTGGTGGGGTCACACGCTCGGTTCGAGTCATGTTTAGCGACTCTGGAGCTCAAAACGCGGCAATAGTCGTGGCCGCGGGCCCACAGTGCGGCAGCCGCTTCAGCTCCTTTAGGCAGGTGGTTCGGGAGTCGCTTCAAGCGCGCGTGTCTGGGGAATTTCGGCGTGCTCGCGCTTCAGGAAAGCGCTCGGGAGGATCACTGTGAACGAGAGAGGGACGTCCTGGAAGGAAGGCGATGGGATGGAAGGCCTTCCGGGTAAGGCCGGGCCAGGGCCCATGCATCCTGCGGCCCTGTCGAAACTAGGCATGCAGGCAGCGGTCATGCACCGAGGCCACCAAGGCCGGGGTGTGGCGGGCCGCGGGCGGGGCGGGGCGGGGTGGGGCGGGGCGTGCTGCGACGGCTCGCGGGGTGGGGTGGGCCAAAACTGAATGAACACGTGAGGCAGTCTGTGCCGCCTGCTGGCTGGGTTGGCTGGGCCTGGCTGTGCCCACAGGCTAGGCCGGCCCACCAGTGGCGGCCCACCAGTGGTGGCCCCCTCGACTGTACCTCGCGAGCTCGACTTTTGTGGTGGCGTGTACTCTGTACTCACTCTGGCTGGGGTCTGGCTGCAGCGGCCGGGTGGGCCGGGTCCCCCGACGAGCTGTTTATCGCCGTATCCATTCTACGGCGAGCTTCTTGTGCTTTTTGGACGTTTTGTTCCCTTCCAAAGACTGAATCCGAGGCGCGAGGCGACGCGAGGCGCGGCCCAGACCAAGGCAGCCTTCGGGCAGCCTTGGGGGACTCCGTGCTGGCGATGGCCAGGCAGGCCAGGCCGGGCAGGCTGGTGGGCGCGGGGCGTTGCCGGCACTCTAGTGCACTCACGCTCACAGACACACTGGCACTTGCACTCCCGCACGCCGGGTACTCCAAGTGGCGATGCGGGTACACTGGGTACACTGGTTCACTTCACTGCACTTTGCACTGCACTCACTGCACGAGGTGGCACACACGCGGCGAGACGCTCACTCCATAGCGGCGCGCTGCACACTGAGGCAGCGACAGGGCCGAGGCGGTGGCGCGGCGTGGGGCGGCGTGGCGCGGCGTGGCGCGGCGTGGCGCGGCGTGGCGCGGCGTGGCGCGGCGCGTGGCGGGGCCCCCGGCCGAGCCGAGTCGGCCGCGTCCGAGCGCAGCCGATCCAGCCGCCACGCCGCGCCGCGTGCCGAGCCGAGCCGGCCGCTCGCCAGCGACACTAGCGCCCCACGCGGCGGCCGCAGCAGGCAGGCTCGGGCCGCCGTAGGCCGTAGGCAGGCCGTAGGCCGCCGCCAGCCAGCCAAGGTTTTTATGAATGGGGGCCCGTGTGTCTGCGGCCTGCCGGCCTGGCCTGCCGGCCTGCGGGTCGTCGCGGCTCGGCTCCGCCCCGAACGGCCCCAGGGCGTGGCGCGGCTGGGCTGCGCTCGGCTCGGCTCGGCCCGGCCGCGCAGCCCGAGCTGGCGGCCGTTGAATGAACGGAGCCGCTTGGAAAGGAAGTGGGTGTAGGGACGGGGAGGCTGAGGCCGGCTGAGGCATGCGTCCGTGCGTCTCGTCCGTGCGTCTCGTCCGTGCGGCCACGAGGAAGCGGCGAAGCACGGCAAGCACGGCGAGGCACGGCGAAGCGGCCCGGCAGGATGTCGGGGCGGGCCGGGGCGGGGCGGCGAGGGCCTAAAGGCGATTTTAGGATGCCGGCCTGGCCCGCCTGGCCAGCCTGGCCCACGGTAGCCGAGGGCTTTTCTCCACTCCACTGCAAGACAGCTGGAGGCTGCCAGCGGGTTGCCTGCCCTGGCCTGCCCGCGTCCAAGCGAAAGCCGCCGCCGGGGCGTGGCGTCGAACCCACCGACTCCACCTCGGGAGGCTGGCGCGCTAACCGCGCGGCTGTCGGCACTGCCACTGGCACTGCCAGGCAGGGTGTGCGATGCCCCCTCAAATAGAGCCTCGGTTGTCCGGCGAGGAGAGATGGACCCGGAAAATGAGAAGAAACTGGCGGAAAGGGGGAAAGAGTTAAGAAAGGGGAAATAACCGGGGAGAGGAGGCGGGGGGATCGCCTCGAGAGGTTCGCATCGCATGCCTTTAGCTTCTCGAACCGGTTCCAAAAGCTTATCTTCCTTTTATCGGCGGCAGGTGAACCAGGAAGCATTCCCTCTCCTTGTCTGGCGGACTGCCCTGCCCGTCTCTCTCGCTCTGCCAGCGCTCTGCCGGCCTCCCCGCCCGACGATGCGCTGTTATTTGGTCCTCCTTGTCCGACCGTGCGGTTGTATCCAGTTGTCGTCGCGAGAGAGAGAGAGGAGAGAGAGAGAGAGAGAGAGAGAGAGAGAGAGAGAGAGAGAGAGAGAGAGAGAGAGAGAGGCGTGTGTATTCTCGATCCCCGCGCTTGTCCATGTCGCTTGTTTTGCTTGTCTTGCTCGATTGTGAGATATTTCAGGCAACCTGACCGGGATGCGGGGGAGACCGGTGGAAGTCCACTGGGAGTGCCTCGCCCTGTCTCTCGCACGCCGCAGACCTGCCCGTGAGGATGAGAGAGACAGACTGTCGAAATGGCCAAGGCGAGCGCGTGCTTTAGGTGTGAAGTGGAGTATATCTCGGCGGCGAAGTGCTCCACGCGCTGTGGAGTACGAAGTGGAGTCGGGCGGCGAGTGGAGGGGGCAGTTGTAGTGTAGTGGACTAGTGGCACATTGGCATTACGCAATTTCCGCCGGGGCCTGTACGTAAACTACCAGTCGAGATAACCTCTGCAAGCGCCTGTCGGGCCTGTGCATGCTGTTCCGAACCGTTCGAACAGCGCGCGTTTCCGTCGCTATCTGTCTCTCTCCGCGCGCTCGCGGGCACTGTGAGCGCTAGAGAGACAGAGAGACGCTTTCGGCCAGCGGCCGAGAGGAGGCACTGTTGGAGCTGCAGCAGGAAGCGAAGCACAGCGAGGCACAGCGAGGCACAGCGAAGCGGCCGGCTAAGTCCGCGCAAACTAACGACGCCATCATGTCGACTTGGAAACTACGCCAGCAGCAGCCAGCAGGCCCTACACCGGCAGGCCAGCCAGGCCGGCGGAGCGGATATTTCCAAACGGCCATGATGACCGCGTCTAGTCTAGCAGCCAGCCAAGCGCCAGCCAGCCGACCGGCCCCGCCTGCCTGCCTGCCTGCCTGCCCGCCTGCCCGCCTGGCTCTGTTGAAATCCACCGAGTACACACGTAGCTCCGCGTAGCTCCGCGTAGCTCGGCCACTCGGCCGCGAATGGAAGTGGTCGGCACGAGAAAAGGGGGAGGGGGAGGGGGAGAATGAATGGGCGATGCCGTGCATGAATGAATGGACTCATGAATGAGGCTCGCGGTGCCGTGCCTATGGCAGCCTATGCCGCCTTGCCGGCGTGGCGGTGGAGAGAGAGAGAGAGAGAGAGAGAGAGAGAGAGAGAGAGAGAGAGAGAGAGAGAGAGAGAGAGAGAGAGAGAGGGGGCGTAGTATGGCATGGCGTCGCACGGCCTATGAAACCCCCGCTCTCACTCTGGCTCGCTAGGGCGCGGCATTCGCGACTCGCAAGAAGGAGAGAGAAAGAGAGCGAGAGACAGAGACGCGGTGTCTACGTACTTCTCCTTATCGGAGCTGCAGGGCCCTGCCGGCACGACGTAGCAGTGCCTGTTACACTAGGCATTAGGCGTGTAAACTTGGGCCAGAAGGCCGGTGGAGGCGGCCGAAACTCTAGGCGCGTTTTGAGCTCCAGCGTCGCTAACCCGGACTCGAACCGAATGAGTGACCCCACCAATGGATTCCTCGTTCGGAGAGCAATCCATTGGTGGGGTCACACGTTCGCTTCGAGTCCCATTTAGCGACTCTGGAGCTCAAAACGCGTCTAGAGTTTTAGCCGCCTCCGTCGGTCTTCTGGCAAATCCACTGTGCAGCGGGGCGGTAGCGAAACGCCGCCTCTCAATTTCTCATCAATACCAGAGGCAGTTTAATAATTTTTTTTTTATTTCCAGTGCGGCGTGTCGGTTCGTGGTCTTAGTATGCGCGAGGCGTGAGGCGCGCGGTGCCGATGCATTCCGTCACGCCCACGTCACGCGGCACGCCTGCTGGAGGATACGGCGCCATGCGTGCGGAGACGGACAGACAGACAGACAGACAGACAGACAGACAGACGGGCAGAGACACTGGCTTGCTCCACCTTTGACCTCATCTATGCAGCCGTTGCAGCCTATATCGCTGCAGGCTGAGCGCAGCAGAGGAAATGACTGCCCTGTTCTGATCAACTCACCACATCCTTCCAATGAACTAGCGTCCCTCCCCCTTCCCCCACAGTGCCCCCTCCCCCAGTCCCCCTCTGCCCCCCTCCCCCGGCTGACCACAGGGCCCACAGGCCCACAGGGCACGCCCGGGGCGGAAGTCTGCCTCACCCCCACTTCCCTTCTTCCGCTGCCCAAATCATCATTCCTCATCATTAATTCATACGCGGTAGCTCCTCATTCATTCCTTCCTTCCTTCGCCTCCGTCATGCATTCTTTCATGCTTCATTCGCGCATTCGTTCATGCAGTCGATTCATTCATTCATCAGCCTCGTTCCGTCATTCGTTCATTCAATCATGCATTCGTCCGTCCATTCATTCATTCGTCCATGCATGCATTCATCACCAGTCATCCATCCCCGGCCGGCCGGTCGTCCGTCCGTCATAACTTTACCTGTTGGGGACTGAGTACTAAACGACACCGTCTAGGCGGCTGTGGGCCCTGCCAGGCCCTGCCAGGCTGTGGGCGCAAAGAACTCAAAGAACCAGCCCACTCCACTCCGTGGCGGCGGGGCGGAGAAAGGGGGGAGGGGGTCTCATTCACCGGGAGGAAGAGCGAGGGCGGGCGGTAAAGTGTGGGTTGAGGGGGAGGGGGGCGAACTTCCGGCGAGCCGCACTGCTCTTCAATTCAGCGGCGGACAGGCGGCGACGTGGGGACGGGGCGGAGGGGAGGGGGGGGCCTCTGTCCGCCGGAAGCGCAGGGAGGGGAGGGGAGGGGAGGGGGAGGGGGTACTTCCTCGCAATCGACACGCGGATGTGAGAATTATTGGCCTCTCCGGCTTGGCTGGCTGGCTGGCGTGGCTGGTGGGGAATCCGTCCACGAGGAGAAAGGCAGAAGGCGGAGAGAGGGGGGGGGCTGCGTACCGCATGCACGTCGCCGAGTCGCCGGGTGGCCGCGCCCAGCCCATCCGCCCAACCCTTTTGGAAGTCCACGTCGTTAGCAGTGCGTTGGTGCTCTGGCGGTCCTTTGGCAGGCCTTTGGCAGGCCGTTGGTGCCTTGGTCGTGGCGGTGCGGCGTCGGGCCGGCTTGGCTCTCGCTTCGCCTGCTTCGCCTGCTTCGCCGCATCGCTCGCAAGAAGGCGGCCGAGGCGGCAAGGCAAGGCGAGGCGGGCGTGGGTGAGGGAGGGAGGGGGGCACATCCGGTCAGGCCCCGGCGCGGCGCGGCGGCTCTGCGGGTCGTGGCGGGGGCTGCGGGGGCTGCGGGGGCATGGGGGCCCAAGTGAAGCAGCCGGGGGCCGCCAGGGGCCGCCAGGGGCAGGGCTCGCCGCCCGGCCCGGCCTGGCGTGGCGTGGCGACGACTCAGCCTGTTTTGTTTTTGCCTTACGCTAACCTTCGCAAGGACACGCGTGGCGGCGGCAGGCACGGCACGCCAGGCCACGCCACGGCGTCACCATTCATTCCGCAGGCCGCGTCGTGGGCCCTCCACCGGGCCGCACCCAGACCGCCACGCCCGCCACACCGCCGCACCGCCGCACCGCCGCACCCCGCCACTTCGACTGGCCGTCGACCTCCCGGACCAAAATGTCATCACAATCCCGTCCTGCTTCACGCGCGCCTCTTGAGTGCGTGTGTGTGCGTGTGTGTGCGTGTGAGTGGGAGAGAGGGAGTGAGTATGCAGCCGCCAGCAGCAGTTTGACGCCGTTTTTCGGAGGGTACGGCGTGGAGGTGCCGGGAAGACCGCCCTCCCTAACCTGGCCCAACGCGCGTAGCGTCTAGCGGCTAGCCTCTAGCCCGCCACCCTGGAGAGCCTCGACCACCTCGGCTTGCCTCGCCTCGTCTGGGCGGCGCATCGCGGACTCAAAGGCGCCGAGTGGACGAGCCTCTCGCCTTGCAGCACAGTGGGCCAGAAGACCGGCGGAGGCGGCCAACACTCGAGAAGCGTTTTGAGCCCCAGAGTCGCTCAACAGGACTCGAACCGAACGTGTGACCCCACCAATCGATCCCTCGTTCGGAGAGCAATTCAATGGTGGGGTCACACGTTCGGTTCGAGTCCCATTTAGCGACTCTGGAGCTCAAAACGCATCTATAGAGTTTCGTGTCTTCTGGCCCACCGTATGCTGCCCCCAGAGTCGCTCTCTCCCTGCCGGGGCGTCGCGGTCGCGCACAGGCGCGAGAGAGACAGAGCGCTTTCTGAATGGGTCTCGAGTGTCCAGCCAGCCGGCCGGTGTCCGGCCCGAGAGGCGCGAGGCGCGGCTCGTCGAACGCCACAAATGGCGTCTCTTTCTAGCAATGCGAGTGGCGGCCGGCGGGGCAGCGCGGAGCGGGGCGGGGCGGGGCGGGGCGGACGTCTAATCATCTTCTGCATTCATAAGCGAAGCGCTACGAGCACTGGCCGTCCTGCCGCCACGCCGCGCCACGCCGCGCCACGCCTGCCGGGCTAAATATACCTTGGTCGTTGCGAGCGTGGCGGCGTGGCGGCGCACAGTGGGCCAGAAGACCGGTGGAGGCAGCCAAAATTCGAGACGCGTTGAGCACCAGAGTCGCTGAGCGGGACTCGAACCGAACGTGTGACCGCACCAATGGACTGCTCTCAGGACGTGGAGTCCATTGGTGGGGTCACACGTTCGGTTCGAGTCCCCTAGCGACTCTGGAGCTCAAAACGCGTCTAGAGTTTTGGCCGCCTCCGCCGGTCTTCTGGCCCACAGTGGAGGGCCGCGAAGAGCCTAGCCGCTCGCAGGGCCGAACAACGCTCTGGTGCGAGAGAGACGGAATCGGTCCTCCGTTTCGTCGCTCTGTCTCTCTCGCACTCACTGGGGACGCGGTCGAAAGGGGTCGTCGTGAGCGGGGGGGGGGGGAGGAGGGATGTCCGTAGGGAGTGGACATCTCACTTGCCATGAATTAGGTATCAAGCTGAAGACAGGCCGTTGCCTGTCGGCCCCCGCACCGCAACGCACCGTGCCACCTGTCTCTGTCACACCCTTCGACCTCGTGCGACCCCGGCCCCCCCGGCCCGCTGTAGGACTCTGCCCCGCGCCTTGCCGCCTGGCCGCCAAGCCGCCACGCCCAAGTCTGGCGCGTGTAGGGCACGCCGCGCGACTCAGCGCGCCGCGGACAGAGTCCCTGCCTCTTTAACTCTTTGAGACACGCGGACAGGCAGACAGACAGGCGGACAGACAGACAGACAGGATGCGTGGCACTTCCCCTGCCCACCACGTCCCACACGGTCGGTGCGTCGGCGCGGCCGCTGCGTGTGCACGGCGTGGACGCACGGCGTGGACGCAGTGTGTTAGACGCACGCCGGGACTGCCTGCCCGCACCTGCACGGCGCACAGTGAGCCAGAAGACCGGTGGAGGCGGCCGAAACTCTGGGCGCGTTGTGAGCTCCAGAGTCGCTAAACGGGACTCGAACCGAACGTGTGACCCCACCAATGGATTGCTCTCCGAACGAGGAATCCATTGGTGGGGTCACACGTTCGGTTCGAGCTACTCTGGAGCTCTCTGGCCCACTGTGCAACACCTTGCAAATGCGCTCCGCAGGCATTCGCCTGAGGCTTCGGGCGACGACGCGGGGCGATACACGTGAACAGCTGGAAGGCGTGGGCGCGGAGGGCGCGGGTTCAAATCCTGACCTTGAGGCGCGGGTTTTTGTTTCAGCAAGTCAAGCCGAGCGGTGGGCGTTGGCGCTGGGGGTGGCGGGGCTGATAGTAGCGGCCGCCCCCATTCACTCCCACGCGGCGGGCGCGGCGACAACCCCCCCCCCCCCCCCCCCCCCCCCCCTCCACGCGGCCGCCCACGAGCCACCCCCAGCGCCGGAGCCGCCCCTGCCGCCCCCACACCGTCGGGCCGAGCCTCGCCGAGCCGCGACCCCGTGCCGTCGTCTGCAGACTGTGAGTCGTTTTGCCGCTCTGTCTCTCTCGCACCCACACGCGAGGCCCCGTGAGTGCGAGAGAGACGGCCTGCTGCTGTGGCCACTGTGGACCGCCAAGGCATGCCAAGGGTACAACTATCTATCAGTGTGTCCGGAGGCCGAAGGACACGTGACAGCGCGACGCCACGCGGCCCTGGAGACTGGAGACCCTGAGCGAGCGTCCTGGCGCTAGACACTGCAGCAGCCCAACCCCCATCCCTGCCTGCGGTTTGGACTTGGACTCTTCCCGCGGTAACGCCCATTGCGGGCTCCACGAGAGCGAGAGAGACGGAGCGACGAATACGAAAGTGACGCTCGGGTTTCGGAATCGGAGCGATGCAGCCAGTGGGGGGCTGGCCGGGACAGAAGGCTGCCTACGCTGCTGGCCGAGTCCCGAGTCCCGGAGTGTAGGACTCTAGCCGACTGCGCTGTCAAGTCGCCGCTCTACTCCGTCCTACTTCCCCAGCCACCTTAGCTCGCCTAGGCTGCCTTCGCTGCCTTGGCCAGGGCTCGAGGACTCTAGGCTACAGTGGCGCGGACGCGCGGACCGGGCGTGTTCCGCCTTCCGCCTCGCCTAGATTGAGTCCAACTAGGCCTGGCCGCTGGCACCACTGGCCGGCCCAGAGGCCAGAGGGCCCAGAGGCCAGAGGGCCCAGAGGCCAGAGGGCCCAGAGGCCAGAGGGCCCAGAGGCCAGAGGGCCCAGAGGCCAGAGGGCCCAGAGGCCAGAGGGCCCAGAGGCCAGAGGGCCCAGAGGCCAGAGGGCCCAGAGGCCAGAGGGCCCAGAGGCCAGAAGGCCGGATGTTCCGAATGAACCGCCCCGCTGTTGGCGTTCTCTTCCGGTGCCGCTCCGCGTTGCTGCGCGTCGCGTCGCACGCCGCGGCTCGCACAGTGGGCCAGAAGACCGGTGGAGGCGGCCGAAACTCTAGACGCGTTTTGAGCTCCAGAGTCGCTGAATGGGACTCGAACCGAACGTGTGACCCCACCAATGGATTCCTCGTTCGGAGAGCAATCCATTGGTTGGGTCACACGTTCGTGTCGAGTCCCATTTAGCGACTCTGGGGCTCAAAACGCGTCTCAAGTTTTGGCCGCCTCCACCGGTCTTCTGGCCCACTGTGGCTCGCCTGGCCTCTAGGCTGGCTCAGCCACTCAGCCGAGCCATTCAGAAGATCGCAGTCTCTCTCGCACCCTTACGGAGAGCCCCGTGCGTGCGAGAGAGACAGAGCGACGAACCGACTCCTCGGAATCGCTCGGCTCGGCAGCCAGACGGGCTGCAATGCAGTGTCATCATTTCACATGCACAGACAGCCCGGGCCGCGTCCGCTCCCACTCCTTGTTGGTCCCATCCGGGGCCGCCGCTCCCCGCCCCGCCGCGCCCCGCCCCGCCTCGACGGCATTCTCCCGAGGAACAGGACTGGACTGCCTAGGTCCACAAGCAGGGTGCGGTCAGCCCGTCTACTTGGCACATTTGTCACTAACTCATTAACTCGTCACGAGTTGAAGAGGTGAAAGGAAAGGTTCACAGACCTCACACCCAAGAAGGGTTGAATGCTTTCTAAAAAAAAAATATGCTTTTTCTCGGAGTTTTATTTAAATCAAGTTCTTTAGATTTTCATTTCTTATCTCCTAGTTGTAAAAATTTCAAAGCTCTTGTTCAAGTCAAGGAAGAGGGAAAACATTGCTGAGACATGGAGGGGCTTTGGATTCGATCTTGCAGTGAGATAAAGACTTGTTGACACTTGTTGATGTCACGGTTCTATCCAGAATGATGCCTTTTCTCAAGAAAACCAAATGCAAGTTTCTGAATAATTATTTTTTGTAGAGACAAATGACAAGACAAATTTCATTTCCATAGAAAAAAATTGAGGATGAATTTATTTGAACTAGCATGAATCTCTCTTTGCATGGTACATATGGCTATTGATTGACAACAAGAAAATGATGAAATTAACATACAAAAATGTGTGGAGTTTTAAGTACTCTGAGTATAAAAGATAGAACACGGATATACAATTTGATGCTACCTGTGAAGTTTTAACAATGATTATGAGGCACTTAAAATTACAATCATTATAATTCATGAAACAACAACAATGTGCTCTCCAGTCTAACAACTTGGGAAGAAATTTCACAGGGCAATGTAGATTTCTATTCATAGACATTATGCATAATCAACATTTTTTTCAAATTCAACCAATGGCTGTCTCAAAAACAGATTTAACAAACAGTTTCAATTAACATAAGAAAACTTTAAGATGATAACATTCCCCATTCCAATGCAAACCCATAGTGGCTAAGTTGTACCACACATAAAAATTGTTTTCCGTGATAGAGAATACATCATACCATTCTTACTGACACTGCCTTTAATTTTAAAATGAATATGTTGAACTCATGGTGTGTCACAATTCATGTGCAGTGGCCACTTCTGCAAAGTTGCTTAAAACTTCATGAGAGTATGAGAATAAATGTCACCAATGCACTCAAAAAATAAAGCACTATCATTACATTACTGCTAAATATTATCCAAATGAAATGAAGAGCAATGCGGAAGACATCTATTCCATTAACCAGCCTATATCTACCACACAGGCTCGTAGAAGTTTTACTCTTGAAAACACTTAAGAAACTACAACCCAGTAAAATCATTCGTTTAATAAATACTGTACAGCTAATAAACTGTGTCATAACAACAAATGGCAGGATAAAGTCAAACAATATCAGATCTTGAGATGCATCAGTGACAATGGTTTGATGATTAACAATATAGAATGTGATGTCTACCAATCACCTTTTAAAAAAACATTAATTTGGAAGGGAAAAAATAAATTAAAACACCTTATGACAAAACAGATGTATTCTAGTTTATAGCGTTTCCCAGAGTCCTCAACAGAGGACACTTTACATTCAGGCAGCTTCTATGAAATACCATAGAGGATAAAAAGGATGCCGGCATCCTTGAAATTACCTGCCAACAAAGACCAAAGTTAGGATCTGAAATGACGATAGGTTGTATAGTTCTAAATGTGTTTACTTACTAGAGAATTTCAAATACTTTCTTCAGCTCTACCATGAGTTGCCAGTCTTGCTTATTGAGGTCATCACGGAAATAGTCTTTACAAGCATCGATTGATTGCCTGCTTATCTAGAAAACATAAATAATTTACAAGAATAAGCAACATTAGTGTCATACATGGAAAACATTAAGAACCTAGGAAACAGAAACACATACCTTGCTAACAAGCATATCAGTTTCATCAAAGTGTCTTCCAAACATTTTAGGAGCTTCACCAGGCACAGGTTCAATTTTCACACAAACCTCCATACCCTTCCGGGCACTATCAACAGCCTTGTGGTTGATTTCTACACTCGTGACTATACCAACATCCACAAACTAAGAATAAAGAAGAGACAAACAGGTTAAAAGCCAACAAAAATGTAATTAATAGAATGCAGGACAGTGTGTGTTAATAAAGTTGGTTAAAAAATAATCAATACTTACATCTTTACTGGGCACACAAATTGGTGTTCCCTCTCTGACAATACCAGCTTCCACCATGACTCCACACACAATTGGATCACGAGAATTAAACACAAACTGCAAATGGGAAAAAAATTCATTTAATTTTTCACAATATACTGTATTTCATTCTGTTTACTAGAGTCCTGTAGTGCGACTCTAGTATGTACCTGAGGCAAAACACGGAGTTTGCATGGGAATACTGCAATGTGCTTGAATTCATCTCGCTTCCGCTGCTTCAGTTCTTCTCGGTATGCAGTGAATTTGTCAAACAAGTGATAAATAATGTCAGCTTGGAATATTTTAACTCCAACGCTGTCAGCCATTTCCTGTGCATCTTTTTCAACCTTGACATCAAATGCCAAGATGGTTGCATACCTACAGGTAAAAGTAAAAGTTTGAAAAAGATTAGTTATACCATCATTAAAACAAAAGGATTAATCAAGGTATCTACAAAACAAGAAAAAATACTCACTGGCTCTCATGCTCTAACATAGTTGACGCTTTCATGACATCTCTTTTAACAACTGGACCAATGCGGATATTTGCATACTAGAATATTTAAAAAAATTGTGATTAATGAAATGAGGCTCTCTATCAAAAGCTACACAAAAAGCAGTTCTAAGTGGACTACTAACAGGAATTTTGGATGTTCTCAAAAATTCTAGAAGAGCTTCAAGAGATCCAAGAGTTGAAGCTTGAACATAAACACCACGTTCTGCCAACTTCACATGACTCAGAGCAGATTTTAAATCTCGGGCCACTTCTTCCTTTAAAATCTCAACTTCATCAGGTTTCTGGGCAACTTGCAGATTCAAACCCGCAATAGCCTTTTCCAGCTCCTTGGCAGCAATTTTAACTCCCTGAGCGGCTTGAATTTCTTTGTATTCCACATATTGATTCTAAAGAAACAAGTTCAGATAAACGATTAGATAAGAGACCAAGTACTGTCATTTCCTTAAAATGAAAAACAAATAAAAAATAACAACAACATTATTACCTTCACTCGCAATTCTTTCATGGGCTGTGGCATCAGAAGGGAACGGATCTGAGTAACAATGGGACCCTCAGTTCCTGCTACTATCATTGTGTCACCCTCTCTCAATCTACCATTCACCAGAATACAATCAATTGTTGTACCTAAACCTCGAATTTCTTTTACTTCCAACACAGTGGCCTAGAAAGGAGAAACAGAAATAAAGAATCCAGCAACTAACAAAACTCTCAGCAAAATAGCTATGGTCACTTCACATTTTACTTACCTGCAAGTCTTCTGAGTACATAAGCCTCTTGGCAAGCATATTTTGACAGTTGTCAACAATAAGAGACAGAAGATTGCCCATACCCTCACCAGTAATAGCACTAGTAGGTACAAGAGAAACGTAACTTCTGGGGTCAGGATTTTCATAGAAAAGAGCAGCATTGAGACCCTGAACAAAAATATTTTAGTGAAGGAATAATGCAAGTAAATAAATGGTTTCAAGAAAATATTCAAAAAGTAAACTTATACCTGTTCTGCAAATTGTAAAATAACTTCTTTAGTTCGCTGCTCAAACTCAAGCTGAGTATTGGCTTGCTGAGCCTTGATAATATCACGTACATCCTTTCGAGCCATAGTTTGCCAGTCGTATAACCTAAGCAGGTACAAAAAATCAATCTAGCCATCAATCAATCACGGTAACCCCCTCATTCTACAAGAATCCAAAGAAATAATCTGTTTCCAAAAAATCCATCAGAATCAAAAGTATACAATTTGACTTACCTATCAATCTTGTTTAGAGCAACTACAAAAGGAGTTTTCTTGGTTTTCAGTAGGTTAATTGATTCTATTGTTTGAGGTTCTAAGGCGTGCATAATATCAACTACAAGAATGGCAATATCACAGAGGGATGAACCACGATTTCTCAAATTTGAGAAGGACTCATGGCCAGGTGTGTCAATGATGAGAAGACCAGGGATTCGTAAGTCATTTTCATCAAACTGTAAATAAAACAGGTTGAAAATGACAAAATTAAAAGAACATAAAAATGAGAAGAATCCATGCTATTATTGACAGTTGTGAAAATTTTCAGAAAGATACAACTTACCCCTTTAACTATTCTGACTTGCTCTCTAATAGCTTCTACAGGAACATTGGTAGCTCCAATCTGCTGAGTGATGCCCCCCGCTTCACCATCCTGTACATTAGTCCTCCTGAGCTTGTCAAGGATCTTCGTTTTTCCTTAAGAAAGTACAAACAATGGTTGATAAACTGGCTTGCAATGATTACAATGGAGCAATACTTCAAACTAGAAAAGAAAATCAGTACCAGTATCTACATGTCCAAGAACACAAACAACAGCAGCTCTTAATACATCAATTGTGCGGTTCTTTTCTGCATCTTCTCTGCGTTTCTGAAAGGAAAATCAAAGGTGCCAAATAAAATATAAAAATTCTTCCATAGTTATTTCCACAGTTCTTATAATCATTAATTACATGTATTCTAGCTAAAGCTTTCTGCCTCTTCTTTTCAGCATCAGTCCTTCCATCATCTTCACTTTCATCAGAAGAGTCACTACTTTCTTCTTCAGATTCACTTCCACTGTCTTCTTCAGATGATTCCTCAGCAGAAGATTCATCATCATCCTTGGTTTCCTTAACAGGTTCCGCACTCTCCTTCTTTGGATCAGTTATTTCTATCAAAGATAAGGTAAGATAGTTAAGCCACAGGTTTTAGAATGATATTCCCTTTTGAATACCAATTTTGAATAAAGTGAAAGAGTGTTAAGCAAACCTTCTTCTTCCTCTGAGGATTCAGCGTCCCAGGAGTCTTTAACATCGTCTTCCGGCTCTTTTGGCTTGTCATCTTTTTTGTCAACAATTTCCACCTGAACAGTCTCTGCACTACCCTCAACCTTAAGAGTAGCATCTTCTGCAGAAAGCAAACAAATTATTATTGGACACATATCAACGTGGACAGAACACATTAAACACATATGCACACACACAAACCTGTTTCTTGACTTGTCTGGGATTTCACTTTTGAAGGCCGCGCTCTTGTGCCCGGTCGAACAAACTTCTTTTCACCAACATTAGGTAAATCAAAACCCTGAGCTTTACGTGCTTCAAGCATCTCTTGAGCTCTTGCACGTGCAGCTTTTTCCTTAGGAGTTAAAAGTTTACCTTCAGCCTTTAGTCTCTCTTTCCTTTCTTTCTCTTTCAATTTCTTTTTCTCTCTGCGTTCTTGCTCCAACTTTGCCTGCATAAAAAATTTTGAATGATAAAAAATTGAATTTTAAAAAGACCGCACAGCAGAAAAATTAGAATGAAAAAATCTATTCTACTTACAGCTTCCTTCTTTGCTTCCTCTGCAGCTTCAAGCCGCTTTATGCGTTCTTCCTCCTCCCTTTCTGCTTTCTCTTCCTCTTCGCGCAGCAGTTTCAAAGCCTCTTGCATAGCAGCAATGGTCTTTTTGGCAGGTCCCTTTTTTCCTTTTTTATCATCCCCATCCTTTTCTTTAGTATCCTTTTCCTTACCATCCTTTCCTTTTGACTTCTTTTTATCAGCGGCTGTGATTTAATAATGCAGACTGTTAGAAATGATACCTTTCACCCACTTCTTTTACATCTTTAAATGATGACAAATGAGAGGTCACACCTTTAGTCTCCTCTTGTTCTTCATCTGCGACTTCAGGTTTTTCGTCTTCTTTCTTGTCAGTCTTTCCTTTGCTTTTAGCAGCCTTTGCCTCCTGAACAAGAACAAAAAGACTAATCCATGAAACAAAATGCAAGACAATGAACTAGAATTAGAACCCAATTTATTACAAACCTTCTCTTTCTGCTTTTGCCGTTCCTTCTTTTCCTTTTTCTTCTGAGCAGCGGTCTTCATTCCACCTTCCTCAGCCGCTTCATCTTCATCGTTGCCCTCCTGTTGGTCCCTCGAAGCTTCTGCATCATCGCCATCTAAGAAATGGTACCTCAGCATAAGATATGACAGAGTGCTAACTTAAATAATTCACTGACAGTTAAGGCTGTTTACCTGCAACTGTATCCTCTCCTCCCTTTGCACCTTTCTTTTTCTTCTTCTTGCCCGCGCTTTCCTCGACTACATTCGTCTCCTCCTTCTTGCCGCCTGCGTATTCTAGGGCGAGGTCTGCAAGCATGGCATCTAGATCCTCATCATCTTCGTCCTTCTTCTTTTTCTTCTTTTTGCCTTGCTTGGCGTCTTTGCCACCCTTCTTGGCCTTTGATGTGGTACTCACTTCCTCTGGTTCTGAGTCAGAGGGAGGTTGAGGGGCAGCCTCTTCATCGGAATCCCCGTCCTCAACAGAAAGAAGCGCAAAGCTAGATTTGACTGGGCCGACATCTTCGTCACTGGAATTTGCAGCTTTCCCTTTCTTGCCCTTTTTGCTCTTCTTTGTGTCTGCCTCTTCGCTGTCACTTTCATCCTTTAGCTTTTTCGACTTCTTAGATTTTGATTTTGAGGGAACGTCATCACTGTCGTTCTCACTTTCACTGTCTGTTGCTTTTGATTTCTTCTTTGATACCTTCTTCTTAGTTGGTTTTGGTTCATCATCGCTAACCTCTTCGTCAGACACAGGTCCTTTCTGCAATACAATCGGATGATTAAAAATTTGTCTTCCAACTAATGTCAAACTAAGTACAAAAAATAAAATAAATTAAAATAAATTATGAATACCTTTCCTTTCTTCTTCTTATCCTTTACTTTCACTTCAGGCTGGTCTTCATTGTCAGAGTCCTCAACCTGAGCCCTGCATCACAAAAGCAACAATGAGAATCAAATGAACACACCAACACACAAACAGGACATTTGACAAAATGGCCACTAACTTCTTGGACGCTTTCTTAGTCACTGGCTTTTCATCAGAAGTCTTCATTTCAACTTCACCGTCACTGCTGTAAATAGAAATGGGAATAATTGAACATTCCAAATAGTGTCTGGGAATATGGCACAATAGAAAACTGTCAGCATATGTTACTAATCAGTAATCAAAAAAGTTTCTCACTGAGTGTGAATCAAAATTATCACACGAATGAAAAGATCGAGTTTCGTCTGACCGAAAGCACTTTGATGAGATATTCCTTAATACCCAGCTACAGTTGCTTCATAAAATGCAACAAGGGCTCCTAACAGCACACAAAATGTCATCTGATGTGACGAAGTCTCTGAGGCCATTCAAAGAAGTTTTGACATGACAATTAAAAATTTACGTAGTAGACACAATAAAATCATGCAGTACTGCAGATAATGCCAGAAAACATAACTAAGAGGTATTTATACCAGTTGAGCTTAGCCTCTAAGCTGAGCATGGCAAGCAGACAGATTGTGCAACAAACCACTTACATATCATCTTCTTTGCCCAAATTCTTGCCTTTCTTGGCCTTTCCCATTCTCAACTAAGATCCAAGTACAATTCGGCTGAAACAGGTCGCCGATGCAACACCATAAACAAAATTAATCACAGAGATTTTTCGCAAAATATGCCGGCAGGCTCTCCAACTTGTACGTCGTCAACCTAACCTTGCAAGGATAGAGACATACAGAAATACTCTGGGAACCTTTGGCTAGCACTAGCAGGCCTCGGCCAGGATTTTTCAGCACGCGTGGCGGGAACTATTCAAATATCTCTGTCGAAACTTTCCATTTAGTGGTCTTGAGTCTTCACCAGAGCGCTCCCAACCCGATATACCACTCCCCACGCTGCAGTTTAGAAATGTAAAAGCGATAAAGTGCTTGTGTGGTCCTTCCCTGTTAATTTTTATCTTCCTCATCCACCCCTTTCACTTCATACTCATTTCTCATCGTTACCGTAGCCTCGCGGAAGGTACACTCCCGCCCCGCCCACCTCCCCCCACCACTCCCCAGAATTCATGCCATTCATCTCTCTTCTCATGTCGTTTCGTCCTCGTCTTTGCTTCGTCTGTGTACAAATGTGGCTAATGGCGTCTGACTAGGAGCAAACTGGGTTTGTTTTAACGAAACGGCCCGTTGTCAGTCGCCGCGGCCAATGCAAGCCGACGAATCTAACACCATGCCGAAGTTTTACAAAGTGGAAATCAATCGCACGGAATGGGAAGTGCCGGAGCGGTACCAAATGCTGACCCCCGTCGGATCGGGAGCCTATGGCCAAGTTTGGTAAGTTTACAGTTCTTTGGGTTGAACAAGACGCGGCGTAGATCTTGCCCACTCGGGAGGCGTAAGTCTAGGATACGTCCTTGGCGTGTCCTCCAGGTTTAGCGCAAAATTTGATAGTTTGGCACACACAAGTTATCTTTTTAAGGTTAAAGTACAGTGGCTGTAATTATTATTGGGTGTCAGGATTTTCTTGACAGTTTGACATTACACCTTAATAAAACTTGACTGGGTTATTTTCCGTGGCATTCTTGCCTAGAAGTCTCGTGCTTTGATTGAGTATGCAGTTTTCTTTATTGAATTGAAGTTGAGTTTTTTTTCATGGCATCACCTTGAGAAATGTTACAATTTGTCGAATTTTGTTTGAACTGGGAGTATTAGTTTCAAAGTGATAAACTTGGTTTTGCTCTCTGTGGCCTAAACTTAAATGTATTATGGGTCTGGGTTTTTGAGGTTTTCAATTAATAAAGATGAGATTTCTCTTGTACATTTGCAGTTCTGCTGTGGACAGTGTCTTGGGCTGCAAAGTTGCTATTAAAAAATTAGCTCGCCCCTTTCAATCAGCTGTCCACGCTAAACGGACATATCGAGAGCTTCGCATGTTGAAGCACATGAACCATGAAAATGTAAGTTTCAATTAGCTTGCTTTAATTTCCTCATTGAATATTGTTGCATAAATTTTGCCTTCTTTTTTTGCCAGGTTATTGGCTTGCTCGATGTATTTCACCCAGCAACGACTCTAGCTGATTTTAACCAAGTGTATGTATTTAAATTTAATGGCGCATTATCATATGTGGCTTGTTTTTCCTTATCAATGTTCATTGAACCAAATCTTAAATGTTTTGCAGATACCTTGTTACACACTTGATGGGAGCTGATCTGAATAACATAGTGCGCACACAGAGGTTGTCTGATGAGCACGTTCAGTTCCTTGTATACCAGATTCTTCGAGGATTGAAGTACATTCATTCTGCAGGAATAATCCATCGGGTAAATTTTTGTGTTCTAGTTATCTGTATGTATTATTTGTATTATTACAAGCCTAATGTAAATTTAATAATTAGGATTTGAAGCCATCCAACATTGCCGTAAATGAAGATTGTGAACTGAAAATCTTGGACTTCGGTTTAGCCCGACCTACTGAAAATGAAATGACAGGATATGTGGCCACTCGGTGGTATAGGGCGCCAGAAATAATGCTGAACTGGATGAGATACAATCAAACAGGTAATCTAAGCTTATTGAGATTGAGGTTTTTTTTTTGTTGTCATTATGCACTTTTTGAATGTGATTTGTCATGGGGTGTGATGTTTCCTTGCAGTGGACATCTGGTCAGTTGGATGCATCATGGCTGAACTTCTGACAGGAAGAACTCTTTTCCCTGGAACAGACCGTATCCTTTTTTGAACTGGAACAGCTAAAGAGCCTTTCTGTACCTGCTGTACTTAAATGAGCTTGAAAATTTTGTGATAATTTTGGGCTGGATGTTGGCACTTGTCTCTGTTGAGATGTGGGAGAAGTTATAGCACATTCTTTCATTAACTGCTGGAAAATATGAGAAAAGCATTATTTCTGCCTCAAATCTCTTTACTTACACATCACTCTAGTAATTTTTAATTTACGCTCTTTTGCTAGACTCATTTTTAGTTTTTAATTCAAATAGCTGAGCTTTGTTGAGAGTACCTCATGGACTCCTTGTTCTGATCAAAGTGTAGGTAGTCAACTTTGCATGAAACCTCTGTGTTTTTACCTTAGCTGAATATTTAGATATTCACCAATTGAATTTAATTATGGAGATCCTAGGTACTCCAAAAGATGAGTTCATGAAGAAAATCACCAGTGAACATGTAAGTGGCACATAGAAATAACTATCTTTGGGGCAGGAAACAAAAAGAAAGTTTTTGTTTGGTTTGTGTGCATTGGTGCTTAACACAATTAATGGCTGTACTGCACTGTGCTTCATTTTGCTTGTCCTGCTTCTGGTTTGCCTCCTTCTCTGGGGTGCTGCGTTCTGGTGTGAAGTTGCTGAGTTCTCTCTAGTGTGTATGTAGGCTGTTAATTGGAACCTGGAACTTGACTGTGTGTGAAAATTATTTTATTATTGGAAGTGTAAGTGTTTGGGGTGCATCTGACATTTGTAATTAGGCATGCTATCCTCATCCTAAACCATGCTCCTCTTTCTTAATGCTTCAGCCTTTCATTTCCTTTTATTCATTCTAGTTATGTGACATGTGGTTTTGTCGTTGTTGTTGTGTGGTGAGTAGGGGCAATTGGTTTCAATCCTTAACTGTGCTTTTAGACATTGATCACTTAACAAGAGTGCTAGTGCTCTGTGGAACTCCTTCTGAGGAGACTCTCTCAAAGATAACAAGTCAAGAGGTATGCAAAAAATTCTCTGGATGGCAAATTTAAAGATTTTTGAACCATATTATGTTGCCAAGGAATATCTTTGTTAAAATTTTACATAGTGCTCATGTTTGTCCAAAAATTACAGTTTTTCCCTTACAATCTAATTGGCTTATTTCTACCCATAGCTTGTTGAATCATGTGGTTGATAAGGTATGAACACGTCTTTTTTGGTGACAGGCACGCAACTACATACAGTCCCTTCCTGCGTTGAAGAAGAAAGAGTTCAAAGATGTGTTCAAGGGTGCTAATCCATTAGGTAAGTTCACCTTTAATAGTATGAGTTGTTTTAAAGCTCAAAACCTGTACTAATAGCTATGACTATTTTCTTTTCAGCCATAGATCTTCTGGAAAAAATGCTGGAATTGGATGCAGACAAGAGGATAACTGCAGAAAAAGCTCTGGCCCACAAATATCTGGAGCAATACGCTGATCCATCTGACGAACCAGTTTCTGCTGCGTATGACCAGAGTTTTGAGGATATGGAAATTCCTGTTGAAAAGTGGAAAGGTATAATATGCTCTTGTAATGCAATTCTTCTCTTAGATTTGTGTTAGGATTGGTAGATGAAATTCAAACTAATTCTTTTTTATTCCAGAACTTGTGTATGAGGAAGTTGTCAGTTTTGTTCCTCAACAGCCTGTCAAGCCTGCTGAAGTTTGAGTTGGAGCAGTTTGTGGTAACTATCTGATTTTTACTTGCTCTCCCCGTACCATGTATCAATGGTTTTCAGATACATATTACATTTATAATGCTCAATTGTGTTTGCTGACAAGGTAGTGCATCATTTGTTGTGATTCACAGGTGGGTCCTAGGATCTGCATCTGTGATGCATACTGATTTTAGTGCATTATTTCTGTTCAATAAGCTATTAGCATTTTTAATGCTTAGTACCTAGTTACCCTCCTGCCCATCATAGTGAGTGTAATCTCAGTGTGTCCACAAGAATGTGCTAATCAAAAAATTGTCAATTTGTTGCTTGGATTAGACTTTTAAAGCCTTACTGTACAACGATTTCTATTTAACAGTTAAAAATTAATGTACCTGAAGTGTGTACATTCTATCAGGGATGGAGAGTGATTTTTTGGAACCTTGGATAGGTGTATTTTGCTCAGTATATGAGCTGTTTTTTTGGAGTCATGCATGAGGCATATCTCAAATGAATTGAGTTCTTATGTTTACTTAAGAATATGGCCTCATTTGCTATTGTTTTGTACATTTTTCTTTCTGAGAGCTTGCATGTTTCAAGCAGGGTATTAGAATTTCTTTTAGATAATGTTTGGTTTTTTTCCCTAGACGATTACATCACAATAAAATCTTGTGATTCTTTTAATAGAAATATCTGTTTGATTTATGGCACCAAGAAATGTGAAATGAACCTTTATGTAAGTAAATTAAGGAATACGAATGTTAGATTATTCTTCTATTGCACAAAGTTTAGCTATTTCAACCCTGTATGTGACGGATTTCATTGAAACCTTACAAACATGGTCTGTTCTGCAGAAAGTCTTCTTCTGTGTTGTTGTAGTCTGTTGTTGTTTGTCATTTTTACTGTTGTCTTTTTTTCCGTTTTGGAAAGTATTGTTTATTTGTGTCAAATGTATTCTGTGCAATATTGATTATGAAAGAATTTTATTTAAGGAGGCAGATTGTGCATGGTGTGTGGAATTTCTTCTTGTACTTGTAACCTAAGTAATGTACGTTTTATTTTGTTTCTGAATTAATTTATTTTGTAGCTTCTTAAAAATCAAAGCTGCTTTTGAGTGAAGCAAATTCACTGAGTGATCATTTATAGCAGCAGAAACTGTTCTTGGTTCCCATTTTGGAACATCCTTGACGAAATTTCCGAAAACCTTACCCTGTTGGTGGTTGATTTGAATGGGTCAGAATGCGTCAGTATTGTATTCTATGATTTTTCATTTTGCTAGTCTTTAAACAGGTTTGTTATTGTTCAACTGTCTAGAAGATGTCACTGTGACTTTGCTTCAGTTATACTCTATTGCTTTATTTTGCTTCATTATGAATTGTGAGTTTGTGGTTTACAGCAAATAGTTGTTTAGTTTAAATTACTAAGTTTTCTCACAATATAAGGTTTACATTATTTTTCTAATTTACATGTACTTATCTTCAATTGAAGCTAATTTCTACCCAATTGTTATGATTTGTTTTTGATGTGTGAAAAATCAATTGGCTGTACGAACTGATGTCAATGGCAGGTTCCCACTCTATTTCTCAACCCTTGAAATGGAATAGCTAAAGGAACACAAATATTCTGTCTGAAATCTATTATTGATGAAATGACTAGTTTGTGTCATTTTGGGTATTCATCAAATGTGATTTGTAGATGTAAGTCTTGCAGAACAATAAGTTTGGAATAAGCAGAATGTCTCTGTGCCTAGATTCTTTTGAAATTTGGTTTGTCAAGTTATTAATAAATTGCAGAAAGTTTGTATGTCCTCCCATTTCATTTAGAGTGACATCTCTTAAAGTAATTTTAATTCATATGGATCACTGTTTTCTACTTCTCCTTCAAACTCTGTCTACTTAAGACTAACAATTTATGTTTCAAAGTGCTTCGATAAAAGAATATTATTAGTTTTGAGTTGGTGCACTCAGAGTACTTAACACCGAAAGTTTTCCTCTGCTGATACTGTATTTGTAAGTAAGGTACAATTTTAATTTTAGGATTGAAGTATCTTTTGGGAAGGGAACCTGATTGAGCCAGTTCTATTGAAAAATAGGTGGCTTGTTGAACATGAACATTGTGAAAAGTGAAACATGAACATTGTGAAAAGTGAAACATTGTAGGTATCATATCTTATCTTCCTCCCCTTTCGCTTGTAAACTAACATGGGAGTGTGCTGTCACTTCGGCATTATCAAAAGTAAAAGAAAGAAATAAAAATATATCCATCAAATTTTAATCTTTTACATATGTGAGAGAAGTTTAATCAAGTTTCAAGTTTAATAAAGATTGTGATCTTTCAAGTACATCTCGTTTGCTTAATTACGAAACTGCCTATCACAATACTGTCACTTTAAATTAGAAATAGTCTTCCTTATATCATCAATGTTCTGATCTGATGTGATTGTCATTTCAGAGAAATCTTGAACACAAGTTTCTTCCCTGGGAAAAAAACAAATTATACTCAGAGCTTATTTGTTATCTTGCCACATAAAAAAGCAAACAAGTTCACTTACGTTTTTGATAGGTGCATTTTTTTGTGGGAACTGATTGGCTTAATTGGTAAACCACCTTTCAAAGCATTCAACACCTAAACAAAAACATCAAGGAGGAAAGTGAATAGGGTATTTTTAATGAATAGAGGCGCTCACAATAAAATCAATCAAGACAAATTTGTTACCTCCTGAGCCCTATTTATCTGCTGGTCTGGTATTCCATTAGCTTTTGCCACCTCGATGGCCAAACTTGATTTTATTTGGCCAGACTTCAACTGATACAAGTATACCAGTTCTCCATCAGAAACAATGTGTTCTAAAACCTGAAAATTTGAGGAACTTTTTCAGCTTTTTCTGAAAAATATGTTATGTGTTATGTATTACAAAGTTTATTAACTTGCCTGTGCTTTCACAAGAGGGCTAACTTCTATCAAATCAATCAGACGGTGGAAATGAGTGGAAAGAATAACATGAGGACAATTACTTGGACCTCTTCTGGTCAGATGGTTCAAAAAGGCGGCCAGGAGCGAAAGACCGTCCACTTCTGAAGTGCCTTTCCCAAATTCGTCAATCACAAGGAGAGATGATTTAGTGGACATACAAACAGCAGTGTTCATCTATAAACAAAAAAAAGGAAACAAAAACAGATTTAAGAAAAAAATAAAAAAATTTCAGCTATTTGGTAGTAAAAGTACCTGTCTTAAGTCAATCACAAATGCAGAAAGTTGAGATGCAGCAGATTCTGTTGTTTGTATTCTGGTGTGAATTTGATCCAGTACACCAATAACAGCTTTTCTTGCTGGCACAAAGCTTCCTGTGTGAGCAAGATACGCTATGACTGCTACCTGAAATATGATGAAAGAGTGCTCATCAATATTTTCATCATTCTTTAACTACAGCAGTTTAATTATCAAATATCCTACTTGTTTCAGATAAACACTTTTGCCACTGGCATTGGGTCCAGTAAGAATTTTTACCAAACCATGTTCCGAATTTGAAGATGTATTATTTGGCACATAGTTGCTGACATAGCATTCCTATCGGAGAGTAAAATTAACATCCAGTTAAAATTACATCAGATGGAAAGAGTAAAGATTATCGTTGCCACAGTTTCCAGATTACCTGCAGTGGGTGACGTCCCTTCTCAATCAAAATTTCATGCCCTGTGGTCATAGTTGGTTTTACATAGCCATACTCCCTTGCAACACTAGCCAGGGCAATAAGACTGGAAATGGAAGGGCAAACAGTAAGTAAGTAGTTATGTGCATAAACTAACTCCGATTGATCTATTAAGTTAAGATACATCACCAGTCCAATTCTCCAACATAGCTCATTGAATCCAAGAGAGAATCTATGCGCTGCTGTATATACTGAACCAGTCGCAGCATGATGCGAAGTTCCAATTCACTTATGCGAAGAAAAATGTCTCCCAAGGAAGAATCTAGCTCTGTAAACCAATTTAGAAAACACATTATGTGCATGAACCTAAGAATTAGTTAATACAAACTAGGAATTAGGCTGACCTCTGCAACGAGGACTCTTGTAGTAAATCGTATTGTTTGCTGTAAACTAAAGGAACCAATGGATTGAGAAAAGAAATACAATACTGATATTTTGTAACAATAATTGTTTCTTTTGATAAGAAATTACTTTGTATTTGAAGCCGGGTAGATGCATCTCCTCCACAGAGAGATCATTCTTCCACTCAGCAATGGACAGTAAGAATCCTATTTCTGGTAAAAATGTTACAGAACATTCCGGAATATAGTCTGGCAAGTCTTGCAACTCCATGGGAGATAATTCCATCATCATGTCACTTAAGTTAGCATAAGTGTGTTTCACTGGGGGAAAAAAAATTCAAAAAAAAAGGAAAATAATGCAGTATTACACCCGATTGGATTGATGAAGTGAACACATGTTCTACTCACTCTTATCTAAATCATTGTCGACTCCTGGTAAAACACAAAATTGCTTAGTCTGTTCTGAAGTCTGGAAATCGATGATTTGATCCATGAGATGTCCAACTCGATACAAATCATCAGATATGACAGACCTTGCCTGTGGACAAACACAAGGTTCAACATTCAACATCCTTAGAACTTGTATGGTCAGTGATAGTTGAGAGAAAATATTACAAACACCTTTTCAAAGAATGGGACAGTATTTGAAAATCGGCTGCATATTTCTCGGATCCGCAATATGTTGTGATTGGTCTATCAGAAGAGAAGATTAAATTAGACACTGTTCATTAAAGGATTGCAGCAGAAAATCAATATAAGTACACCTTTCTCAAAGATTTCCATTGTGCTATTGTTGCCTGAGCCGCAAATAATCTTGGAAGCATTCCCTGGAATTTAAAAATAAAATAAAACCTCAATTTAAGTCATGGCACATGCTATTGTTGTTGATCCTCACAGAAATACTCTGAACTTGACGAATGCACTCTTGCATTTTTTTGACAACATCTTCGTGTGCTGGGTCCATACAAAATCTAATGACTTCATGTCTCTTGGTAAGCTCCTGAATATTGGTTGTAGGTTGAAGCATTGTGCCTCTGAAACCGCATGAAATATAAGCGTAAGATAATAACAAAGGGAAAAATAAGTCCAAAAGCAATAAATTTACCTCAAGAATTTGCTGCCTAGCTTGGAATTACAGCGGTTTAACAGACCAAAAATACTGAATCCCTCTTTGTGCGCATCTGGCGTCCATTTGAAAAGGGATGGATGAGCAGTGTGGGTGAAAATTTGAAGAGCGTGGTAAGTTTCACTATTTATCCACACCTGCTGCTCACTGTAAACTCAACTCAAACTCAAAACACAATCAAGTTAAAAATTCAGTAAAACAAAACCAGGAAGGTAGGATGTCTCACATGCAAAGGTTTCTCAGTCCAAGTATTGGGCTTTGAGCATGTGACAGACAGAGCCATGCTAGATTGTTAGTTAAGTATTTGAGAAGACGTGCTAGGGCATTGATCATTGAGTCTTGACTTGTGTCTATCAAAGACCGGATGAACTGCTTGTGTTCCTCTTCTGGTAAGTCTTCTGGCTCTCCAGGCAGTTTAAGATTAAAGACTTGGCGCAAACTGTTGTTGTTTCCTACATTGGATATGGGGCAAGAAATCATGAGATTTAGAATTAGAAAAAATTCATGACAACAATTAGAAACTTACTGAATTCTGCATCAGGAAGAACATGAAAATTTCCATGGAGGGTCTCATCTGAAGATTCCATTTCACCTATCAAGAGATTGTTCAGCAACAAGATGAAGCGATGTGGCATGGTTTTGCATGTTAAAACTTGCCTGAATGAATAAAGATTATAATTTCAATCTAGCACCTGTGAACACTGTAATACACCAGTAAGACTGTGTCTCGCTGCTCAACTTACGTTGGCTGAACTTGGAGGAATAGACTTTGCAGTACTTTGAAGCCAAGATGGAAATCATCAGCAATATCGTTGAGTAAATAGACCTGTAAGAGAAAGAGACACAATGACTTGGCTCAAGAATATTACACCAGACGTTAATACTTACCACAGGATTTTGCAAGCTGTATGATGCCCCACCAAGTTTCCCATTTTTCCAGAAAACGGACAGAATCACCTGCAAAAAGTGGAGTCAGAGTCAGAAGAAAGTGAGGAAGGGGAGGGGAGGGGAGGGGGCGCACCTCATCGCGGTCCGTGCAGTCCGTGTCGGAGGTCTCGGGGTCGTCCTCGCCATCATCCCCGTTGGGGTGCCCGACTGCCCCCGATGAAGACGACTCGCCATCGCTGTCCACCCTGTCCGACATGCGCCACGTCCCGCCGGACTCGGAGGAAGAGGTTGCGGCTGTGGCCGAGGTGCCTGTCCGTGGGGTCCCTGCCAGCCCTGCCAGCCCTGCCCCGGCCGGAGACGGCGAGGAGTCCGCATCGGTGTAGCTGCAAAACGCCCTCACAGTCACGACCACACTCTCACTGATTTGATCCCTGGCCCTGCATCTGCGGACGGACTTACGAGTTTCGAGACGAAGAAAGCGAGCTGTCTGACATTTCCAGAAAATCCACAGTCCAATCGCAACGATTACTTATCTCACCGTTCCGAACCGCCGCCGACTTCACTGATGTTGAATTTTTCGGTTCAACTACCTATGCCTTGTACCAACCTACCCAACCGAATCGTAGCCGAGTGCGGCAATGTTCTGATTCCCCGTTTGCATTCGAAATCCCCAAACAATCAACGATTACTGTAAGGATTGATTGCCGCCCTCTCGTGTCCACTGTGAATTGGAAATAACATCGGTCGGCACGACGTAACAGTGCCGCCTCGGTTGGTGCCATTGGTCTCTGCGGCGCGGCGCTTTTTCGACCGCTTCCGGTGGCGAATTTGCGAGGGAACAAAAACAACTAAAAGTCGACGCTTTTTTTCTCCGGCCAGGGATTTGGGTTCCCGAGGCGGGAGGGAACGTGTCCGACTTGTCACGCCGTCCAGCAGACCGATTCTGAAGAGAGTCGCGCTGTCTCTCTCGCACTCACGGGGCGTCCCGCAGGGGTGCGAGAGAGACAGAGCGATAGTTGGGAAGCAGTAAAGCCCGCAAAATGGCCGGCCAAACGCAAAAAATCGACCTGAGCATTTACAACGCGTTGGCCCGACCAGCCTGGCCTAATGTGAGTAAGAGCTGGTCAGCGCGACCCATATGGCTAGACTTGCGGGTCGCACAGGTCCAACGAAACGGGCGTCGGCCTGAGCGGCCTGAGTAAAGCTACGCCGGCCTATGCGGCCTGGTGGTTTTCGCTGCGACAGAGGCTGGGCAGAGGAGCCGCTGACGCTCCGGAGAAGGCAAGAGGTGAGGCGGGCAGGGCGAATTGCCTACCTCACAGGGGTAAGGTCTGGCAGGTCGAGAGCTATACCGCTCGGCCAGTGTGGCCTGGCTAGACCAAGCCCGACCTGCGCGGCCTGCGCCGGACCGAACGCGGCCGCAGTGACCCGGTCGGTTCTAGTGCTGGTCAACGGGGACAGTAATGCAGTGTCGCGTGATTTTTGCCTTTGGAAAAAGAACGTCTCAGAGCACTGGCCAGCGTGGACGGCCATTCTGCGGGCTTTAGGAAGCAGTCTGCAGCCGCGTTAATGGAGCACGCCTTGCTCCCTGTGCCTTGGGCCAATTATCAGCTGTTCGACACTTGCAGGCCCCCCCTCGCCCGGCCGCCACGGCCCAGGCTTCCTGCAGCAGCCGACAGTGGAGTGGAAGGCCCTCGCCTAGAGCCCCGGAAAGTTCCACTGCACTGGTCAGGAGTCGTCCCGCGCCTGGGAAAAGCTTCGCGCCAAAATCACTGCCACTGCTGGCTGATCAGGGGACATGTTTTAAAATGCCGCAGGTTTGAGCACGATTGAGCCGCTGAGCGGGCACGATGCCGCACGAGAGTGGGGCACGGAAGCCTTCTCATTTTGCTGTTGATGTGACCGATGTGACCTGAAGTCGGTCGCAATGGGGCAACGCCGAAGTCGAAACGACCTCACTTTGACTCTCTGTTCTCGCATTCTCACGTTCTCGCAGGGCGTCGGCAAGAAGCCTGGGACCCTGGGAGTCGAGTCCCTCAGCTGGACAGACTGCGCTGTGCCCGGTGTGCTTGGCTTGGCTGCGCCGCGGTGCGCTAAACCCATTAGCATCCCTTAGCACTGCTCGGGCTCGGCCCCAGCCTCACTTCGAGTGTCGCTCTGTCTCTCTCGCACCTGTACGGGACGCCGCATGAGTGCGAGAGAGACGGAGCCACGAAAACGACTCTCGGAATGAGGCTGCAGACGGCCACGAGTGCCGCCTACACCGTTTGCACTTCCATGCGACAGCAGCGGCAGCACCGTTTCACCGTCGCGTCGTCTGCTATCTGGATCAGGTGGCGCTTGACCTGCGGGGCGGGGAGGACTCGAACCGAGCGTGTGATAAAGCCCGCAGAATGGCCGTCCACGCTGGCCAGTGCTCTGAGACGTTCTTTTTCCAAAGGCAAAAATCACGCGACACTGCATTACTGTCCCCGTTGACCAGCACTAGAACCGACCGGGTCACTGCGGCCGCGTTCGGTCCGGCGCAGGCCGCGCAGGTCGGGCTTGGTCTAGCCAGGCCACACTGGCCGAGCGGTATAGCTCTCGACCTGCCAGACCTTACCCCTGTGAGGTAGGCAATTCGCCCTGCCCGCCTCACCTCTTGCCTTCTCCGGAGCGTCAGCGGCTCCTCTGCCCAGCCTCTGTCGCAGCGAAAACCACCAGGCCGCATAGGCCGGCGTAGCTTTACTCAGGCCGCTCAGGCCGACGCCCGTTTCGTTGGACCTGTGCGACCCGCAAGTCTAGCCATATGGGTCGCGCTGACCAGCTCTTACTCACATTAGGCCAGGCTGGTCGGGCCAACGCGTTGTAAATGCTCAGGTCGATTTTTTGCGTTTGGCCGGCCATTTTGCGGGCTTTAGCGTGTGACCCCACCAATGGATTCCTCGTTCGGAGAGCAATCCATTGGTGGGGTCACACGCTCGTTGGCGACTCTGGAGCTCAAAACGCGTCTGGAGTTTTGACCGCCTTTCATCAAATCGGGATGAGTACTGCTTCCACGGCCTGAGGAGGTTGGCCTCATAGAGGGTATAGCTGCTGCGGGCGGGACGCTGCCTGCATTCGAGGTTTGCAGTCTGAGTCCTTCGCTTGCTGTAGCTGCTTACTCGAACCCTAGAGGTCTGCTGAGGCCTAACAGCGCTGATGATGATGATCACTGGTCTTCCGGCACTCTATGTGGCTGTGACTGCTGGGAAACTTGAACGCGGGTGGCAAGCAAAGACACATTTTTTTTCAAAAACAATTTAACAGGGCAGTGCGGAGGGCGGTGGGCACGGGTATGCACCGCATACTAAAAACAGTGGGGAAAAAAAAGGGGGGAAGGGGGCACATGAGTGGGGGGGGGAAGGGGGGGGAAGGGGCCCGGGAAACCGGTAGCGCGCGGCGTGGTGCGGCGCGGTGGCGGCGAAGCTTTTGGACGTTGCTGTCAGACTGCGGACGGCGCCGGCCGCGAGAGGAGGGCCGTGGTCGCTACTGCCCGGGGCCACGTCAAGGGAGCCCCACTTGGACCGGGAGCGGGTTCGAGTACCGGTGAGTGCCCGCAGCCCCCCCATTTTAAGCGCCCCAGGCTAAAAAAACCATGAGCTGGGCCATGGGGATGGCTGACCTGGTGATCCGTGATTCAACCAGGTCACAATGGATTCCTCGTTCGGAGAGCAATCCATTGGTGGTCACCGCTCGTTGGCGACTCTGGAGCTCAAAACGCGTCTGGAGTTTTGACCGCCTTTCATCAATCGGGATGAGTACTGCTTCCACGGCCTGAGGAGGTTGGCCTCATAGAGGGTATAGCTGCTGCGGGCGGGACGCTGCCTGCATTCGAGGTTTGCAGTCTGAGTCCTTCGCTTGCTGTAGCTGCTTACTCGAACCTAGAGGTCTGCTGAGGCCTAACAGCGCTGATGATGATGCATCCTGGTCTCCGGCACTCTATGTGGCTGTGACTGCTGGGAACTTGAACGCGGGTGGCAAGCAAAGACACATTTTTTTTCAAAAACAATTTAACAGGGCAGTGCGGAGGGCGGTGGGCACGGGTATGCACCGCATACTAGAACAACAGGTGGGGAAAAGAAAGGGGGGAAGGAGGCACATGAGTGGGAGGGGGAAGGGAGGGGAAGGGGCCCAGGAACCCGGTAGCGCGCGGCGCGGCGTGGTGCGGCGCGGTGGCGGCGAAGCTTTTGGACGTTGCTGTCAGACTGCGGACGGCGCCGGCCGCGAGAGGAGGGCCGTGGTCGCTACTGCCCGGGGCCACGTCAAGGGAGCCCCACTTGGACCGGGAGCGGGTTCGAGTACCGGTGAGTGCCCGCAGCCCCCGCCATTTTAAGCGCGCTTGGGCTGGAATGAAATCAGGTTAGGTTAGGTCTGATTTTCATTACTCTTTCGGAAAAAGGGACGCGACGTAGGTAACTGTTCTTCGTACGCTGTCGCGGGAATGACATCCGCGGGCCGACACGTCCCTCTGTCTGTCTGTCTGTCTGTCTGTCTGTCCGTCCGTCCGGCTGCCCGGAGGGCGTGGACGGCGTGCACGGGGTGCTTGACATGCGTGGCGCACCACGGCGAGGCGTAGCGACGCCAGCGACGTCCTTAGATCGACCATCCTTCCGTCTCTTTCCGACGCACTGTCAAGACTCCTCTCCTCTCTCTCATCCGAACCGTCCGAACACATCCGAACGCAGCCCCGGTGTGCCGCCGTGCCACGACGCAGCCGGGTGTCAACGCAGGACAACTTTTTGACCCGCCTGTACCTGCAGACAGATATAACTTTTAAAAAATGTATTCCAAAGGCAAGCACAAGAAATAAAAGGAAAAAAAATGCCGGTAGTCTTGACATGCAAATCGCTGAGGCCTTCGCTTCCCTTTGCCTCAGCACCAAAGCCGCGCTGGGCTCCGTTCGACAGCTAGGCTGCTAGAGTTTTTGGACAGTGTGGAAGAACGTAACGTATCCGTGGTCTATTTCGCAGTTCCCTGCTAGACGTGAGGGGCCCGCGCCCAGGGCCAGGGGCACAGCCGGGCACAGCGTCTCACCTCGACTCTGTCACCAGCTTCGAGGACCCTAACCTGCAGTCTACAGCCCAGCCTTCCTTCACGACGCTGCTCTTCGTGGTTTCTGGATACAGCGTCTGCTCTAGCGTCTGCGACGTCGAAAAAGTTGCCTACGTACAGGGGCAAAGAGCGACTGGTTGCCTACCTTCCTGGCGGCACCACCTCCCACCTGGATCAGTGCCTGCACCACCTGCTGCATGAGCACGCCGCGTGCACAGCGACTCGGCTTCGAAGCTGCAGATCAAGTCGAGGGGGATCTGGAAGCGAAGGGAAGGCAAGATGTCGGCATAGCTGAGTGTGTTTGAAATTCCGGCTGTGTCACATCGGGCCAGCTCTCGCTTCCAGCAGCCGCCAGCAGCGCAGAAAGAAGATCAAGACCCCCTCCGCCGCCGCGTCGCCTCGCCCGCGGGAGTTTCAAAGAAACCGCGTCGAGGAGCCCGGCGAGCCGAACGAATTGAAAGGTATAAAACATCTCCAGCCTCCAGACTGCGGACAGCCCGCACTACTTGAGTTGCCGTGTTGTAAATTTAATTTCCATACCCCGCGGGATTTTGTCGTCGCGCCAAAAAGAGGTTGGCAACCCTGGGGGAGGGCGCGCGCGCGCGGGATGGGCGCATGTCTGCCAACCTCTG